ACTTTTCTTTGTAGTTCTGGCATTGCTCTCGCCAAATTCGCGTGTGTTGCTCACCTAATGTGTGTCTCTGTCGCAGTGGTGGCAACGCCCGATGGCATATGGTGGTGCACCACCGCATTCACAGGGAAACGGTTTCGAGGGCGTATGTATCGGCGCTAACAGTTCATTGCTGCAGACAGACACTTGGGCTGCAATAGCAATAGCAGCACATTCACTGGCAGCCGCAGTAAAATTAGAAAAAGAAGCAACGCGACCTGCATGAGCATCAGCACGGCACACGAACTGTCGCCCAGCGCGACCTCTGCCAAGTCGGAACAGCAGTGTGAGCTTCTGTTAATCAAAATTGTGCTGAAGCAGGAAGAATAATATATAGATGCTGCAGTTCCGCCGATCCTTGCGGCTGCAAGTGGTGCACCGCAAGGAAAAATCCCAGGGCGAAGTGCCTCTAGGCCACATATTTGGGATAACCGGGAAAGAAGAATTTGCGGCTGTATTGGAGAACGAATGAGTAATCGAAGAAACCAGATAGAAATTCCAAATACTCAGCCGCTGGATTTTACATTAGAGTGATATGCCCATGGGTAAACAAATACCGAGGCATAACAACAAACGGAATAACAGGCAAGAGATTCCCACCTATGAAAAAGTGCCTTTTCTAAATAGAATCCTTACACAAAACAGAAAGGAAGAGCATACAAAATGTTTTCTCCTGAGATAAAAAACGTAATCCAAGGAATTATTACCATTATGGTAACGCGGCAGGAACGTTAACGCCGAAGATGTGTTGTCCTTCGAAAGATCTGCATTTCTTTTGGGGAATTCTGCCTCTGCAGCCTTACAGTACCTCCACGGAACCACTAAACCTTGCCTGCTCTGTGGTGTTTGCATTTTCTTGCCTCAGCTTCGTGTGCTGCATCTCTGCGCGTCGTACATCACCACACCCTTGTTGATGAGTGAGGCCGCGACTTCTGTTTTTTCGTGCCTCAATCCTTATCTGCTAGATAGCTCATCAGCTTACCCTGTTGCGTTTCTCCCGTTGGTAGTGTGCTATGTGGTTCGCCTCGGTAAAGGGCTTTCTGTCCCTCTGCCTTTTAGCGGTGGAACACTAAAGAATTTTCTGCAAAGCGACTATTGGGCAAGAGATAGACTTTACTACAATCTTTTTTCCTCCATTCACCTTTATTCTTGCACCTCGATTTCCAGCTGGTGGAATTTAGGTGCTTTCCCCGTTAAAAACCAAAGCTTGCAAATGCCATGGGAGCGTAGCGGAAATCGGGCTCGCACAAATTATGCACTTTCTCTGATTTTTTCTTCCTCATAGCCAAAAAATAGCCATTTAATCCTTTTTATTATCAAGAAGAAAGAAATTTGGAGGAGAAATTAATCGCAGCAGTGCGGTTGCCAGTGGGCATGTGTGCCGACACAGTGCACTGGTAGGGGGGAAGGGCTGGTCGTGAGTCTTCATCCCATCCAAAATGCAATCGAGGAAGTTCTAAGATTAAATACGGACCACTAATAACCTGCAAGGCAAGGGTAAACCTGCGAACATGATGCAGCAACCATGAGGATCAGACTGCAGTGCACCAGGCAGACCAGGAGATGCCAGGGCGGAGGCCAGCAATGGTGGTTACAGAAACAGGAGATAGAGAGCCATGGATGTACGCGCTACTTGGCTCCTTAGATTTAGGATTCAGAAAATAGAGACCACAAGTTCGCATCATTGTGATGCCTCAGCAAGACGAACACACGACCCAGCCTCAACGGCATGACGGGAAAATCTGTCAGGAAAAGGAACTGACAGGAAAACAATGAGAGCGGCAAACACACGACCGTATTCAATATATTGCGATTTTATAGAGAGAGGGGGACTGGGGGCGTTGGTGTGTTTCTTGGCGCACTCACAGAGTTTCATCCCTGTGGGTAACAAAGCGTGCGAACACCTCAGAAACATTCAACATCATAAAAGACAGCCTTGAAGAGCAATCTAAGGGCTAAAGGAAAGGTGTTTGATGCGGAATGCTGCTACATCCACCTCTGCTTCCCTGTACAACAAGAGGCATGAAGCTCGGGCAGTTCGAGCCGCATCCCTCGACAGGTACTCTGGGGCTTCTTGCGCTTAGGAGTGTTTCGGCATCCCATGAAGCCAGCACAAAGAAGAACTGCGGTGAAACAGCACCATTTCACCCCGTGTTCTCAGGCTCCTTGAAGCTTTGTCCTTTAGTACACTAGGCAAGCGTGCAGGGGCCCCCAGGGGGCCCCGTCGCCCTTGGCCTTCCCGCGAAGCTCTACCGAGCACACCCTGGCGTAAATCGCCACTTTTGATCATTTTCGAGAATGCTTCACGGTTCTTCGAAGGAACAAGACACCAGTCGCTGCAACGGCAGCGCTCCAGGCTGTGCAGCAGCGGAAGCAGCTAGAACGCCTGTACCGACTCTGGCAGCAACAGAAGCAGCTGGAACGCCCGTTCCCGCGTCAGGAGCAGCTGCGGCACCGCTGCTGCCATTCGGATCAGCAGACAGAGCGCTACTGCCCACGTGCTTGGAATTGCTGCAGCAGGAACGGTGCAGCAGCAAAGTTCCTTTCCTTCTGCCGTCACTCGACAGTGCACTATGTGGGGGTCTTCTGGGAGGCAGAGCTCTTGCAGAGATCTCGGGGCCCTCAGGAGCCGGAAAAAGCTGCCTCTTGCTGCAGCTGTGCGCAACCTACCTCACGGGAACATGTGTCGTGTTCTCTCACTCCGATGCTGCCCCTCCCTCTGGAAGTTCTCCTTTCCTCTCGCATTCCTCACCCGCAGCCTGTGCATACAGGAGTGCAGGGGCCTCCCCGGGCTGTGCAATTTACGTCGACTGTGACGGGGGCTTTAGGGCAGAGCGCTTCGTGGAGATTGCGCAGGGTGCCTTCGCTGCCTGCACCAGCACCGGCGGGAAGGAGGCTGCAGAGGCCTTGCTGCGGCGTCTGGTGGTTCTCCGCGTCTTCAGCCTCGCAGAGCTGTTGCAGCTACTGGAGGCTTTTCTCCCAAACAGGAAGCGGGGGCGCCCCCACCCTCTGGACGCCTTCCCACTCCTCGCGCACGAGCGACAACCCGCAAGTTCGCGCGAGGCGAATCCCCACAGACCTCCTGCAGAGGGTGCATGGGGTCCGGAGGGGGGGGGGCCCTGGGGAGGGCAGGGTGCCTCCAGAGCTCTCCAAATAGGAGTCGTGGTGATCGACTCCTTAAGTTCTGTGCTCCATCCAGCGCTGCAGGGAGCAGGAGGAGCCCCATGGAGCTCCGGGCAGTCGGCGCTGCGTCTGGGATTTTTGTTGCTCCGATTGAGCGCAGCGACAGGCGCTGCTCTCGCAGTATCTACAAAAACCGTGGCTTCGAGAACTGAGCCAGGTGCGTCTAAACCTCGCGGCAAGTGCAGATTCTGCGGCCGCTCCCCTAAGTCTGTTGCACGAAATTCGCCGTGTAACGCAAGCGTCTGGGTGGGGTGGACCTGGTGTGCTGTGTCTGAGTTGGCGCCCTTGCGAGAAATCCGTCTTGGGCGCTTTTCAGTCACGACAGTAGCTCTCTCTCTCTCGCTGTATTTTATTGACTGCGCACCCGCGTTGCTGCAGGAGCCGCCCCTCTATCCTTCTTGGGGAGGGCGTGGGAGCACCTCCCAGCCCTTCGTCTGCGCCTCTCAAATCCCCCCTCCCGTGGCAACTCCCAATCTCCTACGCGGGAGCTGCAGCTGCTGCAGTCTTTAGGAGCTGCTGCTCCCCAGTGGACACCCAACGCATCCCCTCTGCTCGTTCACATTGCTCCGGAGGGCCTCAGAGAGGGGGCCCCGCGCTACCTAAGGGGCCCCTCCTGGTGAGGGGCTACCCTCGCTTACCTGGAGCACCCCCCTGCCTCCTCCCCCGTAGCAGAAAAACGCTGCACTTCTCGCGCATCGCAAAAGAAGCGTCCCTCGCAGCTGCGCACGTCGCCGCACGCGCACACTGCTGCCCCCAGCTACCGCAACGTAGCAGCAGCAGCACTTTTTTCCGCAAAATGCATGCACATGAGAGAGCCTCTGCCCAAAGCAGTTCGTGGTGCTTAGCAAACACCCCATTAAAAAGCTGCAGTCTCGCCGCTGGCTTGGGGCCCTCGAAAGACTGGGGTCTATGTAGAAAAGCTTGCACGTCAGATATGCTGCTTCAGCGGTGGAGCTGCATGCCCCTCGCTGCTTTCCCCTCCCCGTCGCTGTTGCTTCTGCCGCTGCTTAGAGGCAGCGCTGAGCGTCGAGAATAAGCTCGAGCTCGGGCTTTTTCTTCTGGCTGGGAATTTGCAAAGGTTCTAGAGGGGCTTCCTGCCACTGCTGCTGCTGCAAGAGCGACAACCCCCCCTCCCTCCGCTGCTGGGATCTTTGCGCCTTTTTCTTCTCCAGTTGGGCACGAAGGGCCTCCTCCTGCTGCCGCAACTCCTGCTCCTGCTGCTGCAGCAAAAGGAGCTGCTGCTGCAGGCTCAGTGCCCACTCACCTTGCTCCCCCTGTACCGCCTCTCCAGAGCCTTCCATCTGCAGTTCTTGTCGGAAAGCCGCCTCCTGCTGGTCTTGTTGCCTCTGCTCTGCAGGCAACGGCTGCGCCACCTGCGAGGGTTCTGCAGCAGGAGGGGCGACCACTGGACGAGCTGCTGCTTCGTGAGACAGAAGCACTTCAGACAACACAGCCGCAGCTTCCTGATGCAACACTGGGGAAGCCGCCTTCTGCTGCTGCTGCTGCTGCTGCTGCTGCTGCTGCTGCTGCTGCTGCTGGGGAGCTGAGGTTACCTGCACTTCGACCACAGGGGCAGAGGAAAGCCTCCCCAGAGGCTTCCCTTTGCTTCGCACGTGGCTCATGTCCACAACCAAAGCAGGCGGGTGCGAACGAAGGGGGGGTGCTGCTGGCACCAGCAACAGAGACTCCTCTTGCTGCTGCTGCACTTGTTGCTGCTGCTGCAGTGCTTGTTGATGCTGTTGCTGCAGTGCTTCTTGATGCTGTTGCTGCAGTGCTTGTTGTTGTTGCTGCCCTTGGTGCTGTTGCTGCAGTGCTTCTTGTTGTTGCTGTTGCTGCAGTGCTTCTTGATGCTGTTGCTGCAGTGCTTGTTGTTGTTGCTGCACTTGTTGCTGTTGCACTTCGTACTGCGGCGGCGGCTGCTGCTGCTGTTGCAACATCTGCTGTTGCTCCTGCAACTCCTTTAACTGCTGCTCCAACAGACGCTGTTGCTGTTGCAGCAGCAGTTGCTGCTGTAGCAGCTCGGCTTGCAGCGGCTGGAGAGCCTGCTGGGTGGAGACAGCTGGCAGCTGCAGCCCCTGCGTGTGTTGCGGTTGTTCCTGCTGTTGGGGGAGCGAATTGGCAGTGGTTGACTCTGCAACTTCTAGCATTTGGAGTTGTCTGTGAATCTCGTCGAGCAGCTGCAGCTCCTTGTCGACGTCGGTCGAGGACTGCTGCTGCAGTAGCGGCTGCTGGAGCAGCAGCAGCTGCTGCTGCTTTTGCTGTTGCTGCTGCAGCAGCTGCTGCTGCAGTTGGTTCCCGCCTTGCAGCTGGGGCAGCAGCAACAGAGGCGGCTGCCTCAGGGAGGCTTGCGTCTGTCCGAAGGGGACGGGAGACTGCAGCAGTTGATGCTGGAAGAGTTGCTGTTGCTGCAGTAGCAGTTGCTGCTGATGCTGGAGCTGCGGTGTATAGACAGCTCCCAGGGTCGCATGGGCGTGCGCGGCAGCAGCCGAGCAGTTGCTGCAGGTGTTGTGGGGCCTACGCCTTCTCCGGCGTTGTTTCCTGCTGCTGCTCGCGCCACTGCTGCTGCTGTTGCTGCTCGCATCGCTGCTGCAGAAGGATCGCCTCAACATGTTAGCCGTACGAGGCCTTCTCTGTGGGGTTGGAGATCCGCGACGTAGAGGCGCCTCCCCGCGAATTCCCCTGGCAGTGCTGCTCCCCCCCTGCAGCAGTATCGCGTCTTGGTGGCTGCGTTGCTGCAGCTGTGTATGCGTGAGGTCGTAGGCGTGATGACTGCGCCGGATGCTGCTGCTGCTGCGGTTTGCTGCTGATCGAGCCGCAGCAACGCGCATGCGCCTCTCCTCCTGCTGCTGCTGCTCTTGCTGCTGCTGCCCCGGAAATTTCGCCTTGTACATCTCCACAAAGGGCCTCAGATCTGTTTCCATTGCCGCCAACTTTTGCCTGTAGGCAGCAGCAGCAGCAGCAGAATGAGGGCTTGTGCTCCGCAGCCTCCGCAGCAGCTGCTCTGTTGGCGTTGCTCGGTATCGCGATAAGTCTTGGAGATCCCCCTGCACACATACACACAGATAGATAGGTGAAAAGCTGTGCACACAGATAGACACACGAAAAGCTGTGCACACAGATAGACACATGAAAAGCTGTGCACACAGATAGATAGGTGAAAAGCTGTGCACACAGATAGACACACGAAAAGCTGTGCACACAGATAGATAGGTGAGAAGATATCCTCAGAGATCCACACAGATACATGAAAAGCTGTGCTTATATCTATGGAAAGACATCCACGTATCTATGGAAAGTCATCCACACAGATAGGTGAAAGCAGATCCACAAAGCTACATGAACAAACATGCAGACCGCTACATGAACGGACACCTAGAGAGAGCTGTGCGAGAACATGCGCTTAGACGCAGACACTGTGCAGCTGAAGCGCAAGGAGGAAGGGCCTCTTGCTGATAGGGGGTGCTGCTGCTTCGAGGCGACGTGTCGCTACAGCAGAAGGCCTTCGTTTGAAACTCACATCCCACGGAGGCTTTCTGCGCACTTGCGTAGGGTGCCGCGAACTGAGAGCACTGCTGCTGCGACTCTTCTGCTGCTGCTGCTGCTGCATGCGCCGCATCTGCAGGCGCTGATGTTTCTCTAGCAGCAGCTGCTGCTTTCGGTGAAGCTCCTGCAGCTCCCTATGCAGTACAGCCTCCTTGTCGAGGCGGCTTCGAAAGGGGCCTGCTGCTGTTGTCGCCGTAGTGCAGCGGGGGAGGGAGCGTCCCCTGTTTGCAGCTTCCATCTCCAAATCGCAGCAGCATCCCTCATCGCAGGGGACCCCTTCCTCTTCGCCACACGGAGGGATTCCGTCCACGCCTTCGTCCTCGAATGTCTCCACTTGCGGCCACTGCGCGTCTGCCGTTGCACTGCAGCAGTCGCACGCGCTGGCGCCAGCAGCAGAACAAGTGGCGACGCATGCATTGGGGCTGCGGCGGCAGCAGCCGCATGTGTTGCTACCGCAGCAGCATGCGCCCTCTGCGTCGGAGCCATGAGCGACGTCGCCACGAGCCTCTGCGTTCTGACCCATCGAGGCATCCAGGGGGTATTCAGAAAAGCCTGATCCAAGGGTGTCCTCGCCGGTGGGGGCCCCTCTTGGGGGGCCCCAGCAGGCATGGTCAGCTTCCGGGGGGCCCATGTGGCTCTGGGGGGCCCCGGGGGCCCCGAAGCCCACGTGGTGACGGGGACCGAGGTTCAGGTTTCTCGGGTGGGGCCTCCTCATGGTGTTGCTGCGGGGGATGTGCGGAGCTCCCGAGGGGGGTGTGCTGCCTCCATGCCACAGACAAGACACCTGGGGAGGATGGAAGGAGCTCAAGGCTTGGTAAGGGAAGCAAAGTGCAGCAGTCGGAGGCCTGTGCGTGTAGGCATTCGAGGGTGGTGGTGGCGTCTGCTCGAAGACACGAAAGGGGGAACTAGCGAAGGTGCTGTCGCGCTGCAGCGCTGCCGACCATCGAACGACTAAGAGCCTCAGGGGTAAAACGGACGAAAAGAGGCAACGAGAAAACAATACGACCGGCAGCAGGGGACCCGATAGGAATGGGAGTCTAGGGACCCTGTCGTCCTTGCGGCAGTTGGGGAGCTCTACAGAGCCTCAGAATCTGGAAAATCAAACATGGAATGTGTACATTACATTAAAACTCCGGTTTGCGAGGCCGCGGGGAAACAAGGACGCAGCCCTATGAAATGATTGCAGCAGCAGTTTAGTGGGGGCTGGGGGTGGTGGGATCGGTCCAAGTGTATGTCCACCACAGCAGTTGCGCCATAAATGACCATATGCGCAGTACTAATCGATTAATACACTTCAAGGAAGCACACTGATAAAACGCCAGAATACTGGTTCTACTAATCCATAACTCGTCGGTATGTGCAGTCGCTTGTCGAATGACGTACAGCTGCAGCATATCTCGTCGTTCATCCGGCGGTAAACGGTAAGTGCGTCACGAATGCCACTAAAATAGAAGACATGGTGTAACCCCATACCCTCAGCTGTACCTCAAAGGGGCTCAGCCTCCAGACCCCGTCCAACGTGGGAGCCAATGGGCGCTTGTCAGCGAAACAGGACTGCCCGTATAGGGTTGCCCTCTAGAATAACGTATTTTTTGTAGAATACCAGAGACCGACAACAAGGAATGCTCGTTCTGCAGGATGCATGCCCACAGTGCAACACAGAGTGGGGAAATTTTAACGCGCCTCGATCGAAGACAGTTGCGACAAGCCCTGCTGCAGTTGCTGGTGTTGTATTAAATGCTGCTAGTAGACTGGCACCTTCAGTTCAAAGTCTACTGAGTAAGATTCCCCACAGGGGGACCTAAGTGTTTTGGCTTCCATTACGTTGCATTCATCGCGGCGATTAACAATCTACGTTCTTACCACGGGATCAAGGGTCTGCCTTCGAGCTGTACAAGCCGCTAGCTTGCACCTTTGCTGGCTGGTCAGTGAGTGCTGCTAGCTGGGCCCAGGGGTGGCTTTCCCTTTTTTGCCGTGCATTGTGAGATTGGGTGAGGAACAGGTTTTACCCCCTTTTGTCCAGCTTCATCTGTCTCCGTAAGGAGGTGCGTGACTCGATACTTCACACAAACTATATCTCAAGTTATTGGGTGTCCTTCAGACAACATTCCACATTTCTTTGTTCACATCCTTGAGAATTATCGGCATGAGGGAAGAGGAATAGCCAGGGCGTGCGTAGCTGCACCCTTGAAGCACTCCAAGCAATAATCGCTAGCGGCGCATAGACTCTACCGTACACGCACACAACATTGCGTCTTCTTATATCGAGCTAACAGTAGTCTACAATAATTGAAATATACGATCAGCCAAACGCAAAGGCCATTCGTTTACTAGTTCAGTGCCTTACAATGTGCTGCGGTGTGAACGCTTGCGCTACACTTTCTTGAAGTCAACGACAACTCACTACAAGTGAATTTTCCTTTTGTAAGCACCGTTAAGAAAGGTTGGGCAATGAGCATTGCAGTTTTGTACACAGGGCTGATTGATGCAATAGGTAAGCCATCGTTAAACTTGAGGGGATTCTCGCTAGACTAGCTTGTACGGTAAATTGTCAGCCCCAATCCAATCCCCAAACCAGTTACGAGTAGCGCCCTTCGTCGGGGGGCCATCCAGTGTAGCCGATTACCAGCGCACATAGCGCGAAAAGGCTTCAAGAAGCTAGAAATTTCCCGAATGAGACGTCCGAGGGTCAAGCTGAGATGTCACCTCTGCTATCTGCGACTGCTTGTCTGCACGAATCAAGCCCTTCATTGAAAACAAGGTAGTAGGAGAGCTCGCATAAAATCTCCAACATCCTCAACAGGATACTAGCAGCAAGTGGGAGGCTTAAGGGGGTGACAAAAGGGCCACGGTGCTTGATAGCCGTGATTCCAGAGTAGAACTAATTCCGCATGCATTTTGCGAAGCCAATGCCACATTGCGACCGGACCCCAGCTCCCTTCAAGCCTACTGGAGAGCAACTCTACCCACGTGGAATGCTCTGTGCCGCTACTGTGTGCCTCCGTTTGCTAACTGTCCAGCTGGGCTCTACAGCCACGTGAAGTGGTTTAAAGGCCTAACCTCAAGAGGCCTTGCTGCTGGTAAGAAGCCCAAAACTTAAATAAGGCCATCAAGGCCCCCCACAAGCGTAAACTGCGTAGCCTGTACCCCCACTGGTGATGCTCTCGAGATGCGCAATTCCTTTCCAAAGCAGGCTGAGGGTTTGCAGCTACCAGCTTCTTCACAGGTTCCAAACAACCAGATTGGAGTAGAGGGCCACCCACCTGCTGCTCACAGGACAACCAAGAAGCTCCACCGTTAAATTTTGGCCGTCTTCCCAATTATTTCCAGCGTTGGCAGGCTCTAGGCTTTTATAACGCAGAACCTAGAATCAGGCACCTTGATAATATTTGTCTCCTGAGGTATCGACTCGGCACCTTGGTGCAATGAGTACTCTCTAAGGCCCTTCAGTCCTTTGAGTAAAAGTGAGTGCAGTGCCCTCTCATTTTTCTGACCCGGCAATCGGATTCGTGGCCGCTGCGATGCATTAGCACGCTTTCTGTACAAGAGCTCTGCTGTGAATAAAAGAGAGACAAGGCCTAGGAGTAATGAGTCAGGAGGTAGGGCCGCTTCTGGCGCCCACTAGTACCTGCTCTTCGCCAACAGGTATGGCATGCGACTTTGGACTTGTCAAAAGAATTGGGACAGAGATAGTGTGGCGGTTCGATTTTTGACGCTGTCCACTGAGTAACGCTGGACTTGTTTATATGAGGCTTTACGCTCCGGCCTGCGTATTTGTATCTATCCTTTAGCCTTGCCGTGCGGGGCTGGTTTACGCTACTATCACAAGAGTCTATGGGGAGCGCACCTGCGTGCCCAAAAGTAAATGCGCAATCTTTGTGAAGTCCAGTGTAAAGATGATTTCACATAAGCTCCAACAGGCAGTTCTGTGAGTAGACGAGTACCGCACAAAGCAATTGCTATGTCATAAAGATTCAAAAAGAAGGCTCTGCAACCGAGTGCGCAGTTCGGATGCCACCACAAGATATGCCTTAAGGGCTAGCACTTGACCTCTCCTTTTGAATTCTGCGCGCTTGCTTGGGCTCTGCAGAGGGAGCAGATAGTTTTAGACTTGTTCATATCTGTTGCCTTTCAGCCACAGCGTGTTCTTGCTAAAGGGGCAAAAGAAGAAGGGCTGGGGCTGGAGGTGGTTTGGTTAATGCAGTCGCATCCTCTGAGCAGTTCAAGACGATAGCATACAACCTCACATTGTGTGTTTTTGTACTCACGCACATGATCTCTGTTCTTGCCCTGTGGGAGTGCATCGCTGCTTCCCAGAGGATGGACTTCAAAAAACAGGCAAAAATAAGCGGGCGTTTTACAGCTAAATTGTATGCAAATAAAAGTATTCTGGAAAAGAGGACCGAGGGTAGCCTAACGTGCTCCTTATAAGCACTGGACCGGGTGGCCTTAAAGCAAGGGATGAGAACACATCACTTTGTGAATAACATGCGAGAGCTTTCCCCTGAGTATTTGACTGGATTTCTAATATCGATAGCCATATGGCGTCCAGAGGAAGAATACTGTGGATCTCGCGTGTTGCACGCCTGTTATGGTCTCTATCAGGAGACATGTAGCCTTGAACCCTTCAAAATGAGAAGAAATAGAACAGCTCGAATGCAGGTTGCTGGACCTTCAGAGCACGTCACTGCATCATCTGAGCGTATCGACAATGGGCTTCCAGCTGCACGCAGTAGCTTAGCGTACAGGTACCCAAATCTAATGTAGTGGGCTATGCTGCACTTCCGTACCTACTGCAACGCTGGAAAGATTCACTTACGAACTCATAATTATTGAATAGTCTATTGATTGTTTGCATGCCGTATTGATTGCGGAGTGGCGTCAACTAGACAAATGAAAATCGTTATTGGATGCGTGTGAGCAGATTTGCATCTGCAATTTGTTTCGATTGCCTGGAGTGCCTACAGTTTGCAACATAGCGCCAACAAGCTGTCCTTCCATCTCCTTCGTCTTTCAGTGCTGAGGGGCGCGGGCAGGAAAAGGAGGGAGCTCGTTAAGAAGCACTTTGAATTTTTTTTTTATTCAGTTGGTACTGAGTGTAAAGTTAAAAGTTTTTTTACGGGGACCTAAGGAGGGGCGTTACAGATGTAGTGGTACAACTAATGCATCTTGCATGGGGAAATGCCTATTTTTCAGCCAACACAGAATTCAAGCAGCCCAGCCATGCAGTCTCTGCCTAGCTAAATGTTGAGTAAACCTAACTGGTGCAGATGCTTCCGCCAAGTGCAGCCTGGCCACCTAATGCAGTAGAGCCATGAAAACAGGATGTACACCCTAGCTTGCGGCTTTGTTGCGGATGAAAGATTTGAGGCCTTCTCGAGGGTTTCCAACCCACTGAAGTTAACATATAAGCATTGAGGGAAGAGAGCTAGGTCACCGCCATACTCTAATGTGCATACGCGCACTCTGTACGCGGTGAAGCAGTAACCACATATGGGGTGCAGTAGTCTATAAAAGGCGACCTCAGTAGGTATCTGTCGGATATGCTGAAGCTCCGTGAAATCAACAAAAGTACAAAAGTGCTCCCTTTGAGCTGGAGGGAACGGCGTTAGCCCCAGTGCCAGCGCCTCCTTGGCAGCCAGGCCCCTGGTGTACGTTCAGCTGCATGCATGTAGCAGCCTAGTGGGCTTGAGGTTGAGGGTACACTACTCTGCGTTTGGGCCTTTTTTCCGCGTATAAAAGGCGTCGCTATCCTATTCTTTTCTTCATATAGACCTGCTGGCAACAAAATTCTGCCTTTGGACTGCGGGGAGCAAAGGGAGGCCGTTGCCGCAGAGAACCTCCCTCTCCCATTCACATTTGTTCGTTTTTGCTTCGTCTGTGTGTTTCTGCTTCTGAATGCATTTCCCCTTCCTCCTTCCTTCCCCCCTTGTTCCTTCCGAAACGTAATCTTGGCGTCGCCTGATTTACCTTCCAGGCACTAAACCCGCGCAGCCTAATCCCTTTAACGAGCCTCAAGCTGGCTACAAACCTGCTCATCCAAGATGAAGTTGGTGCGGTTTCTGATGCGTCTTGCCAATGAGACGCTGGTTTTGGAGCTGAAAAATGGCACAATCGTGCACGGAACTATCGTCGGTGTCGATGTTGCGATGAATACGCATTTGAAGAATGTCAAGCTCACCGTGAAGCACTCAAACCCAGTTTCCATGGATTACCTCACCATCAGAGGCAGCAATATAAGATATTTCATTCTGCCCGACTCCCTGCCTTTAGACACCCTTCTTATTGACGACACGCCCGTTCAAAGGCCCCCGAGGGAAACTGGACTGCGACCCCTCGCAAGAGGAAGAGGAAGGGGCGGCAGGGGAGCAGGTCCGAGGGGTGGCAGAGGATCAGGCCCAAGGGGAGGAGGCTTCAGAGGGAGGTAAAGCAGAAGGGAGGCATAAGATCGCCCTGGCTTGGGGAGCCTTAGGGTGTACGTTACACATGGAGTGTCTACTGACTGTACACCTCTGGAGTGCATGTGCTGTTTGGGTGCATATCCACGTGGGGCGTATGCGCATATGGGCGCTTTATGCACCTGATGTGTACTTGCTATGCGCACGTGCTGAGGTGTATGTACACGTTGAATCAAGTTGAGAGGGAAGTATAGAGGCGACACAGGAGGTTGTGGTCTAGCACCGCTCCAAGTTCTGCAGTGTGTCTGCACCTCCTACGGATTCGGGCTTTTAGCCATTTCTTTGTGGACCAATTTTGCCAGTAAATATATACATTTACAATGGTATTTTGCGGATGACAGACAGAAAAGGGCAGCCGGAGGCGGCAGAGCCCACGAAACCGTCTGCTCCTCACGAGAAAGAGGATGCAAACGAACGTCAAGCCAGTTCTCTCATTGTTGCTTTTGCTGTATTGTCAGCTATCATATCGCCGCTGGCGTAATGCAGGATTCTTGTAGGTGGTTATGTGTGTGCATGACAACCACTTCGGGACACCAGTCGTCGCATTCATATTGGATAGCGTAGCTTCTGAAAGGTTCTGTAGATTAGCTCTTAGGGCTTGGTGTTTCTTGTTGTCTGCTTAGACACACGTATATAAATCGCAGCATGTACATACGTGTGGCGTTCCAGAGACTAATAACACGCGAATCTCCTGCTGCACGCAAAGGTATTCGTAGGCGTATGCGCACATGTAGTTTTACAGCCTAGGCCTTATAGGCTTTCTATTCCACTTGCAGCCTTTTCGAGTCCATCCACTATCATCTCTGGCTTCACCTTTACGGTGTTCCGCCCTTTCCCCCAAGCGCTGCTCATCGTTTTGCTTCTTTCTGACGTCCACTCTAGCAAGGCTCGCCTGCAGCCTACAAGTATACCTGTAAGTCGCTCTGACGGGGTTACTTTTGTGTAGCAGCATCACGCTTCTCTGATCCAAAGGGTAGCAGGGTTGACTGTAGCATAAGTAGGCGGCCCAGCAAGGGGTTTGCGTGTTCACGCATGTATACCTGTGAAGACATTTGCGTGTAGGTGCTCACCTCTGAGGTGAGGCATGAAAGCTGCACCTCTGTGTGAACTGATTTTTGTGGGTGGGGACAAATGCATGGCAGAAGGCAGCCTTGTAGACAGATGCAGGCGCCTCTGAGTGAAGGACCTGGAAGCGCATGTGTAGATACAGTAAAGGCATGCGTAAAGGCGTGAATGGGAGAGCAGGCGCCTATCTGCAATGCTTATCGGCGTCAACATAAAGAGAATGTTTGGTCGGTTGAATTAAGGGGGAGATGTGGCTGCGAAGCTCCAAACTTGTCTGCCGGTACAATGCCTTATTCCTTGAGTTGAGTGCACCGGGTAGCTCTGTTTGTGTGTAACACCCAGTTGCGCACACATTTAAGCACTGCGGATCCGATTCCAAGAATCGTACCTTGCTGAGGCTTGGTTTGGGGCTTATAAAGGTGCAGATGCGGAGGAGGAAATCTAGGCAAGGCACGTACAGCCACTGTCTGTTGTTGCTCGCGGGTGGTGTTATATGTTCACAGTACACCGTAAGTGGAGGTAAGTCGCGCTTTAGCGGCGGAAAAGTTTCATTTCAGCTCTTAAATAAACTTGCTCGGCGTTGAATAGCGCATGCCAGCATACACCAGAATCCCCACCGCTACCGAACGGTCTCGCAGCCCAGGACTCCGGTGTATGGACACCTACGGGAAGTTTCGGGGTTTCCGAGAAAAATGAGCAAAATTACATGAAATGCGACACCTTGTTTGTTTAATATCTCAGTTTAAGGCGTCAGGAACTACGTGCGTAGCTATCTCATCAGCTCGCCGAACCAGAGGCACCATCGACAGCCGAGGCTAAGTGGCAGCCGCCGCTCCCGCGGCTGCACTTACCCCATGTGCAGACAGCGAAGGCTTTTAAGACCCCGAGGGAACTTATTTAGTCCTTCTGCGCAGCCAGAATACAGAAGCAGAATTAGAAGCAGCACCATCCAGCCACAGAGAGGGCAGCAGACCGCGCTTCCGGATACTCGACGTACATACACAGCACCAGGGACCGCAGTAGCAGCATCTTCCCAAGCTGCAGGCAGCCGTTCTGGTGCTTTGCTGTGGGCGTAGCGGCTGCAGAACTCGTTCTTGCCACTAACGCTGCTGCCTGGACTCGCCAACCTTGGTCACACAGCGCTGTTGCAGCAGTCTCTGCATTTGCACCAGCGACTACGAAGGCTCCGGGCGCAGGACCTGCACGAAAACGGCTGCATCGGTCGCAGCAATGACACTCCGTCTGTCAGATTGCTTGCGGTCGTTGCATCGACACCGAAGGCCCCCGGAGCAGCGGGAACCCATGAATTCTGGATCGACCACGCTGCACCCTGGAAATACGTCTGGTGACTGCGAAGCCGTCGAGCAGACGCAGCCTCAGTCACGCGCTGTGGAGACGCAGCAGCAGCAGCGACCACCCAGCAGTAGCAGCCTCCTCAGCGCAGTCCACTGCGACTCAGGAATCCCTCCTCCCGTTGCTGCAGCGCACAGCGGATCCGTCTCGGAGTGCTCCTCCCTAGCCACGTCCATGTTGGCTCGTGCCGTGAGTCACAGAGGCCCTTCCTCCTCCGCCTCGCCTCCTGCGGCGCCCGCAGGGGGCCCCTCTTCGGGGGGGGGCAGTCAGCCACAGAGCGACGAGGCCAGTCGGACCACCTCTCTTCAGCAGCTCAACTCCGAGTGCCTTACCCCTCCGCACTTCGCTGTCTTTATGTGGGGTTTGAACGACAGCGGCCAGCTGCTAAGTGGCGCACAGCCACCCTCTAACACACCTCCCGAAATCCACACCGGAGGCGACGCCGCCGCCGCCCCCGGGTGTCCCCCTTTGGGGGGCCCCCGAGGGGCCCCCCCAACTGCAGTGGAACGCTTAGAAAACAAGAGTATCTGCGGGTGCTGCCTCGGGCTGGAAAGGACTTGGGTGTGGGATGTCACCCAGAATGTGTGGGGTGGGGGAGACAATGAGGGGGGCTGCCTGGATCCGGAGGGAGAAGCATTCATTCGAAAGCCTAAATTAAGCGATGCCGTACGAGGAGCCGTCTCTGTGGCGACGGGGGAGTCACACACTATTGCCGTTCTGGATAACGGATGTAAGACGCTTGCCCACAGGCAAACACGCGACTGTAAACACACACACACACATACACATACAGGGGGAAAGAGAGAGAGAGATAGGGAGAGAAAGAGAGAAACACAAATTCTTCTTCTTCGCCCACATGCCCAAGAGTTCTTCCAGAGGGATTGCAGGCTTTTTGCCCACGCGAACATTCGGAAGCACGCGACCCTGTCGTGCAGGTGCCATATGTTGGCGCCTTACGGGCTTTTGTCATAGCGGCGCTCTCGTGGGTGGTTTGACTGCCTTCTTCTGCCTCAGCCGCCATTGCATTTGGAAGCAACGAATTCGGGCAGCTTGGGAGGGGCCCCTCAGCGCGAGTCCTCCGCACTTTTGCGCCTCAGGCCATGCAGCTGGACAGGTCGAGGCCCCTTCTGCAGGGACAGGTGATGAGCGAGGGAGGGAAAGGGGCTGGAATTTCAAAGCCTAGAGGGATGTGTCAATGTTCATGGGGTGCAGGCGTTGCGGCGGTTGCTCCTTGGGCCAGCCGTTGCTGCTGTGCGTGGTTTTTGCAGGGGGGGGGCTTGAGAGCCCCCACGAGTAAACGCAAATGTAAATACGCCTATACGTATATGCACATTTATATGGATATGTATGCATATATATATATATACCCATCGAGTGCTGTGTAGCACATGGATGCAAGTATGAAGGTCTTTGGTTCGAGAGCGGTGTCCTCTGGGCTTTGCGGTGTTTTCGTTGTGGGGGCATTAGGTTCGTTTTTGCCAGGCAGCGTGTGGCGGCTGTTATTCCCTGGCTTTGACAGAGACAGGTATGCTGCTGGCCTGCGGATCCTCATCGCACGGCTGTCTGGGGATTGGCGAGGAGACTCAAGACGGGCAGCAGCAACAACCGTAAGGTGGACGCGCGCAAGGGCGAGTGGGGGGAGGGGGGATAAAACGACAAGGGTCAGAACTAGGATCGAGGGGTTCACAATCGGGGTAGCTGGGGGGAGGACGAGGACGTTTCCAGGGCACGTGGGGTCCTGCAGCAGAGAGGCAAGGAGGGGAACAAACATGCTACAGAGCGGTTAAGGAGGAATGAGGGGCCTTAAGCAGGTGCAAAGGGCGGGGGGGACATACACAGGAGACGCACGACTCTTACCCTATCGTCGCGTGTCTTGCTGTTTTTTCTGCCTTCATTACCCTTGGGCTTTTACCGTAAAGCCGCACTCTGCTTTCCCGCCCTTTGTGTGTATTTCACCTTGTGTGACGCGTTCTCGCCTCGCATTCACTATCTCACATAGTGCCCTGCCTTTTCCTTTGCCGCATGCCCCGCCGCCTTGCGCAGAAGCGTAGAGCCTCTGCTGCGGCCGATTCCTGCCCTCATCGGTCTTCCAATTAAACAGGTGCGCTTTAGCCTGCTGGAAGCTTCTTTCTTGTCCCTTCTTGGGTGGCTCCTTCGCTTCCTGAATGTCGCTATTGCGTGGTGCATCCTCTCGCTGTCTCTGACTCACTCCCTCCCCTTCTCTTCCCACTGCACAATGGCTCCTGGGCCTCTTCCCACACGGCGTGCTGCCATCAGCCTTCACAAATACGGCTCCCTTCTCGCGCCTACCTGCCACTTTGTCTCTCTACCTGCGACTGTGGAGCCTCTTTTCTCCGTGTGCTTCTCTGTGTGGCTCTGTGTTGGGTTCCCTGAATGCTGAGCCTGGACGTCGGTCGTCTCGTGTGTCTCTGCCCCTAGTTAGTTCTCTCTGCCATTCGCCCTTAGCAGCCTCCAGGATAGCTTATGGCCGCAGCTAACGTGGTGCGTCTAGGGCCTAGGGTTCGAGGCTACTAGGCTGCTGGGGGTTTGTGGCTTGGGATGTGCGGTTTTTTCGAAGGTGGCTGCAAGCAATGAACATGCGTTGGCTCTGAGCATCAGCGGCGAAGTTTTTTCGTGGGGTTCCAACAAGTGGGGGCGACTGGGCCTTGGGGAGGCGTTCGACAGTGTTAAGAACGTAGGGTCTAATTCCCGAGGCTCCTTGCTTGTATTGCACACCCCTCTCTCGTTAGGCCTTAAAACAAAGCGCCTCCGTCCTCTGAAGAGTAGAGGTCCCTCCTCTCTTCCAAGCAAGGCCCCTGGAAGCCGTTGTCAAGCTCCCGAGGCGCGATGACGCCAACAGACTAGGATCGGCGTGGTAATTACGGGTTGTTTCAGGTATGGACTCCGACGTTGGTGCGTCTGTCTCTGCGGGTGCGCTACGTGGCGGCTAGCGACACACATTCCGGACTGGTCGTGTCAGGAGGGCTGCTGTATTTGTGCGGCAGCAACAGCTACGGCGAGCTGTCCTACCCTGTGGGCCCCCTACCTGCTTCGCGAGACAGACTGCCAAGAAATGCAGCTGAGGAAGCTCCCATTGCCTGGAGTTCCCGCTTTCTTCTCGTTAGGAGCCTCCAACAGCACAAGATCAAGGTCGTGGCGCTCGGGAGGCACTTCACTGTAGCCCTTACGCGTTCGGTAAGAAGAAAGGGGCCTCTCTCAGACTCATGGCACTGCATCCTTGCCTATCTACACCTATATCCTTGGATACGCTTGTACATGTGCATGCACATATGCCGCACTGGATCTGGCAGCTTCTCTCTAGCAAGACCCTTCGGCGGCAAGGGCATAGAGCTGCAGGGCCATAGCAAGCAGGTGCCAAGAACCTAAGCAGAAGAGGAGCAGCTTCTGCGTGCTCTTTCTTCTCTGCGCGATCGCCGTCATGTGCCTGCCTGTCAGCGGTCTTATCACCTGGGGATGGGTAGATGTGTAGATGCGTTGCTATGTGTATATATGTTTGTATATATATATATATATATGTGCGCGTTGCCGCCGGCGTATTCTGCAGGGCAAGGTCTATTCTTGGGGTGTAAATGATGTGAACCAACTGGGAGTCTCTTCCAAAGCAGTATTTCCTCTGTCGCCGTATTTGGGTGAAGAAGCTGCTCCTCCGAAGCCCCACACCCCTCAGCCTCAGCTCCTGTGGCTGCCTTCTGAAAGCTCTGTGCAGCAGCAGCTGTTCTTTTATTTGATTGCCGCTGGGCCCTTCACAGCCTTTGCTGCTGCAGTCGAGACACAGCAAGGAGGCGCGGAGGAGGGGCACCTCAATCAAAGCTTGGAAACATTCTTCAAGAAGGTGCTCTGCCGTTCTCGCTCTTCCGTCGGCTGGGAATACCGCAAACTGACGGCAGCCTCTCACTCTATTGCCATGGCGGCGCAGCTAGCCGGGGGAATGGGCAGAAGGCCTTCAATCGGAGGATCCTCTGCTGGTGGAGCCTCAGGGCCTTGTGCGGTGCAGCGGCTGCTCACACTGAGCCGCGGAGAGAGTAACCTGGTGAGTGTCGAGGCTCCCGGAGGCTCTCAGGGGCGCATGCAAGGGCCACCCGACCAGCTGCTCTCCCGGCAGGAGAGCAGCACGCAGGAAGCTGCCTCATTTTTCCTTTCGGGAGTCTCGGTAGAAGAGGTGCTGAGCCTCCTCGAGGGTGCAAGGAGCACTGGGGACCTCTCAGCCTTGCGATCCATGGTAACCCAGGTGTTTGGCGATGTCTTTCGCTTGAATTCCTCGTTTGCTTATCCTGGCCACGGGAGCGTGCCAGACTTCGAAGGCCTCACCGCAGTGTACGGACAGCTGCCGGCTGAGCTGCTGCCCCTGGTGTGCCAGAGTTTCTCGCTTGTTGTCAGCAACACAATAAAGATGGCGCAGTTCTTACGAAGGCCGGACCAACTCAAATTCATCCTTTTTATGCTTGCATGCACGCCCATCTACGCTAGCTTCTGCGAGAGAGGCTCTCAGGAGGGGTCGTCGGGGTCTACAAAGCCAGAGAAGCACGAAGACACGGGCGCGGGGTCGCAGGGAGGCCTCGCGGAGACAGGGGCAGACAGAGGTACTTCGGACAAACCCCAGGAGATACATCTGCAAGCGCAAAGGCCAGACACCAGGGGAGAACTCTTGTACACGGCAGTAATCCACATGCTCTTCCACCTACCCGCCGACGGGAAAAGAAGCTTTTTGCGCCTTGCGAAGGAATTTCCAGATTCGATATTTGAGTGCGCACAGGGCGAGGACAGATATGGGGTGGAGCTGCTACTCAAACGTGTTTTTTTCTCTGCGGGGGCCCCTAGTGTACTTTACATGTTTTGTATGTATACGATCTAGCAACTTCGCTGCGCAGTGGCGAGGCTGTGTATTTCCTCTCTGCATGGGTATCTGGGGGACTGCTGCCAGTTTTTTTGTCTGTACTACGCCTTTAAACATCTATCTCTCTGTGCTCGTTACTTTTCGCAGGACGGCCCTAGTATTCCCAGCATGCCGTTTCCTGGCGCACGCTCTCTCAACCGCGGGGTCACGCTATCGCATTGTGGACCGAGTGTGGCACTGCGCAGCCTTGCTGCAGCTGTTATACCACGCCAACCTCAGCAGCAATCGAAAGGTCATTCTAGGTGGTGGTCGCGGCACGAAGATTCCCATAGAAAAGTTTCAAGTCGAAGAAATCGGGGTCTTTGTAGACCCTATTAAGGAGGTCGGCGCCTACATTGAGATAGCCCCGAGGGCGGCTCAGCAACAAGACCAGCAAAACACACAAGCCGTCAAAGAACAGCGATATCGCCGTGAGATACACAGACACACACTTCCACATGCATACACATACACACACATTTCCACATGCATACACATACACATACACGCACTTCCACATGCATACACATACACATACGTAAAAACCTAAAGGGAAAGCGTAGACATTTGGCGGGACTGTGTCTGGACCTGGCTAGCCTTTAAAGATATATTAGCTTCTCAGCTTGCAAGAGGTGGTTTGGCAGAGGAGCACCAGAGCCAGCAATGTTTACGTGGTCATCAGGAAGCCCCGTAGAGACACCTGCCCATGGGATGCCAGTCTGTTGGTGCAGCGTCTGTCGGGCTTCAGCTACAGAAAGTGCAGACTAGGAGATGAGGCTATGACTTTAAGCCAAGCAGTTTGAATGTGTGGAGTGTGCTGCAGCCGTGCGATTGTTTGAGCTTGAGCGGGATGTGGTAAACAACAGTGAGCTGCAGTCCGGGTGGTCTCTCTTCATGGCGCACTTGAACCTTTGCCCTCTATCATTTAAGCGCAATGTAGGGAGCTATTTCAAAGAAGCAGAGTCCTTGTTTCTTTATCGTACACTCAAAATATGCTATTTCGCTCGCAAGGTGTCGATTTGGCTCTCGCTTTTTCCCAGTGCTGCCCCCTGTCTTCCGTGCTGCCTGCCATTGCCCCAAAGTGTGTGCTTGCGAGCTTCTTTTTTGGTTGCGCCGCTCCTTTTTTTCTATATATATGTATGTACATACGTGGCTGTCTTCGTACATGTGCATATCGATAGACCTACGCGTAGACATGCATGCATGCATGTATGCAATTATACCTCGCATTTAGTCCTTGTCTTTTTCTTCTGCACCAGGCGGCCTTCACCGTCTGCTTCTTTTCCTCGGTGTTCGTGTCGGTTGCGCCTTTTCTGTCTCCTCCCTATCCCTAGCTACGCGTTGTGTGCAGGGAAAAGGCGGATATATTTTGTTGCCGGCCCCCTTCTCCGTCAGTCTTCGCGTAGATCAATGAGTTTTCTTCCTCTTGTCGCGTATGTCTCCTCGTGCGTGTGCGCAGGTCTTGCTGGTAGACAACGTGTACAGACAACACCACATGTCTCTTCAGTCTCTCTTGAACACGCAGCTGCCCTTTTTAATAGTGCGGGTCCGCCGCAGTGCTGCCGTCACGGACGCCTGTCGATTCTTGGGATCCAGCGACCCCAAAGATTTGCTGCGTCCCCTCAAAGTCATCTTCGATGGGGAGGAGGGTGTGGACGAGGGGGGTCTCCGCAGGGAGTTTTTTTCCGTGAGTTGACAACATTCACGCAATCACCCAGAAGGTGTCAATTTTCACCGCGCGTGAGCGTGGTTCTAAGAGATAGGCTGGCATGTTGTGTGCGCGAAAGCCAGCGTGCGCCACCACCTTATGGCCTCCCTTCACATTCTTCGCCCCTCTCGGCCGCTCTGTACTGTGCACTGTGTCTGTTCATCTCCTGGCCGCTTCCGATTCTCCGTGCTGCCTGCTGCGTTGCTCTCTCGCTGCTCAGCTGCTCACCAGAGAGCTCTTTTCTCCTTCTAGAGGGCTGTTTTCGTACAAGTCTGGGGTCAGGACTATGTGGTTTCAGCAGCAAGATGATGTGAAAACAGGCACAGAGCCTGGCAATGCTGCCGGTGAGCTACCGTCGATTCTTAGCACCTCCGAAGGTTGCGCCGAGCCTCAGGAAGCGGCAGCCGTGGCGCGAATCGCTTCCAGAGAGGGAGAAACAGAGGGAGAAGGTGAATGTGGGGCTGATAAAGGCAGCAAACAGGACGCTGTGCCAGAAGGGAAGGCTAAGGAGTATTGGGTTACTGGCCTGCTTGCCGCAATGGCGGTCTACAACGATATCCTGATGCCCCTTAACTTGCCACTCGTCGTACGCCTAATCGCTGTGCCGGCTACTGCTGTTCTTGCTGCTGATCTTGCTGTTGCCTTCGGGCTCTTGACGCCCTCAGAGTTGCTTTTTGGGTGCATTAAGAGTAGTTGTTGGAAGCACCCGTTCGTCGGTGCGCGGGATGCATTACGGGCCCTTTCGGAAAGGGGCCCCCTATGTCTCGTGTTTTCTTGAAATGCGTTGTGCATCCCCTTCTGTTTGCCTTTCGATTCTGCGTTCAGATCTATAAGCGGCTGCAGGGCGCAGAGGTCACCCTCGACGACCTGAGGTACTGCCACTACTACTGTGGGGTTTTGGAGGCTCAAGACAGATTGCACTACTTACTTGCCTCGTGCGCACAGTTTGAGGTCCAAGAGGGTGGACTGTGGAGGGTTGTGCTGCGTCGTTTTCGCGCTTTTGCAGCGACGTTTTCCCTGAGGAGCTCCACAGTTTCGAAAAACTGCTGGAGATTGACAATGAGGCAACCTTCAATGTAGGCATCCCGACGCTTCGTAGAGCTCAACTTCACTGTATCCGCCTACAGGGTGCCTTGTATTCCCTGCCTTCCACTCTTCCTTTTGGAGCCGCCTCCGCGTTGCCAGCCAGGTCGAGGCAGCCTGAAGCTTGCACAGGGGTTGATAATGAGAGGGGTCGGCGGTGCGTACAGTGTATATGTGTGACTGCGCGCCTGGTTTTGCAGGAAGCATTTGAGGGAATGACGTTTGCTGTGGACGTAGAACTGCCAGGGGGACGCAGAGGGCAGGTGGCGTTGAAGCCGGCTGGCGAGACCGTGGCCCTTACGATCCACAACAGACAGGAATTTGTGCATTTGTACACTCGCTACCTGCTTGTCACTTCGGTTGACTGGCAGGTAAAAGAAGCTCGAGCTTGCTGTTTAGCCCACACATGCCCCTCGCTTCCCCTTACTATCTTTCCACAGTTACTCTCGCGCCGTATCCGTTCGCTTTTTCCGTTTGCTGTCCCTGCGTTTGGTTTCGTAGTATTCACATTTCGAGAGGGGTTTCCAGCTCATTGCGCCGCCTCTTGTGGGGAGTCTTACTGGCAAAGAACTGCAGCTCCTCATTTGCGGCACGCCAGAACTGGACTTCAATGAACTCAAGGAATCCTGCAGGTCTGAGCGAGGGACTAATGATTGGGAATGTAAGGGGATCGGGGAAGAATGCTTTGGGGAGTTGGAGTCACCGCTCTCACAGCTGGGCGCAGGACCATGGAGTTTGGAGTCCTTTTGGACGATGCGCGGCTTGAGGCTTTGACTTAGGGGCTTGTATTCTGTGTCTCTTACTTTCTCACTGCAGGTATGAAGGGTATGCCGCCGACTGCCCCTATATACGGTCGCTTTGGGAGATCTTGACTTCATTCGATATTTTCCAGAAGCAAAATTTCCTCAAGTTTGTGTCGGGTAAGCAGGCCATAATGTGCCTGGTGGGCTTTTTGCGTCTTCATTAGTTCGGAAGCCCTTTTCCTATCCAGAATCCGACTCCGCCGGAAGCACCTGAAAGGCCACAGCGCTCGCTTTTGTATTTTGCCACGCCAGGCCTTCAATAAGTACCAAACTTCTCCCTGCCTCATACCTCCTCCGGCTTTTCGCTGCGTGGCTTGTGGGTGTGCGTCAAGGAAGTGAGCGCTCTCCGGCCTTTGGCTTGAAGGAGCTTCGCCTGGTGATTCAGAAAAACGGCGGGGAGCCCACTGAGCGGCTTCCAACCTCATTCACGTGTTTCTGCACGCTCCTGCTGCCCGAATACGCTTCCAAAGAGAAGTTGCAGAGGCTCCTCACCATCGCCATCGAGGCGTCCGAGGGTTTCGGATTGCAGTGAGAAGCTCATCGGGCCCAAGTGTTGCATGAGCACTCTATGAAAACAAATCTTTGTAGTTCGGGGGGCACAAAGGGGCTGCATTACTGCAGGTAAAGGTCCCTCGTTTGCGGGAGGGAGAGGCCACCCAGGGTCTCTTTAGGGCAAGAATCTTCAATACTTCTCACCTCCCAGGGGCCTTGCGGTTTACCGGCGTGATATTTGCACGTTCTACATGTACGTCGCGTTGCAAGAAGCCCTGCTGACCAGGGGTTCTTGGGGCCCCCGGCAATCCGGGGGGCCCCGCGAAAAATCGGGTTGCCCCAGCACTGCTGATGGTAGTTCCTCGGCGATGTGTAGCAATCCGTCGTGTAAGTGTGTGTACCTGTCTGTACGTATGTGTGTCGCGCCGCGAGAATGTGTGCCGATCTCCTGAATGTTGCCTATGGCCCCTCTTAATGCATAAAGTAGTCCATGTTGGATAGGAGGATCTGCTGCACCAGGAAGTGCAACCTTGAATCTGTTGGGCTCTTGAGGTGCTAGGATATAATATGGCTAAGAAGTATTGGGGGGCTTAAACTGCTGGGGAAGCGTGGGATAAATAGGGCTGGCTGGCTTGGGAAGGTGTTATTTGCCTTCTTTGCGAAAAAAGTAGAGAGTCGGGCTGCAGCTTTATGGGTTTCGTGGCAGAGGGGCGCTGCACCTTTACATAACGGACTAGGAATTATCCCCGCTGCAAAGGTGTCAGTTGTCTAGTGTAACCCCCAAGTTGCAAGAATTTGCCACCACTGCCGCACAGGCGAGGAATGCAGCTCTTTCAGGTAGGCCACACAACGTCTTCCCTAGCAGCAGCAGTGCTGTACACCAACGTGGCTAGCCGTTATGACCCTGCGCGACTCTGCCACATCCTGCTGGGCCGTACGTAGCACTTGAGAGGCGGTCGCCTCTCAACCCCGCGCGCCATATCGTTTACTTCCAACTCTAAAAGGCCGAAAACTGGATCGTGCCTCGACACAGGTCGCAGCTAGCCATGCAAGCAAGTCGGGCGTAAGGACATAGTAGAAGGTGCGAACCAAGAGGCTCAAGGCTCACATTGGAAAGACGCGTGCAAAACACCCTCCGGAAAATAAAACATCAGACACGCTATTTTTGGGCGTTTAAAGATCGTCCCTGATCTGGAGGAAAATAGACGCGGCCGCTCTGCCGCGACCATCTCGTGAGGAGATTGTTAATTGCAAAGGCGGGCAGACACGTGCTAACTACCCGCAGCGCGCCATGAATTCAACTGGCTCACTGGCCTATTTGACGCGCACATTCTGCATTTGCTCCCAGAAGGAGTAGCGTCCAATACCAGGGCTGCCAACATGGGGCCAGGCATCCCAGAACCTTCCAACCATCGGATACTGAATAAATGTATTAGCTCAAACTGCGGGGGAGTGGTGGGCAGAGACGTAGCGTCCATGCGAATGTCTCCTCAAGCTGCAGCCAGGCGTTCTCTTTCTTTATCCAGACTAACACAGTGCACAGTAGCTCGTTGTTCAAGAAAGGCAAGAGAGGGCGGTTGTCGCCCACTCTTCACAAGAAAACTTTTGCCATCGTCGGAACCGGCAGCATATTGAACGAGCATTTTCCAAGCCGACGTTCCTTGATTTAGCCGCGCTCGCGACTCGCGGGGAGGGATGTGGGGGTAACGCTCGAACCATGTGGCAAGAAAAAGGAGATGTGTGTTCCTCAATAGATGCAAAGTATCGGCATTTACAGTCACACGCCCCACTTGAGAGCCTCTTAATTCAATGCAACTGCACGAACGGTTTCCAGCTAGTGGAAGCTCATCACATCGTGGCCCTCGACAAACGCTTTAATCGCCTGAATCTCTCCGAGAACTGGAACACTAACGGACCAAGTTCTCTTATCGCAGTTTCCAGCAGACTGGCTGGATGTAAACGAGAGCTCGTAAAGAGGTGTATGATCGCTTTGCTTGTCTGCTACTTTAGCTCTAGAGTAGCGTAAGCTCGATGCAAGTCTTCAGCATCTTTGCGCGCATGTACGCTGGATGCGATGTGCGATTCGCTGTGAAAGGTCTGCGTGATCCGGGGGTGCAGCAAAGGGCATTATGGCTGTCTTTTTCTCCAGTCGCCCTTCGGAACCGACGGGTTGGTACTAGCGCAAGGCATGTGGGGAAATGCGCGGAGCAGCTCACTAGCGCTGCGATACCCCATCCTGTGGCTGATGACGGCTCTGTGTCGCGAGCAGGGAGGTGGGAGAGCTCTTTTGGAAGGAGACACGTAGCTTCCTTTCTAGTTTATCATAAAACTGTCGTGAAGTGCTTCTTCTCCACCGGGGCCTTACGCAGCCAGGGGGTGGAGTGAGTGGGGACTTCCCCAAAGCGCAATATTGAAGGAACCAAATGCTACGGAGTGTGTCTGTGACGGAATGCATGGCCTTGTATACACGCATCCCCGATTTAAGCCTGCGCTCTTGCCTCGGTAAAAAGCAGAACTCGCTGGTGCTCACGGTGGGGGGGTTCGGGAGCACGCGTCGCTCGCCTTCTATGGCCCCACTTTTCGCTCTCCGCCACTGCAGGGGGTCACCATAAGTAAGCGGAATAAACGCCAATTGGACGAGCTGCCGAGATCAAGTAAGTAGCGAACCAGCGGCTGCTCGAGCTGCGCGGTGGCTGCGCTGCTCGTTGGGACTGCAGAGGAAAGTGTCTACGCATATTCAAGGATACGCTAGTTTCGGGTGTGGCATCTGAAATGCCAACGAGGACAAAGCCAACACTCTGTTTTTTTTCGAAACGTCCTTACGCAACTCCCTCCTGCACCGTCTGCGCGGGAGCTCCTGCTACTGCTACTGCCACTGCTACTACGAGTACTACTGCGGACTCCGACTGAGGCGCCGTTCCCGCTTCCACTGGCATGCAAGGGAGTGCCAAGAGGTTTCTTCCACATGGAATCCTTTTTCATGCGCTTTTAAGGCACAAGCTTCTGCATGAGCTTTTGCTACCGGCTGCTTTTCCCAAGATCTCCCTTCTTGTCGCGTGTACTGCTCCGCCCGCGGCAGTCCCCAGGCTGCGCGTTTCGGGGTATTTTCTGTGTGGGCTTCGACACTTTGCGTGTTACGAGGATGCTCGCAGCAGATAAGACCGCTGCTGTTGCAGCCTCGGCCTCAGTCGACGGCATTGCGCCGGCTGGAGGCGTGGAAGCGCCAACAAATTTCTTGTCTCAGATCATGCAACAGGATCTGGCGACGGGGAAGCACAAGAGCATCGTAACTCGCTTTCCCCCCGAGCCTAACGGCTTTCTGCATCTTGGGCACGCCAAGTCCATCTGCATAAATTTTGGCCTTGCTAAGACCTTTGGTGGCAGGTGCCACATGCGGTTTGACGACACCAACCCTACGAAAGAGGAGACGAGGTAAGGCGGCTTCGGAGCCCCAGTGTATGTACGTCGTCGTCGGGGTGTCTGAGGAGAAGCTGCGGCTGCTTCCTCGCGCGACTGGACTGCACAGCCTCGTAGCGTCGGCGCTTATGCCTTGTTTGGATTGTGCCGTGCGCGGTGCCTGGCAGGTACATTGAATCGATCCTTCGAGACGTTCACTGGATGGGTGGCTCATGGGGTTCCCACCTGTACTACGCTTCGGATTACTTCCCCCAACTGTACGAATGGGCTGAAAAGCTCATCAAAAAAGGCCTGGCTTTCGTAGATTTCGACTCGCTGGAAGAGATCCGGAGGAAGAGGGGCAGCATCACCGAACCTGGCGAAGAAAGCCCTTACAGAAACAAATTCAGCGTGGAAGAAAACCTCATGCATTTTCGAAAGTGCGTGTTCAGGCTGCATTCTTGCTGGCCCTGCTGCTCCTCAAGAGCTCCCGGCACCCCATATTGCCTTGAAACGGTCATGCAACAGAGACAAAACTCCCCCCAAGCGCCTCACGAGCAGCCACGCACACACACACAGACACACACACAGACACCCTGCACGTAGGAGGGTGTTCTGAGGCTTTGATGCACATGCTTTTTCGACGCGCACAGTCACGGGACGGAGGCGAGGATCCGGCTGGACACGCATTGGCTTCTTCGCAGAGGGCTGCTTTGGGGGGGTTGTGCTGTGTTTGTGCAGGATGCGTGACGGAGACTACGAAGAGGGGCAGTGCGTTCTAAGGGCAAAAATCGATATGAAGCACAAGAACGTCATTCTCAGGGACCCTATTATGTACCGCATCCTTAAGAAGGAGCATCCACGAACTGGTCAGGGAGGCAGGGAAAGCGAGGGGGAGGGTGGGGGGAGGGAAAAAGGTTGTACTGCGGGGGCTATCCAGTGGTATGAGCTTTTTCTATGAACCACAAGGGTATCTATATATATATATATATATGTATATGTATCTATGTATATATGCAAGCATGCATGCATGCATCCACGCAGGTGGATTCGCGAAAGCGCGCCTTTTGCGTGTGCTTTGCTTTGCAGGCAACAAGTGGGTTATATACCCAATGTACGACTACGCTCATGGTCAGAGTGATTCCATTGAGTCTATAACACACTCAATCTGCACACTGGAGTTCGACTTGAATCGGGCGCTCTACGATTGGTTCCAAGAGGCGCTGGACATAACGAGGACTCGACAAATTGAATTTGCGAGACTCAATCTCACATACACCGTGATGAGCAAGCGGTCAGGCACCTTCTGCAGGCAGCAGCTAGGGAGGGCTTACGGCTGCGATGCGCTGGAGGGTAGTAGCTTGGAGGGGGAAGGGGTTGTGTGTGAGTGATGAAAGATCGAGGACGTCGTGGTGGCAGTCTTCCGCTTGTCTGTGTGTTTGTCAGTGTCTGTGTGCTTGTTTGTCTGTGTGTTTGTTAGTGTCTCTGTGTTTGTTTGTTTGTTTGTTAGTGTCTGTTTGTTTGTTTGTTTGTTAGTGTCTGTTTGTTTGTCTGTTAGTGTCTGTTTGTTTGTCTGTTAGTGTTTGTTTGTTTGTCTGTTAGTGTTTGTTTGTTTGTCTGTTAGTGTCTGTGTGTTTGTTTGTTAGTGTCTGTGTGTTTGCTTGCTTGTTTGTTTCTGTCTTTGTTTGTTAGTGTCTGTGTGTTTGTTTGTTTGCTTGTGTCTGTATGTTTGTTTGTTTGCTTGTGTCTGTGTGTTTGTTTGTTAGTGCCTGTGTGTTTGTGTGTGTTTGTGTGTCTGGTGGCTGGTTGTGTGTTTTTTTCCGGTGGGGATGGTGCAAAAAAGGGTCCCTTTGCGCCGAAGGCACTGTATGCTGGGGGGCTGTGGCGCATGCATGTGTTGTTTATCAGGAAGCTGCTGGCTTTGGTGAATGAGAAGGTTGTTGCAGGGTGGGATGACCCTCGTCTCTGCACGCTTTCTGCCCTCCGTCGACGGGGGGTTCCTCCAGGCGCTATTCGCGAATTCTGCGAGCGTGTTGGGGTGGCCAGGAGGCCCTCCACAATTCAAGTTGAGCTTTTTGACAGATGCATCCGGTAAGGCGCATAAATAAGGCGTAGATAGCCTGTAGAGAGTGAGAGTAAGTGACAGAGTGAGTGACGGTTAGAGTAAGAGAGTGCGAGTAGGAGAGTAAGGGTAAAAAATGAGGGTAAAAAGTGAGAGTAAGAGAGTGAGTAAGAGTCAGAGCTTGCAGGACGGGATGGTGGGAGGGGGTGGTTGGTTGCTGGGGTGGGATGGGGTGATTGGGGGAACGGGGAGCGCGGACGAATAGGCAGACAAGCAAACATGCAGGGCAGCAGCAGCAGCTGCTGCTGTTGCAAGTCTAGGAAAGGTGTCTGAAGTGAAAGCATGTCCTTACAATTTGTTTGGAGCTGCGGTGTACCGACACGAGTGCGCTACGATTTTTTGCGCGCAGGGAGTACTTGGACGAGAGAGCTCCCCGGCGTTTTGCAGTGAAGCAGCCTCTGTTGGTGAAGATCACCAATCTGCAGAAGGAAGAAACACTGGCAATCCCAGTGGACCCGAAGAATGCTGCAGCAGGAAACAGACAGGTGCGTGTCGGCATGTTCATGTACTGGGTGTTGTTGCGTGGGGTCGATGGGGTGGAGAAAGACTCGATGAGTAGACAGTGGAGCAGGGTTTGTGAATTGCGGACAGAAGCTGGATGCACAGGAGGTCAAGGAGCATCGCGGGGGCAGTCTTTGATTTTGGCGAGCCGTGGCTTGCTGCGTTTGTGTTGTGTGTGCCGTTAATATTTGTTTTGGATCTTTGTTATTCGATGCCGGTGTATTCTCGGCGTAGTTGTCAGAGTGATGTGGGTGGCCAGCATATATTTTGCCCGCTTTGTTTTCGCTGTTGTGTTGACACACCTTGTGCGTTTTCGGTTCTGCTCTGTTCTCCCTCTGGGGCTGTTCGAGGCATCTCCGTGTATTTTAGGTGTGCGTGGTAGATCGTGTTACTGCGTTGCGCACGCCAGTAGGGTTTTCGGACGCGATTTTTGGGGTGTCTGTACAGCTGCCCTTCACGAACGAGTTGTACATCGAGGCGGAGGATTTCATGGAGAATCCTCCCAAGGACTTCCACAGACTGTCTCTGGGCAAGGAAGTGCGCCTCAGATCCGCCTATTGGATTAAGTGCAACGAGGTAAAGAGGAGCGTTGTTTGATAGGTGGATCGGTTGAGTCGCTTTGTCTGTGCGCTGTGCAGGGAAGCCGAGTAGGGGGGGAGAAGGGAAGTGTATTCTGTTGCCTTGCGGTCCTTGTGCTCCCTACGCCGCTTGCACGTCTGGAGAAATGTGTTACGTGGTTTGTTTGCAGGTTGAGAAGGATGCGAATGGGGATATTACGGCCCTGCTGTGCTCGTACGATCCGGAAACACTCAACTGCTCGGCAGCTCCGGATGGACGGAAGGTCAAGGGGACTATCCACTGGCTCCCCGTCAAATACGCCGTGCCGTAAGCATTAAGGACTGCCGAGTTGTTGTATAATGGTTCTGGTGTACCAGGCTTGGGGTTGAGGGTGGGTGTGCGGCGAAGCTGGGGACCAACGTTCCTTTGAAGAGGGTCTTGGGAGCGGAAAAAAAAGAGCGAGCGAGAGACAGAGAGAGAGAAAGAGAGACGTGGCGCTAGTTCGGCATTTCATGTGCGTTGTGGCGTGTTTTGGGTGGTGTTTGGCTGGCACTTCCTAGAGGGTTTTTCAAGAGGTTTTTCTAAGGCCTTAAATTTGCTGGCTGCTGTGTGTTCGGATAGGGCGGAATTGAGGTTCTATGATCGCCTCTTTACAAAGCCTTTCCCGGAGGAAGAGGAACCGCAGAGGCCGGAGAGCAGCTGGCGCGATAATATCAATCCCAATTCGCTTGTGGTAAGGAGATCCAGGGGTTTGAACCTTGGCTGGCTGTGTGCGTGGTTCGAGTCTGCTATCTCTGAGAGGGCGCCTTCGAGGAGTTGCCTCCGCTGTGTGCTGCTGCAGGTGTACAAGGGCTTTGTGGAGCCTGACGTGGTTTGCTTGAAGGCTTTCCCGCCGCAGTTTCCTGTGCAGTTCGAGCGCCTGGGCTTCTTCACTGCCGACGCCCCTTGCGAGTACATTTACTCGGAGCCTGGCAACGACACCTCCAAAGCTGCTGGCGAGAGCTCTTGGGGGTTGGATGCCAGGGCATATGAAAGGCCGCAGGGTGCCATGCCAGTGTTTAATCTCACTGTGGGGTTGCTTGAGGGCTTTACAGTGTCGCGCGAGAAGGAGGAAGAGTCGCGAAGGCAAAAGGAAAAGGATCAGGAAGCAAGGCGGAAGGCTGCAGAAGAGCGGCAAAGGAAGAAAGAACTGCGTGAGGCAGCCAAGCTGAAGAAGGAAACCGAAAAGAAAGAAGCAGAAGCGTAATCGACGGTCGCTGCGCTTGTGGACTTCTCGCCCGCTCCTTCTCTTCTCCCCTCCTCCTTCCTCGCTGCCGCTGCGCCCACCGTACAGCAGTCGTCTGGGTTCTTGTTCGCGCGTGCTTCTCTGCGCCATCGGCTTTAATTTGCAACGCATAAGTCTGTGCATCTCAACATATGTATTGCACCACGCGTGTTACGCTTAACGGGCACCCAGTGTGCGCGTTGAGCCCCCCTTTCTCGCCCTCTGCTTGCCTCTGCATCCGCAATTCCACTAGGCAGAATGGGCAAGTGACTCACGCAGCTCCGCTGCAAGCCCTTCCTGCCTCGAGGATTAAGGCCTTCTTCTCAGATTGCAGAACCAGGGTTCTAGAAGCGGCACGGCTGCGCCCAGAGGCAGCAGGCTCACGCTCTGCACACAGGCAGCAGCAGCAAGGGCACTGCTTTGGCGATCTGCGCACCAAAGAAGGGTCGCTTGGCGTGTCTGTACCTCTTGTGAAGGGCAGCGGGCTTGTTGCATGCGCTGCCACGGCTTCCTCCCGCTACGGCGTTTCGTTCTGGAGAGGCGGCATCCATTGGCAGGGGGCCGATCTTCGGGGGCACAGAGGACTTTGAGGGAAGACGTAGTTAGGTCGAGAGAGCTATCGAGTGTGGGTGTCTAGAAGTGATATTCTTGGAAGGCGGGGGGGGGGGGGGGCAGGAGGGGAAGGTAGCGTTCGAATTGCGAGAGGATGGCGTTCCCTGGAAAGGCAAGCCTCACCACAGACCCTGGCTATTTACAGTTTCAGAAGAGCGAAAGGCTCTCAAGTGTACAGGTAGGGGGTGGCTATAAGGGATGCAACTAGGGAGCAAACGAAAAGCCTAGCGAACGGTGGACGTTTGCTACTCGTGAGCTGCGTGGCCTAATGGGCTACACCAACGAGCGCGCTCGAGGAGGTGAAATAGAGAAGTCTCGCAATGGCGACAGGTGTACGGTATAGGTGGCGCATAATGCCCTCCCATGAGCGACCAGGTAGAGGCTATGCAGCCTGAGAGTGGCGCTGAACCCTATTCGTGAGATAAAAGCGACACCCCAGCCGCCCCGGACCTCCGTAAGTGTATAGTTATGCGTGGCTTTTGAGAGCTGACTCCTGTGAAACGGATGCTGTCGCTAGTTTATTCGCGCGTCATTAAAAGCAAAATATACGCACGCGCCCCCACGAATTGCGTGCGAGTCGACGTGTGCACGCGTGCGAGTCTACATGTGCACGCGTGCGAGTCTACATGTGCACGCGTGCGAGTCTACGTGTGCACCGAAGCACACAGTCTGTACGCGCGGGTGTACATACGGAGTGTGCATTTCATGCATGCATAAAAGCACCAATAAGCTATAGATATTCATACAACTGCACTCCCGGATATATGCGGAACGCGCATATGAAGCCGATTTACCTGCGCATTTGCGCGCACGTGTATGCATATGCATGCATGCGCTACATGATGTATATAGATTAAGGGATGTGCACTGGCATCCGCAGGTATTCAATCGTGCACTTGCGTAAACTTCTATCCATGTAAATACATACAGAGGCCCTATAGACGGCACTCCAAAAGTGTAAATACGGAGGGGACGCGCAAGAAATTCACAAGGAGCCGGATTTGCGCGCACCCATATGTACCGACTTACATGCATACACATACACAGAGGGCTTTTCGAAAAAATTTAGCAGGAAGTGGCCGAAGGAAGCATGAATCTAGAGCGATAAATTTAGATAAATGCATACAATCTACACTAAAGTACGCGAGCATTTACAAAATTCAGTGTGTTGCTGCAATGTCATTTCTAAGCGCGCCTGCTGCGCTCTCCTTGCTCTTGATGAACGATTGCTGTTGGTGTGTAAACAGTGGTGAGAGTGGTGGGGTTGCTTTTGTTGTCCCTATTATCCCGGTTGGAGTGTTTAGACATTGTCGTCTTCGGTGAGTTGCTCAACGGTCCCCCATGGTCCATCTCCTTCTGCGTCTTCTTCCTCTTTGGTTTGAGAGGTAAGGGCGAGGGCGTTCGAACTGCACGTCACTTGCGCCTTCTGTAAGATTTCTTGTGCCTTCCGTGCCTTGTGCTTTCTGTCCAGGAAGAGGAGGGCAGACACGAAGCAGCACACGAGGCCTCCCCCCGCTATCATGACGCCATCGACGGGCCAGAAATTTTTAGGTTTGAGGCTGAGCAGCACCTCCGTAGACAGTCGGTACCAACCGATGCTGGTAAGCGCAAAACAGCCGCCGACGAGGGAGCAAATGCCGGCCAGAGATCCGAACACCCTGTTTGGGAAATGCGTCTTGATATAGCAGTAGATGCTACTCAGGACGAAAGACGCGTACAGCCAGAAGAAGACCACGGATAGGGCACGACTAGCCAGAGAGAGTGGCATAAGGAGAGCGTACATGCACATTCCCGCTACATTCAGGCATGCCAAGACTGCACAGACACCGAATCGGTCACTAAGGTATCCCATGAGAGGCCCTGGGATGAAAGAGAGAATGTTCATGATGGAGAAAAATGCATACAGATTGCGTCCATCTGGCAGCGCCAATTGCTCCTTGTTTGATTTCGTATAAAATTCGACACGCAATAGATTGACCACGAAAACGGGCATCAAAAGAAGAAATCGCGCGTCCAGAAGACATGTGCGCAGAGTCCCTTCCGGCTGCAGCTTCGCTTCTTCCTTCTCGACTGCGACAAATGTCGCCCCCACGATTTCGAACTCTTCCTTCGTTAGCAGCAGTTTGTATTGCCGGTCGGTGCTGCTGCTGTTGTTGTTGCTGTTGGCGTTGGTAGCGCTAGTGCTGGGGGCATTGTTGAGCGTCGTATCGTCCATCCACGGCTTGAAGAAGCTTGCGGGGACCGACGTAAGGATTCGTTTCCTGAGAGAGGTCACTTGCTCCTTCCTTTCCTCCCTGCGGAAGTCTTCGGCTCCCATGAAGGCCTTTGAGGGGACGAAGAGCACACATATGAACAGGCAGATACCTAACCCCACAAGAATGTAAAAGAGCAACACCTTCCAGAGCGACGCGCCCGAAAAGCTGCTTGCCTTGAAAACTTCCGCCATGATCACTGGGAGAGCAAAAGAGAGAGAGCGGACCGAGCCCATGACTCCCATCACCGTAGATTCTTGTTTGGGGAATAAGTTCGCCACGCACAGAAGAGAGAAATAGCCAGGATCCGCCGCCATGCCGATGAGGATGAGGGCAGGGACGTACGACATGACTGAGGCAGACGCAACGGCAAGCAAGGCCCACCCTACAGCATCCACCAGAATCGCTCCTAACACCGTCATCTTAGGTCCGATTTTATCCAAAATGATTCCGCCTGCAGCGGAGAAAATGAAGTTCGCGGCGAAGGCTGCAGTGTACAGATCGTTGATGGCGTTTTTCCTAGGCGGGCAATCCATGTAGAGCTGATCGCCGACTTCCTGGTAAACAATGTCGAGGCTTGTAGGTTCGCACAGCCATAGAAAAGCCCCAGACTTGTACAGCATGTCCTGAACGCCGTTCCAGCCCCAATACGTGCAGCCTCGTAGAAAAACAACCACCAGAAACAATGAGAGAAGAAGATACCGGTGAGCGCCTAGCGGCCTCCGTTGAGACCGAACCTTTTTCACATGCTCACAGTCTCTCGTGTTCAGGCACGGCTCCCTCTCCCACTGCTTCTCCAGGAGGAGGTAGGCTTCCATGTACTCGGCAGCGACGTAGTCCGTAAGGTGCTTCAGATCACCTGGTCCGCGAATGCGCAGCACCGTCGGGGATGACCCCGGGGGGGGGGTTGCAGTAGACAAGGCCCTATCAGTCATCTCGACTGAAGGAGAGCCAAAAATCGTCGGAGGTGAGGGCAAAGACCGGACGGCATTCGCCGGCTTACACTCTGCGATCATGGCTGCAGTGAGGGGAAGGTGGAGCAGCCAACGGGAAGACGAAGTGGCACAACCGCGAATCAGCAAAAAAACAGAAAAGCGTGCGTGAAAAGCACGAAAATAAGCATAGCAGAGCAAATGGAATCCGGCAGACGAAGGGACAAAGCGGATACTCATAAAACGGGAGTGTACATACAGACCAGTCCGGCCTAGCGCGTACGACCGCACAAAAGCGACTCCACGAAAATGTGGGGCAAACTCGTCGTCAACACTTTGGCTGAGCAAAAGACAAACAAAGAGATAAAACTGTTAAATTGAAGCGGAAAACCGCACGATGTACGAAGCGGCTGACCGTAAAAGTGGCCAGAGACTCGAGGAGTGGGGCATTACCGATCAGAGAAGAACGGGCTGTCTCAAACGAACTGCTGCTCGAAGCAACAAGCTAAGCGTGCACTTTTATACGATAATGAAACCCTCTAATTTAGTGAAGAGCTATGGTATCTGCTCGTGTTCGTTCAAGCTCCTTCCGTGACGGCCGTCACACCAGCTGTGGCATCAACAGCCAGCCGCGAGCGTCTGTCTGCCGGAGCAGTAGTAGTCCACTGGTCATTGGTGATGGATGGTGGCCTCCAGCGGCAATTAATTTCGGTGTGCTTTCGAGACCACTATGCTTTAAAGACATTAATTGCCCTTTTAATTCGACGATTCTCATTTTCTCCACTCAAATAAAATAAGATGACGAAGACGAGTGGCTAGTGCACCACGGACATTCCCGTCATTGCTTGATTCCCCCGCGTCGACGGAGAACGACGCGCCTCTCTCCCCCTTTTGGCTTGTCTTTTAAACCATGAGAAAATATATCCTGATTATATGTTTTGATAAAGTAATTTAGCTATAATGGTTTTAAAAATTATGGTGATCAGGAGCAATCTGCCCTCGGCGCCCGACGAAAGAGCCACAGGTCCCGTGATTCCTTTAAAAGACGGGCCGCCTGTCTGTACACTGTGGTAATGAACCTACCCTTGTAACTGAATTTCTTCGGCAGCCCCTCTGATGGCACTCTTCTTAGGATTTCTGTACAAGAGCGCGCCACGACACGCGGGTTCTACAAAATGAGCATTAGGGGTAGTGGCCAATTGATTATTAGTGCGTGGGCGTGAAATACGGATGAAGCGATTAAGTTATCAGGAACTCTCTCTGGGGCTTGCCGGTACACTTTTAAAGGCGTTCTCCGGAAAAAATAGAGAAGTTCTTTGAACTTTGTGGGATTATGATGGGCTGTTCTGACTTCTGATGTCTGGGGTTACCAGAGCTATTGCTGCTCCCACATTTGTTCCACAACTACTGGGCCGAAAGGGGCCAATTAAAAGCGAGAGCTCTATTTTTATTTATTCTTCCTCAGTCTTAAGCTTTTTGCGATTTAAATACCTAGCCCTAGCTGACGCAAGCGCCTTGTTAGAGAGCTTCTCTGGCACGGGTTGTACCTTTGGCTCAGCGGCTCTTTTGAAAGGCAAAACCATGTCACTTGTCAAAGGCATTTTGCTGCTGATACTGCTGGGTCCAGGGCTCGTGTCTAACAGCTGTTCTCCTTTGATTTCTTCATCCAGTTCCCGCCTTGCCTGACGTTCATGTTGCTGGGGTGCTGAGGATTGCGTTTTTACTGAAGAGGCCGCCGTTTCAGACCTCTTCACCGCAGGTGATGTCGGTTCTGCTGCAGCGGGGGCATGGTCTGCTGCCAGACATGTGTCTCCCTCACTGCGAGTCGCCGCTCCTGATTTAAGCAAGTAGGCATGGAAGGCGGAAAGGTCCTTCTGCTTGCCTCTAGCAGCGTCCCTGGCTTCCTGTCTCTCGAGCTCTTGCTGCACCTTGAGCCTTTCTTCTATTCGCGCTCTATATGCAGCAGTGACGAAGACTTCTTCCGCTGCTCCCCCCTCCCTTTCCCTCTCTTTCTGTACTTGCCTCTCTTGAATTATTTCGCGTTCCAACTGCCGCCGTTGCGCTTGCACGAGCAGCTTACCTATGAAACGCGCCGCAGGGCCTCTTCTTCCCTCCTCAGAGCCCGCTTCCCCCTTGACGCCCCCTAACGGGGAAAGAGAACAACCTTCTGTGGCGCCTGCATCCGCGGCGAGGGCGTCTGCTGTGGCACCGTCTTTGGCGATTTTATCCTTGATATCCTCTGTATACCCAAGGTACGTGCGCCTAGTTTGGGCCTTATTCTGCCTCTCCTTCGCTGAGCTGCTGCCGACCTGCTCATAGATGTCATCGTATGCGAGGGCTTTGGGGTCTTGTTTGAGGAGCTCCTCAGTCCGTTCCTGCTCCTTCTTGTTCGGTTTGCGCGAAAAAAAGGAAAGCGAAGGACGAACGACAGCCGTCTGCTGCTCCGACTCCGCGGACCCCTCAGCCTCCAAAGCCTCGCGAAACGCCGCCAACGTGCCCGTTGCTGCCCCCGTTGCAGTGCCTTGTGCCGCTGTGTTTGGGGCCCTCCTCGACGCAGCCGAGTCACTGGTGGAAGGCGCATTGGACGCCTTCTTGATTGAGAAGGAGAAACTCATCGGGGAGAGGGGGGACGAGGGGGGGGCTAAGGAGGGAACTAGTGGGTAGTTGACGGTGCAGCTGGCGGAAAGCTCGAGTCGAGAATTTTCGTCCTGGGGGATCTGCTGCCCTCTGCTACGGAAAAACCCAGGAGTTAGCACGACAGAAGCAGCACGAAAGCCTCCGCATAGACGCAAGGCCAGAAGGAGTCTCAGAAGACGAGGCAAAGACGGCCCCAGACGCTAAAATGCGCCTATGAGGGAGGCTGCGGAGTAGCCAGGCTGCGTTGAACCTCAGAGTCGCAGCGCCCTCAGCAGCCTTTCTCACGGCTCACCAAGAAGGCGATATCCTTAAGAAGCCTCTTGCCGCGAAACGAAGCAAACAAGCGCGGGAAAGGGGAAGGGTTGGGAGGGTGTGGAGGCAGAGGGGGCCCCTCCAAGAGGACTCGCGGCGCCGTGCAACCAGCCCCCGAAATCTGCGTGCTGCAGGAGGCAGCCTCAGTGGCGAGCCGGCGAAACTGCAGAGAAAGCGGATAATTCTTTCAAGAAACATGAAAAAACCTTTTCGAAACGCTGCGCCTTCTGACTCGCGGCAGCCTCTGCACGAAACACGACGCATCAGAGCCCTCTCCGCCGAGCGAAGCAAGGAGGGGGGAGGGGGCAGGGGCCTCCTCAGAGAGGCCTCATGGGGGCCCCCAAACCGTAGTGCCCCTTGAAAGGGGAACAGTCATGGCGATGCTTTGCAGAGTGCGGCTTCCGCTGCTGCTGCTGCTGCTGCTGCTGCTGCTACTGCTGCTGCTGCTCGCAGCCTTGCAGCGAGTTCGAGGAGAGCCGCTGGAGTGTCTCAGACCCCGACGATTCCTTGTATCCTCTCGAGGCTGCAGGAGGCTCCTCTTTTGCCAGTCGCCTCCTGCTGTCTGTACAGCAGCTGCGAGCGCCACTGCTGGGAAGAGCGCGAGCGTCGGCAGCAGCTGCTCTGCTGGCACGCGAACGCTGGGGGGCCGACTGCTCTCCATCGACTTCAACTGCAAGACACGAACTTTTGGCGAAGCCTTTGCGCATGCTCTCGGCGGCAGCAGCACTGCAGTGCGAGGCATTCCCCACTTCTACCGCTGGCTCTGCAATCAGTTCCCCAACTGCATCCGCCCGCTGCAAAAATACACGTGGCACAAGCCCAGAAGGCCCCCCAACAACAGCAGCAACAATAGCAAGAATAGCAGTAACAGTGGCAGCAACAGTGGCAGTAACAGTGGCAGTAACAGTGGCAGTAAAAACAGCAATCCGAAGGAGGCTGCGCGGCAGCGGATATTGCAGCAGCTTTTGAAGGAGGAGCAGCTGCTGTTGCGACGTGCCGAAGCTACAGCAAGCGGCAGCAAGGCGTTATTGAGTGAATCTGCTGAAGCTTCAGAAGCCACAACCTTCAGCTTGCTGCAGCGCAATCAGGAGGAGGAAGTGCCAATAGATGCTTTGCTGATTGACTTTAACGCCTTGCTGCATCTCTGCACTCATGGCCACCTCCCCTCCCCCCTTCCCGCCAGCCTGCAGCTGCAGCAGCATCTGCAACAGCTGCAGCCGTTGCTGCAGCAGCAGCATCTCCCGATGCTGTTGCGGCGAGTGCTCTCATATCTCGATCTCCTCGTGAAGCTCGTTCGGCCGCGAACCCTTTTGTGCATTACTCTCGACGGAGTGCCACCCATGGCTAAGCTGTCTCAACAGCGCGGAAGGCGATTTAGGCAGCAGCAGCATGAGGAGCAAAAGCAGCAGCAGCAGCAACAGCAACAGCAACAGCATGAGGAGCAAAAGCAGCAGCTACAGCAGCAGGAGGAGGAGCAAAAGCAGCAGCAGCAGCATGAGCCGCAGCTCGCTACTGCAGCCAGTGGAGTAAAGCATCCTCCTGCAGAAGCAGATGCAGAAGATGGAGAGGCGCCTTTCGACATCAACAGCATCGGTCCTGGCACACGTTTTACATTTATTGCGGAGAGTCTCCTGAAGCGATTTATTTTGTACAAACAAAAGAGCAGTCGAGTGTGGGGCAGCCTGCGCGCAGTGGTGTTCAGCGGATCGGATATTCCAGGGGAGGGAGAACACAAGCTTATGCAGCTGCTGACTTGGCAATCCTGGGAGCTGCCAAGCACTGCCTTGGCTAAGGCCTGGTATGGAGAAGTGCAGCAACAGCAACAACAGCAACAACAACAACAACACCAGTCCAAGCCCACTCAACATCGACGTAGGACGCCAGCAACACGCGTGCGCCTCCTGCTGCCTCCTTCCTTTGAGGCTTTCTGCGAAACGTCTGTCAGCAACTCCTCAGCAGCAGCGGCAACTGATGCAGCAGGGGGGGAGGCTTCTGCACGCCAAACAGGCCAGGATACACTTGGCAGTCTCCTACCTACTAAGAATCCCGCGCAACAACAAATGCAGCAGCAACAACAACAAAAGCAGCAGCAACAACAACAAATGCAGCAGCAACAACAACAAATGCAGCAGCAACAACAACAAATACAGCAACAACAACAACAAATGCAGCAGCAACAACAAAAGCAGCAGCAACAACAAATGCAGCAGCAACAACAAATGCAGCAACAACAACAACAAATGCAGCAACAACAACAACAAATGCAGCAACAACAACAACAAAAGCAGCAGCAACAACAACAAATGCAGCAACAACAAAAGCAGCAACAACAACAAAAGCAGCAGCAACAACAAATGCAGCAACAACAACAACAAAAGCAGCAGCAACAACAAATACAGCAACAACAACAACAAAAGCAGCAGCAACAACAACAAATGCAGCAGCAACCTAACCTTGAGGAGCTGTTGGTTCCCTTGCCTGGACGCATCTGCTTATACGGCCTCGACGCAGACTTACTCGTACTGGCGCTTGCGCGTCACCGCCCAGGGCTCTTAATTCTCAGGGAGAAGCAGCTATCTTTGAGAGGCACGAGGGATGCAGCTGCTCGGCAGGTGCTGCGGCGCATGCACGACGCCATCAAGGAGCAGGCGCAAGACGTAGCGTCGCAGGCTGCAGGAGAAAAGAGCAAGGCGAGAGGCAAGCGAGCGCATCCGGGGCAGCTGGAAAGGGCGCGACGATCCTCGTGTCAGGAGCTGCTGCTGCCTGCCTCGGGAGATTTCCTGAAATATACGGCGAAAGACTTTGAAGTCGTGTGCATCGACACCCTGCGGCGCCAGCTCGTGCGGTCCTTGACTACAGCAGCGGCAGACGAAGCAGCAGCAGCGGCAGACGAAGCAGCAGCAGCGGCTTCCCCTTCGGCTGTTGCAAGAAGAGGCACCGGAGCTGCAGACACAGTGCGCAGCAGTCTTCGCAAGAAAGCTCGCAAGATGCTGCATGCGGCCGACGACGAGGTTTCTTGGAGGGGCCCCCTGCCTCTCCGCGACCTCGCGCCGAGTCGGTTGGTCGATGATTTTGTTCTTTTATCATTTTTCGTGGGGAACGACTTTCTTCCGGCGCTGCCACACATCAACATTTTTGCTGGCGGTCTGTCCACGCTGCTTCAGACGTACGCGAGGGCGCTCCCCCGTCTGGGGGGCCCCCTGACTCGCAAGACGCAGATCCACCTTCCCCGGCTCATACGCTTTTTCGCGCTCCTTGCAGATCAAGAGGGCCCCCACTTCGAGCCTCAGGGGCCCCCCGGACCGCTGGGAAGGCCTCTCGCAGCAGAGTACTACGCGTCGAAGTTCCCGCTGCGCGAGCTTGCGGCAGCGGAGAGTGACCCCGCTGGGCAGGGGGGGGGCCCCTCTGGAGGGGCCCCGAGGGGCCCCCAAGAGCGCCTTCCTGCTGTCCCTTTCGGGGCGTTCCGCCACGCGTTGTGCGCGCGCTACGTGTCGGGTTTGTTCTTCTTGCTGCACTATTATCACAGCGGTGCCCCCTCTTGGGCGTGGACCTTTCCTTACAACTATGCCCCTCTGGCTTCAGACCTCGGGGCCCTTAGGGCCCCCGCGCTGCGGGTGACGCTCCCGCATGCGCAGCCGATCTCTCCCTACCTGCAGCTTCTGGCAGTGCTGCCCCACAGCAGCTGTGCGCTGCTTCCCGCGGCGTACAGACGCGTGCACACCGCTCCGACGCACACCCGCGTCGAGGACCTCTTCCCGTGCTCCTTCGCGGTGGATCCCTACCCCCTCCATGCGGTGCCGCTCCCTGGCAAGGCCTCTGAGCTGACTGAGGAGAGGCATTCGACTGCCGCAGAGGGGGAGCTCGCAGCGGCAGGGGTACGAGCCGCGATGGAAGAGGGGCGAAGCGCCCTAGAGAGGGCGCTCAAGAGGAAACCGACTGAGGACAAGGCAGCGCAACTCCCGGAGTGGCTCCATCGGCCCCTCATTCCCTTCTTAGACCTCCCAAGGTTGCGGAAGGCTGCGAAAGAGGCTCTGGAAGAGGGCTGGCCCTCCCAAAAAGGCCCTTGGAGGCCTGAAGACTTTTTCAGAAACAGACTGGGAAGGCCGCATGTGTTTCTTTCCCCCCAGCTGCAGCGCAAGACTCGAAGCTCAGGGAGCGGAGTTGCTAGCAGCCTGGCGCGGAAATCGCTCGAGCGCGCGAGCTCCAGCAAAACGCAGAGGGAGGCGGGCCCTTAACGTGAGGCCTGGGCCTCACGTTAAGGGCCCCCTGCACGGGGGTTCTGCAAAAAGGCACTTTTTGCGGAGCTCGACTCACCCTGCATGCTTGCTGCGTGAAAATCGGGGGTGCGCCGCTCACAGGCAGGTGTGCCCCTTGTTGCGTGTCCTCTTGTGCTGGCTGACTGCGGCTCTTTCGGCTGCGAGAAAAATGCCCTCCCAAGGGGGCAGGGTCTACAGACAGGGGAGGCCTTCTGCTAGGCTGGCTTGAAGACTTGAGTTGGGTTCGTTTCTCAGGCTGCAGCCATGCGAAGGCAGCAGCAACTGCCCCTTATTCGTTCCACCCTGCGCACTAGGCGCCAAGTTCCTTCGCGGGAAACTCCAATGCACAAATGCACTGCAAATGCATGCAGCCCCACGCATCGTTGTCGCTGCGTCTAGGATACGCGGCGTAGTGTTCGACAGGTACAGCGACGCAGAGGACACCTGCGCGTAGTTGGTATTGGTTTCGGTGTGTAAAAGGAACGAAGGCGATGCCGCCGCACAGCTTAGACGAAGTCGCCATACCTGCACGAAATGGGATTGGAAGTCATGCTGACTTGCACTTACCAGAACTCGAGTCTGGCGCCTTAGACTACCACTCGGTGATCCGTGCAAAGTCCACATGTCTGGCCGTGCCTATCCCGTACGTACTGCTGTGGTGCAGCATGCGGAGCAGCGCAGCTGCCCTTTAAGCAGACGAGCGTCGTGTGCGTCTCAGACAGGCAGATATATCATGAACCTAGGCTAGTCAGCACGTGTCTGTGCAACGGGGCATACGCAGGCGAATGAGGAAGCCTCCGACGGTCGGCGGGTTGAGGCATCGTTTTGCGCTCTCGCCCCGAGGATTGGCTCTGTAGCTCCCTTTAGCAAAGTCTTCTGCAGGGAAGCGAGCCAAACATATTGTGTGGGATCAACTGCGTGCAGCTTGTGCTTGCAACTGTGGATCTGGTCGGGGGAGCGTGGCGAAGAGGCACGCCTATGCATATCTATACATACAGGCGATGACTTTCTGCGTTTCCCCCTCTGGCAGTTTCTGCGAGGGCAACACACTGACTAAGATCTAGGGTTAAACGGGGTCGGCGCGTGTGCTGGCGTGGCCAGTTTCAAACACTTCCCATGCATGCGTCCAGCGCTATACCCAAGCAAGCCGCGAATCGTCGGAAGACACACCGCAGCAACGCATAATCTACACGTGTTCCCCTCCCCTCCCTATAAAAAGCCACGCGACACCCATAAAACACACAAGAAGGCCCCAGCCCTTTCTGCACCGCTCTGCCACTGTCCTTTGCCAGTGCCGCCGCTACCCCCCGTTTTTCGCGAGCGATCCGATATATTCGTACAGTAGCCAAAGGCAAAACAGCGTTCCAAAAAGAAAATAATCGTCAGCAACGAACTCGGAAAAACGTAGCGGAACCTGGAAAGAATGCACGAAGTGGGATTTGAACCCACGCGGACTTGCGTCCACCAGAACTTGAGTCTGGCGCCTTAGACCACTCGGCCATCCGTGCGGTGTACAGACAAATAGAGCTGCGCGTGGTCGCAACCTCGTGTAATTACAGTTGTAGATTTGCCATTCCTTGTGTGAGCTAGAATGCTTTCCTGCGGTGTAGCTAGCTAGAGGCAACTGCGGATGCTCTCCGCCTCCGAATCGTGCCGCGCTCGAGGGGCCCCCAGCGGCGGGGCCCCTGCGTCCCCATCGCTGCCCTGATGGGAGTTTCGCGCCGATGTTGCGTTTCGCTAAATGATCGAAAGTGATGGCAAATACCAAGCCACACAGACAGAATCTTCCGACGGCGAAGGCGCCTGCGCGTGCTACCCTTCTTGCCGAATGAGCCGCGTCTGTCGAGAGGCCTCCGCCGACACGCTGACTGCACGATCCCGCAGTCGTCGCACGGCACCTGCCGCCGTCGCGCATTGCTCTCACCTCCTGGAGGCGTGCCATCGCGCTGGAGGCGCCTTCCAGTGTCTCTGTGCGCAGCAAGCGCGGAAAATGAGGTGCATGGTAGAGCCGCAATAGGACAGCAAGACAGGGGGGAGGGCGTTGGGGGCAGCTCCTTTCGCAGTGCTTCTCGAGAAGGCTGCGGAGCCGACTCGCAGGCAGGGAAGAGGCCCCTCCAGACGATCGCACAGCCACCTGTGCAGCAAGCCACCCTCAGAAGCCAACGGGGGGCCTCAAAACAATGGCGGGTTCGTCCTCAAAGGGGCTTCGAGGCAAACTTTCTCGAGGAGGAATTTTGGTGTATTTCTGCGTCTGGCTCTTTCAGCCGACAGCCTCAATGCGCATGGCTGGTGCACCTGCGTGGCTCGAGACACCCCAGGCGCCTTCGGGCATTTCTCTCTTCCCTCCCCGCACCCTTGCAGAGCGTTCGGAAAAACATCGCCAGCAAGGCGAAGCCGCTAAGCTCTTCCGCGTCTCAGGATTCCGCCCGCTGCCCCTCAAATTCGCCGCTCGAAAAGACTTCATCGAGACTTCCCCCTTAAAGGCAACTAAAGGCCTTCCACGAGATACCGGGGTCTGTGCGGAGGGCGAGATTCTCGCCAAGAAGGCTGCCCCGCACCAGCCGCGCAGGGGGGGGAGCCCGTCGACTTCTGCTGGGAGGCGGCTTCCAGCAAGCTTCTGCGAAGGGGGTGTGGAGATCGACGCTGAGGATGGCGTGCAGAGGAGGGCTGCTCTGGCGCTGCGGCTGGAAGTTTTGCGGAAGGCGAAGGCGAAGGAAGAAGCTCGCAGTGCCTTCCCTGTTGCCCTCCGCATACCACACCCAGAGCTGGTTGCCGGTAAGGCTGCCTCGCGGGGAAGATTCGCATGTAGTACGCCTCGCAGGGGCACACACTGCGCGTTATTATACCTCCAAGGCAGGCTGCTGATGCTTCGAATGCGCTCAGGGGTCTCCTACCGTCGCTTGGGCAACCCGATGCCACAGCAAAAACAGCAGCAGCAAAAACAGCAGCAACAAAAACAGCAGCAACAAAATCAGCAGCAACAAAATCAGCAGCAACAAAATCAGCAGCAACAAAATCAGCAGCAACAAACCACAGGGCCTTTGGTGAGCTCGCTCTGCGTGGGAACTTCTCTAATTGGCGGCAACGTCATGCAAGATGACGACTCGGCCTTCAAGATGCTTTGTTCTGCATACGAGGAATATGGCATCAACTTTTATGTAGGCAGCTTAGATTCTGCGTTGCTTCGATTCTGTGTTGCGCTTCCTCGAGCTTCCCGCACAGCGCCGCCGATTGTTGCCAAGCCGAAGCAGGGGGAAGGGAGGGGGAAAGGGAGGGGAAGGGGGCTGGCTCGCTGCTGCTGCTGCTGCTGCGTGCTCGAGGTAAGTGGGTGTGGTGACCTCGCTACGCTGTACGTACAGGACGTTGGCGAGTTGGACCCCCTGCCCCACTCCCCCCAGCACCACGGCAGCGGTCACAGCGGGGTGCTTCGCCAGTTTTTTCGGAAATATCGCGGTCTAGGAGGAAGCGAAGGGGCCCCCTCCTCTGCCGCAGTAGCAACTGCTGCTGCTGCTGCTGCACCGGAAGACGAGGGAGCTTTGCGTGCCGAAGCGCAGCGTCTCTGCGTCTCCGTGCGGCTGCTCAGCGGCTCTGTGGGGCCTTTCGACTATGAGCGTTTCGCTCTCGAGAGGAAGCGGCGCGAAGCCACAGCCTGCGTTGCCGCGTGGGAAGCTGCAGCTGCAGGCGCTGACAGATCCGAAATTGCAGCCGTGGCAGCTGCTGCCGTCGAGGCTGCAGCTACAGCCGTAGGCAGAGACACGGAAGGCTCCACGCGCTGGGCAAGAGCGACGGGCTGGTGGGCACGGGGGGATCGTGGAGTCTCAAGACTAACAGCGTGAGGCACCACTGCGGCTGCCGGCTCGCCCTTTGCCCCCTTCTTCTCATGTGCAGGCTGCTACACAGACGCACAGACACAGACACACACTGCCCCACACACATACATACACAGACACACTCCCACACAGACACACACACTGCCACACAGACACACAGACATAGACACACACGCTGCCACACACACATACATACATACACAGACGCACGGCCACACAGACACACTGCCCCGCACACATACATACATAGACACACTGCCACACACACACAGACACTGCCACACTGCCACATACACACACACACCTCCCTCCCCTCCGTCCTCCCTCCTCCAAAGAGCACTCTGTGTTTAGGGCAAGCTGCGCGGCCTCAAGTGTCTGTCCTCTGCTCCCCGCGGCGCACTTTGAGTGCCGATTCAGGAAAGCCCTCGAGGCAGCTGTTGACGGCATGTTGGATCGTCTGGGAGTCGACTGCATCGACCTCCTCCAGCTTGCCGAGCCACACCGCTACGTTCCCCGCCACAGCATGGGGGAAGACACGTACTGCTGGGGAGTGCGTGTCGCTGGCCTCTCACCGGCTCGCTCCCTGCTGCTAATTAGGCTGCCGAGGCTCCTAGGTGCCAGCCTGCCTTCTCCCGCTTGCCAAGTCTACAGCTCGCCGAGCGTGGCTGTGCACAGAACAGTCCTTAGCGAGTTCCTTGCGGGCTGTGCGGGTGTCTCTGCAGCTCGAAAGACCGGCGGAAGAATCGGTGTCCATTGAGGAGCAACTCGAGATGCTCTCGGGCCTTATTCGAAAAGGCAAGGTAGGAGGTGCTCCTTCTCGCGCTGCTTTCTACCCGTGCGAGAACGAGAGGGGAGGCGCAAATTCGTAAAGTGCTGTCCCTTTGTTCGGCCTTGCTGTGCGTCTCTGAACACACAGACAGGCACAGACAGGCAGACAGACCCCTATATATATGCATTTATATATATACATGTATATGTATATTTATATAGATAGATAGATAGACGCACACAGGGCTGGGATTGCCCCTTCGCGTTTTGTGTTTTTTCGGCTGTTTTCTTTCCGCTGGAATCACTCCCTAGAGCTTAGCGCCTAGGGCATACGCTAGGCGCGCAGCTCCTCCTCCGCCTTGGAGCCTCTGTGCCGTCTCGTGCCTTCTCAAGGGCAGTGTGTGAGGCAGGGCTGCATGCGCGTGTGTTGGCTCTACTGTGGCACTGGGAGCGTGCGGAGAGTTCTGGCCTTCAGGTGCGCTACATAGGCGTCAGCAATGAGACGGCGTATGGAGTCTTCAAGTGGGTGCAAGCTGCAGAAGAGGTGAGAGCAGGCAGAACTCTGAAGCTTGCAGCCTTGCGGGCAGGGAAGCTTGGCTTGTTCTGAGGTGTCTGCGCTCGGACACCCCAGCAGAACAAGGCGGCAGTAGCAGCAGCAGCTGCCTGTGTTTTCTCAAGGTCTGTTGGAAGGGCCTTCTGCAAGCGCCGCGCTGCTTGGTGAAGACGCTTTTGTGGGGGCAATCCTCGCGCCTCGTCTGCGTGCTGCCATGCGTGGTTTGTGCGTCTTGCAGATGGGGTTGCCACGGATCGTAGCTTCCCAGCACCTCTACAATATCATGCACCGCAACGAGCTCGAAACCTCCGGTGTGCTTGGTTGTATGTGTCTGTGTATGTGTGCTTTTGTGCGCGTGTGTATGTGTTTGTGTGTATGTGTTTTGTGTATATGTTTGTGTGTATGTGTTTTGTGTGTGTGTTTGTGTGTATGTGTTTGTGTGTATGTGTTTGTGTGTATGTGTTTGTGTGTATGTGTTTTGTGTATGTGTTTGTAGGTATGTGTTTGTGTGTATGTGTTTTTGTGTATGTGCTTTTGTGTATGTGTTTGTAGGTATGTGTTTGTGTGTATGTGTTTGTGTGTATGTGTTTGTAGGTATGTGTTTTTGTGTATGTGTTTGTGTGTATGTGTTTGTAGGTATGTGTTTTTGTGTATGTATGTATGCTTGTGTATGTGTTTATGTATATGTATGTATGCTTGTGCATGTGTTTGTGTGTATGTATGGATGCTTGCATACGTGTTATTGTGTATGTGTGCGTACTGTATATGTATATGTATACGGGTATGTATGTGTATGTGTGTGACTTCGCGATTGCAAGGGGGCCGGAGGCGCCTGCAGGTTTAGTTGAGTTTCAGAGCCGCTAGGACAGCAGCCTGCTACCAGAGGGGTGTGCAGTTCAGGGTGTGTTGTGTTGCGCGCGACGGCAGTGCCAGAATGGGCAAACCCTGTGCAGCACACCACTGTGTGTGTATATGTGTTTGTGTTTATATATGTGTGTGTGTTTATACATGTGTTTGTGTATGTGTCTGTGTCTGTGTTTTTGTCTGTGTTTGTGTATGTGTCTGTGTTTGTGTATGTGTTTGTGTTCGTGTCTGTGCATGTGTCTGTGTATGTGTCTGTGTTTGTGTATGTGTCTGTGTTTGTGTATGTGTTTGTGCTTGTGTATGTGTCTGTGTTTGTGTATGTGTATGTGTCTGTATTTGTGTCTGTGTATGTGTATGTGTTTGTGTCTGTGTCTGTGTTTGTGTGTGTGTTTGTGTTTGTTTCTGTGTTTGTGTATGTGTTCGTGTTTGTGAATGTGTATGTGTATGTGTTTGTGTTTGTGTCTGTGTTTGTGTTTGTGAATGTGTCTGTGTTTGTGTCTGTGTTTACATAGGTGTTTGTGTATGTGTCTCTGTTTGTGTTTATACGTGTGTATGTGTTTATATATGTGTTTGTATTTGTGTTTGTGTTTATACATGTGTATGTGTTTATATATGTGTTTGTGTTTGTGTCTGTCCTTGTGTATGTCTTTATATATGTGTCTTTGTTTGTGTTTGTGTGTATACATGTGTCTGTGTTTGTGTTTGTGTTTGCGTCTGTGTTTATATATGTGTCTGTCTTTGTGTTTGTGTTTGTGTTTGTGTTTATATAGGTGTCTGTGTCTGTGTTCGTGTTTGTGTCTGTGTTTGTGTTTATATAGGTGTCTGTGTTTGTGTCTGTGTTTGTGTTCATGCATGTGTATGTGTTTATATATGTGTTTGTGTTTGTGTCTGTGTTTGTGTATGTGTCTGTGTTTGTGCATGTGTCTGTGTTTGTGTTTATATGTGCCTGTGTTTGTGTTTATGTATATGTGTGTGTGTTTGTGTTTGTGTTTATGTATATGTGTCTGTGTTTGTGTATGTGTGTGTGTTTGTGTTTACATAGGTGTGTGTGTTTGTGTCTGTGTTTGTGTTTATATATGTGTTTGTCTTTACGTTGATGTGTGTGTTTGGGTTTATACATGTCTGTGTTTGTGTTTATATATGTGTCTGTGTCTGTGTTTGTGTTTGTGTCTGTGTTTGTGTTTATACATGTGTCTGTGTTTGTGTCTGTCTGTGTCTGTTTCTTCAGGAATTCCTGAGATGGCGTTTCGCCTTGGCGTGCCGGTACTGGCATATGGGACACTTGCTGGAGGCATTCTAACGGGGAAGTATCTTGATCCTGAGCGGTGTGTAGGCACGGCCATGCCTTTTTTGCACAGCCTCCCTTCACGCGGAGGCTGTGAAAGGGGGATGCAGGAGCTCTCGAGGAAGGGAAAGGCCTTGCGCCCTTCCCAGTGCCGACTGTTGATCTGTGTCTGCATGCATGTCGTGACGAGGGGGCATGCATGCGCTTTCTGTGTGCCAATTTACACCTTATAGTCCTGCACAGGAAGCCAGCACGCACTCTTGCATGCACATCCGCGTCCCTTGTAGAGGGAGGGAGGCAAGGAGGGAGGGAGAAAGGGCGACAGGTGGACTCGTTTGCATCGTGCATGTGTGCAAGTGCCTCAGTGGGGCTTTGGAGGGATAGTTCGCGTGCAGTAGCGTGTTGCGTGTTGGTCGTAAGGCACGAGGTGTGCGCCTAGTCAGAGCAGCGCCTCTTCAGCCTTGATGGAAGTACCCTTTCTCGGGTTCAGACATCCTGTCGCTCGTGCTGTGCTGTTTTAGGGCTGATTTTGTGCGCGCGGGACAGACGCGTGCCGTTGCCCTCCGCGTGATGCGTGTATGCATGCATGCGTGCGTGGAGGTTTCCGCGCAGATTTCATTCAAAAGGTCCTGACGTGAGGCAGGGGCAAGATGAGCTGGAAAGCGGCGTTGGAACGTATCGATACAAGGTGCCTGAAGACTTTGGTTACTTGTCGTATGGCCCTTCGACAGGACGCGCCAATCTGTGGCCTTCAACCTACCACACCCACAGGCAAGGCTGCTGCTGTATGTACACTGCAGGAGGCTGCCAAGGGAGGGTGGCTGTGTCCCCTGCGGCGTTAGAACGGCCTCTCTGAGCGACGGCTGAACACCGGGTGCTATTTCGTGCGAGTCTCCCTGTCCCCGTCAGGTCCGTTTGGAGTCAGTGGCTGATGGGGGAACTCATCAAGGCGGGCCGAGTCTACGGTCTTACAGCGGCGCAACTAGCGCTCAGCTGGGTGTACTCTCGCCCTTTCGTAAGTGCTGACTATGAAGAAGACTCAAATTGACCCTCTCCGGGAGGGCGCTTCTCTTTTTCTGTCTCTCTATCTATTTCTCTATTTAGCTCTCTCTATCTAGCCCTCTCTATCTAGCTCTCTCTCCATTTACCTTTCTGTCTCTCTAGCTCTCTAGCCCTCTCTATCCATCTCTCCCTATCTATCTATTTCTCCATGTATCTCTCTATCTATATCTATATATATATATATACATGTATACATATCTCTCTGTCTGTCTATCTCTCTATCTATCTCTATCTCTTCACACCAACACACACAGACAGACACACAAAACGCAGCGAAACCTACGGGCGCCTTGCCAGAAGGCCCCCTCCTGCTCCCGGCTAGATCCATCAGCGGCTGCCTCTGACGAAGCGCTTCTCGACCTTTGCCATAAGGACCTGATTTGCCAGCCCTTCCTTTGCAGGCAGCCCCTCGAGACGTCTTGTTGCGCGTTAAGAGGAGAGGCTCTGAGCGTGTCCTTTCGCGGGTTGTGCCTGCCTCTCTGCAACTGTGCGCCTTGTCTTCTTCGCTCAGTTGCATCCCCCAAGCGCAACCCTTCTGTGGAATGTGTTGCGCTCAGGTTGCCTCTACGATCATCGGTCCGAGGACTATGGGTCAGCTGCGGTAAGCTCTACGGGGGGCAAAGAGGGGGAGGCAGTGCGCCACCGCTGTCGGCTGCAGCTGCGAAGAGGCTGAACGCCGCGCGCAGTCAGGCCTTGTACTATGCCAGGCTCCTTTAGAAGTGGAAGCGCCACTTCAAAAGGAGCCAGGAGGGGCGCGCCTTGCTTGGCCTTGCTTGGCCTTGGCCTTGCTTGGCCTTGGCCTTGGCCTTGCTTGGCCTTGTCCTTGGCCTTGCTTGGCCTTGCTTGGCCTTGTCCTTGGCCTTGCTTGGCCTTGTCCTTGGCCTTGCTTGGCCTTGCTTGGCCTTGCTTGGCCTTGTCCTTGGCCTTGCTTGTCCTTGGCCTTGGCCTTGCTTGTCCTTGGCCTTGCTTGGCCTTGTCCTTGGCCTTGCTTGGCCTTGCTTGGCCTTGGCCTTGGCCTTGCTTGTCCTTGGCCTTGGCCTTGCTTGGCCTTGGCCTTGCTTGGCCTTGGCCTTGGCCTTGCTTGGCCTTGTCCTTGGCCTTGCTTGGCCTTGTCCTTGGCCTTGCTTGGCCTTGGCCTTGGCCTTGCTTGTCCTTGGCCTTGGCCTTGCTTGGCCTTGGCCTTGCTTGTCCTTGGCCTTGGCCTTGCTTGTCCTTGGCCTTGCTTGGCCTTGTCCTTGGCCTTGCTTGGCCTTGCCTGCCGGCAAGGCCCAGGCCAAGCTTCCCCTCCTACAAAGTACGCAGACGAAGAGGGGGGTAAGGTTGAGAGGGGGAGAGCACTGCATGCGCTGCGAGAGGCATGTGATTGCCGCCGGATTAGCGGGCAGGGGGCGTTTTTTCTGACGTTGGCCTTCAGGGAAAGCGTGCGTACCCAAAACTATGCGCTGCCTCCGTCCTTGGAGCGCCATCTTCATGAGCTGTATCTACACTACTCCGCGCCAACAATGGGCGGTCCTCAGTTGCTGAGCCAGCTCCCCGACGAAGAAGCAAAGGTGCAGCCGCCGATACCGCAGTCCGATTTCATGAAGTGGGGGAAGCAGCCGATATGGAGTGGTGGGACGTACTGGGAAAACTGGGTAAGTTTCAGCGCATGCAGCCTAGGCGTTTTGGCGACAAGAAAGAGGTCTATCGCGCTCGCCACAGTCGGCTCACACTGCACACGGCGGTGTACATACATGCAGTAGGGCGGGCCGCCTGCTTTTGGGGGGGGGAACGCGCTGTTAGACGTTGCATGCATGGGCCTCCTTTGCTCTGCGATTGCTGCATCCTATGCTTTGCTCTTCCTTAGCCGCAGCCCTTGCTAGCAGAAAAGGTGGCATACTTTGACCGAGAGAACTTGGCGGTGCGCCTTCCTCCCGATGCACGCCATTCAAGTCCTCCTTGCTTGAAACGAAACCCCTTGCGCATGCGTCTCCTTGCTTACTACTTGCTCTGCATGCCTCCACAACACCACTTACACGCACGCGCAGAAAACAGCCTAGCTCCCCCTTCCCCCCCAAAATGTCCGAAGCCTCATGCCTCCTAACATACACTTTGCGACGACGTTTCTTGCTGCCGCAGCGCGAAGTTAGGGGTGCCGCCGGAGCGCTAGACGATCCCTCAGACGAGGGTGTCATCAATCTGCGATTATGGAGAGAGAGGCTCGATGAAGGCCTTCCCGGTAGGAGAAGCGGGGGTGCCTGCTCGTCACGGGGGTGCCTGCTCGTCAGCAAAGACATCGCGTATCCTGCCAGCTGCGTGCACTGCCACAAGCCACTGCCGCTTCTCTCTCTCTCTCTCACGCTTTGTCGTAGTGACAGTGGCCCTCTGTGGGGTCTCTTGCTACTGCTGCTCCTGGTCCTATTTCCGTTCCTACTCCTGTTTGTGCTTCTACTCCTGTTCCTGCTCCTGCTCTCGCTCTGGCTGCCGATCGATGGCGTGCGGCTTGAATCCACAAAGACAGCAGTGCGCAGAAGTCTAGCCATGGCATGTGAACCCTTTTCAGGCGAGTACTTTGCCGTCAAAGAGCAACAGCTGTTTGGATGGGACACGCATACTGTGGATGGCGACATGCTACGCGATATGACGCCTGAGGAACGACAAGAGCAGCACCACATGGACTGGCATTTATGCTGGAAAGGAGGCAAGGTATGCAGATATGCGCCCCTCCCCTACCGCCCCCAGGCCCCCAGAAACACGGCTGCAGCAGTGCACGCTCTCTTGCTTTTAAAACAACCACAAAGGGGGGTGTCGAGGAATGAATCCTGCATTTCCAGAGCACGATGGTGGAGCTGTGTCGTTGATTCTACGCTGCCGACTGGTTCACCCCGTGCGGCAGAGCCTAGTGGGGGGGGCTATTGCGACGTCTTCGCGTGCCGGACTCTCTCTCTGTGTCCCAGCTCAGAGGCTTGCAGCCTAACAGGAGACACGGTGCTTCCTTGAGATGCTGATGCGTCTGAACGTTTTTGCTCCCTGTCGGTCCTGCACGCCTGTGTAACTGGCCGTCAGAAAATGATTGTTTGAATGAGCCTGTTCTCCGTATCCTGCCCCGTAGGTGCACCGCGTGCCTACGACGGATGCCATGAAAGCCTTCTACAACAACCGCAAGGCCACCAGCGAAGTCATTCACAAGTGCGCTGCCAGGCCTTGGTTGGGTAATCTATAGCCTGCTTTAGCGCATTCTTGAACGCGCTCGAAACGGGTGTTCACACAGCGCAAGGTCCCCGAGTCTTACACCTCGACCCGCCAGTATCCGCCGGCAAAGGGCGCCTCGCCAGCAGAGTAGCCTGTGTGTAGGGAGATCTAAGTGGGGCCTCGTGACTGCGGCTTCGCTGCTGCCGCGACTTGCTCTATGCAGCAGCAGATGGTAGCTGACTCCCTGCCCGTGGCCACAGCTCTACAGAAGGCTAGCTGCGAAACGGCTAGCTGCGAAAAGGCCAGCTGGCTGTTGAGGGGATGGAGCTTTGTAGCCTGCGTATTTGATAGCAGCAACTGAAGGCCCAGAGGTGATGTGAGGATTTCCTGGGGTCGGCTGTGTGCAGAAACTTCAAGGCCTTCAAGGACTTGACGCTACACCGTGAACAGGTAAGGCCGCTAAAGACTTTCCGTGAAGCGGTCTGTCGAAGCGCACAGAAACGCGTCCGCGAGGCTCGCAGCAGCACGAAGGATGCGTCTGTCTGCGCTGCGTAAATGCGGTGGCCTCTGCAGCTTGGAGAGCTCGTGCCAGAGTTGTGGAATCGATGGGACTATGATCTGATCGCAAGGAAGTGCAAGGAGAAGCATGGCATCGACATAAACGACCCCCAGGCAAGCACTGAAGAGCTCTTCTTTTTGCCGCAGAGCGAGGGCCTTGCGCGCAAAACTTAGCAAACAGGTCCACGAAAGACACTTTGCTGTGGCTGGCAGTGAACGCATGCACCTGCACGCCCAACTAAAGCACGGTTTTGTCCAGGCGCTGCTTCAAGAGGCGCATAAGGAAAATTGAAGGGAAGCCGCAGAGGACAACACAGCGATCTGCACTTCCCCTCTGAATGTGTGTTTGTTCTTGGCACGCGATCACCTGCTTCAAGGCGAAACTGACGCAATAGATTGACGAGGCTCCCCACGCGGTGCATGCAGCTCTGTTTGCGTGTGCGCGTGGCCTCTGCGTGCTGCCTGCAGCTGTGGGAAGACGTGGAATTCGGAGGAACCAATGCGACGCGCAAGGATCACGAACGCATAGCCTACACCCGACCCTTCTGGTACTTCGAACATGGCGGCTATCCGGACAAACCGGTCGAGCAACAGACAGGCGCAGAGTCAGATTCTTGATGCCTGTTAGTGCGGGTAAAAACACACACGCTCTCCGCGCGCGCGGAAGCGATGTCTGCAAAAAGCAGCGCGGGTTCGTCATACCACGCCTGCCTCATGACACGGAAGCAATGTAGTGGAGCAACCCTATGAGTGAGGGATGTACAAGCGACGCACAAGGACGCGCGCGCCGAGTAGCTAGCCGGTAGGCCCTGCAGCGCCGCGGCGTTCACATGCGCATTCTTTTGAGGCCACTTGCCTCGTATTGCCTTACCTAGAGGCTCCTGAATGGCAGTTGCGCCTCCACACAAAGCTCCTCAGAGCAACTTTCGAGCGAGCAGACTTCTGCTGTCTCCATATAACGCTCTGCGAAAGAACTGCTCGAGGCCTGGCGAGCAAGCAACGTTGTACCGCAAGCGCCTGACAGCAAGCACACACGCATTCTTCAGCTGTGGTGTGCTTGTGGACAAGATAGCAACCGTCATCTGCGAGGCCTTTCAAGCGTCCCCATAGCTGATGCAGCTACACAGCTCTTTCGAAAAGAGACATGTTTGTAGGGGCCAGTAAAGACAAGACAGACACAAGCCATCTGCTCCAACTTGGCCACGCGTCCACAGGAAGTGGGCAGTCCTCAAAAGCAGGGGGCACGGTGGGAGGGCGCAAGAGGCGGGGAGGAGGGGGACCTTTAGGTGCCGTACAGCGCCACGAAGCTATGCACCTTGAGTTTGCTACAGCGTTTAAAAGGCTGGATGCGCTCGCAGAGTGATCGATCGTGGCTTGGTGTCTTGCCCGCACTGCCGCTTTCTGCGACATGCTGGACTCCGTGGATGCTGTATACCATCGTACTGATATTTTTCACACTTCAGTGCACGAGATTTGGGTCGCCACGCGGTTCTATATAGTAGTAGTGCTCTGCCGTCTGTTGCGAAAGGGCCAGCTGGACGGCATGGGCACAAACAGAGGCTCTCGTTTGGCTATACACGCCACATATGTTACAACAGAGGCTCAAGGAAGCAGCCATCGAGACAAGCGAATTCCTACGGCGCGTTAATACCCTTTAAATGCAGCCAGGGCGAACTGAAATACGAACTTAAAATCCCATGGCATCGTATATGCGAAGCCCTTCTTGCATCTAGCCATCAACCGTGCAGCTGATTGCCACAGTAGAGTACGCCAGACGACTCTTCCTGCGCAAGCCTGCGGCGCTTTCTTAAGGGTAGGTAGCCTGCGAAAATATTGTCTTGCTGCGATTTCAGTGCTTTACACTAAAGAGCCATCGTTTGTGTTGATGTACCCGAGTAAGTGTGATTACAGTGAGCTAGATGCGTGAGTTGCACCTCCTCACGCCTCGGAGATTACCCAGGGCTTGCCCTATTCGCCACGCCGATAGTCCCAGATACTGTGCTAGCTGAGGGTCTGAATGAACACCCTCACAGATGCGCTACAGACGCAGCAGCAAAGTAACACTGTGTAGCATTCAAGAGCCTAATGGCATTCCAAGGAGCATCCACACACGGACGCCAGACTGCGAGCTGGACTCTGTCCTAAAGTAGAGTCTGTAGGCAGTGACTGTGTGCAACAGCGCTGTTCAGGGTGAGTTTGCACATCCCTTACTTCAAACAAGATGACGCAAACCGTCTGCCTCATTGCGAGGCCAGGAACCTTGTAGGGGTACCGGCGGGGGGCCTCACGATAGGGAGAACAACTGCCAAAGTGATCTGCCCACAGCGGCAGAGGAGAGGGGCACCCACTAAAGGAGTTCTGCCAAAATTTTTTGCACGGAATTTCGATGTGCAGCGCAGCTACTGGGTTAAACGTGCATGCCTTCTTGGCAGACGCTTTCGTCGAGCGGTCAAACCCCATCCTCTTTTACGAGTAAATCTCTTGTGTTGAAATGCCGCCTCCAGTGGCCTTCAATATGCAGGCAGTACGGATCACGAGGTGCCTCAACCGGAGACAGCTGCCCCACAGTTTGTAACTGCTAGCAGTGCGGGCACAGCACCAAGTCTGTATGAGCGTTTTGCTGCTCATGGAAAACACAATCCAGTAAATGTAGAAACACGTACAGCTTTCCGTACTGTAGCCTAACGAAAGCTGTAATTTACCGGCCCTTGCCTGGCATGTAGCCTATTCAAAGAAGAATGTAAGACCTTTAATTAGAATGCTTTGTAGTAAAATTTACAACCTGCGTGCATCTAGCACAAGGCTGGAACAGACTATCTCCCATAGAGCCGGCATACTTTACCATTCCCTCGTTAAATGCCTTTTATTTCTCAGCTCACGAGCCCTTTGTCCTCGCAATCAGCCTTTTTGCCAGCATATTCGCCTGCCAAGCCATAGGCGGCCTGCATGCGTCCCATGCCGTTCGACTCAAAGCACCACACTGTATCCCATGCATACGCTCTGGAGGGTGTATGCTGGCCGCCACACTGTCAACAGTTTCCAGAAATATGCATCGCCAGCGGTGCATTAGAGTAAAATACGATGAGATCGCATCTACACACTGTCTCCAAGGGAGCCAGAAAACCGTCTCTGCAGTTGTGGGAGGCGTGAAAATTGCAAGGACGCAGGATGCAGCTTAGTAGCCTTGAAGAGGCCGGCTCTCCTTACCAGGAAGCACCTGCACTTGGTACTCCTAGCCACTGCTTAGCGGAAACGCATGCACGCAGGGTCGTCGACCGTAAACCTGCGGGGACGCATCTGTGACCTAGACGGCAACAGAAACTAGATGCTCGAAACTGTTGCGAAAGGCGTCGTTGGACTTTCCTCGTGCTGTGCACGCCACTGAAAGCACAGCTAACTGCTTCCTCCCTCTCTCTCACAGATTTCAAACACTCTTGTTTTTAGGCGCGTTGTCTGACTGTCTTCAGCCTTGTACTACGGCCATACGTGCGCATACGACGACTACAGGCAGCTGCTTTTTCTCCCGCAGTGGAATTCGAAGGTTTTAGAGTGGCAGCGACTGGCGAACGTTGGATTGACTTTTTGTGCCATGGACAAGCCCTTTGGTATCCTCAGGCCAATATATGCCGCCCTTGGCGACCCCTGCGAAACAGCACGCTCATAGCAAGGCTTAAGGTCAAAAGGCAGAGCGAACTGCACCAGTGAGCTTCAAGCACTTGATGTGGCCAGCAGTGGCATTCAAGGCAAGCAGGGGCCCCCTCAATGACCCCAGAACTCCAAAGCGGTTCAGCTGCTGCTGCCGCTGCATGCCTGCCGCATGGGCAAGTGACTGGCCAAAGACTAAAGCGCCTGTAGCTGCAGCCGCTAGAGCGCGCTGCTGAGTCGCCTTCAGTACCTGCTGCTGCAAACCCCCAGCGGCAGCAAGGCCTCCCTGCCTTGCCAACACCATTTGCGCCAACGAGCACAACATGCGCCATCAATTGTTGCACTCGAAGCAGCCGAAACTGCCGTGCGCGCGTGCTATTGCTGCAGCAGTAACAGCGCGAGGCAAAGCAACAGGAGCAGACAGAATCACAGCAGCTGTCTCGCCAGTCAAGGAGTAAGAACGCCAAAAAACCCGATGGCAGTGGGGGAGTGCAGCACCCCAGCAGGGATGGCAACCACTCGAACGGCACAAGTGGTTTGTTGAGGCATTCGTTGGCAGTCGCCTGCTGTTGTTGTTGTTACTGCGCAAGACCCTGCTGCCCCACTGCATGCTCAGAACGTTCCGTTTGGAACGCCCTCCCTGGAGCAACTGCTTTCACTCCTGTTACCCCACATGCCTCCTTCGAAAGTGGAGCTGGTACTGCCCTTGCTGCTACCAACTCCTGCCAGCTCCCGTCGACCTCGGAAGCAGCGAGCCCGCCTCCCAGCAGCAACGACAGCAGCTAGCCGTTAGCACCGCCAAGCTGGCGGAGGCAAGTATACGGCCATGTAGCAAAGGCCCCCAGCGTGCTACAGCGTGTCAAAGCTCTAGGATACATGCATTGGCTGCTGCGCTACGCGGGCGAGGCAGCCCTTCGAGGAGTGCACAGACATAGTACGTTTTGACCAAAGATTATCTGTAAAGTAGCCAACGAAGAACGCACACATATTAGGCCTTTTCGCGTCTCTTCCCTTGTCCTTCCTCTACACTGTCGGGGACGCCTGCCACACGCAGGTCCTCGAAGCAGAGGCTTTTCTGCGGCGAGAGCGAAGCCAAACGGGATAGGCAATAAGTCAGCATACACACCCCTGCACGACTAAGGCACCGCCAACTGTATCGCTTCCGCGCTAACAGAACTCAGCCCCGCACATTTGGCCGCCCGCCCCTCCACTACGGCTCTCCTTCCAACCGCTTCGTGAAGGCAGCTCTCACTATACCAGCAGACTCAGTTGTGCCTCCCAAATACCCACAACGGAGCCTCTTGATGCCGCTGGCGGCCTATCCAGCAATTGACTAGCTGGCTAGTCAATTGCTGGCCAAATCGCGCCTCTTATATTGCTAGTCGAGGCGCTACGTGCCCCCTACTCTCCGACCCCTACTCCCCAACCCTGCGAAATCACTTCTACCCCGCTTTCCTGCTCTGTACACATAGGACTCCTAAAGCCAAGGTCTGCGCGATGACGCAGCTAGCCAAAGCAGGGCAGCAAGCCCTGGTTACGGGGACTGCTAGCGGCACACAGGCTAGCTGGCAGATTGTGTCTGGTGATTGGTTGTCCCCTGTCCAAGTGAGCTCTTGCTTTTGGCGCACGCTCCCCCTTACCGGTTTGTAACCAGCTAGCGAACTCGCCACCGAGTTAGCCAGGAAGATTGCTGCCCTGACTTGACACATGCCCCCTCGTGTGGGTGTCTCATACTACCTACGCTCGCGGAAGGAGCAGACGTGTCTCTCTAGCTGCAACCGCTGGCGCAAGGATGCGCGCGCGTGCAAGCAAGTGTGTGCGAGTTTTGTACGTTGACTGCGTGCTTGTTGCGTTTACGTGATGCTAAGCCTATTTCTTTACAGCTCGTCGTGCTTGAGTTCGTCTTCCTCCCCCGGCCCGACGCTAATGCCCTGGAAGGGAAGCTCAATGCCTTCGTATTCTTCGGGGAACCTCAAGAGTTCTCCGTTGTCGGTAAGCATAGACACGGAGAAGGTCTCGAACTTGTCTTGCCACTGGTCCTTCGTGATTTTGCCGTCTTCCATCTCGGCATTAAGGGCATCCAACATTTGCTGGAGGTCGTGCGCGTGTGGATCCTCAATTACAGTCCGAAGCTCTGCTTCGTCTATCTTCCCATCGCTGTTCTTATCGTATGTCGAGAACTCCTTGGTCAGTTCCTCTTTCTCCGGATCTGTCAGCGTGCCTGAGCACCGCAAGCACGTTGTATGCATACAACACTTAACTACGTACTAAAGGTCTGCTGTATATGACTTGTGCGCGCTCGTGCCTTCTAATACAAGCACACATGCAAGAGACATCCTGCCGGGTGCCGTTGCTTGCCGCATTCAGACATCACAGGGCCGGCAGGCGGCACGGAAAAGTTTCACATAGTTTGCAATTTTTTACCGCCTTCGTTGAGTAGAAATTCGTCAAGAGAGATCGATCCGTCCTTATCCTTATCTTGAGCCTGCACAACCATAGCGCCCGTCTTAACCCTTCAGTTAGACCGAGGAAACAACACGAAAGACACCCCACCCAGCCAGATGAGGAGCTATTCAAACTGCAAGCCTCCAATCTTCGACTCACCGCCATAATCTCATCAACTTCAATTTGCATGAGGACATCGTCCTTTCCTGGATCCATCAGGATAGTCACCTCTTCCAAGCTCAGGCTCCCACCTGCGCGCATCAAGAAGTATTTGCAGCCCTCGCGAAAACTCGAACCCAACAACACCCACCACGTCAGCTAAGCAGGCGACTAGACCAACAAGGCTCAACAGGGATCGGAGGCCTCTGCTGAACCCACTAAGAACCCCACGGCGGCAGTGGACATTCTTACTTTTGTCTTTATCCACCGCTACAAACCTCTTGTGAACCTCTTGCTGCAGGAAGGCGAAGCACAGAGAGAGGCGCCGAGAAACAATTTCACTACTCCTGATGTTATGCCTCCCCGACAGCGGCTTCTTCCCCCTCTTCATTCAACTGCGATGGAGGGAAAAGCACTCACCTTGTGCGCTTCCTGGTTGGCTGCGTCGGCGCCGTCTGTGTAGGTAACCTCGAGCTCTTCCAGCGTAATCTTTCCGTCGTTATTCTTGTCAATCGAGATGAATTCCTGCTTAACTTGGTGCTTGTGCATCGCCTCCTTAAGTTTGGTACTCCACTTCTCCGCCTCATCCTTCGAGATTTCGTCATTCTTGTCCGTGTCCACGAGCGCAAAAATAGAGTCCATCCTCTTCCTAATCTCCCGCAGACTCAGCTGCATTAACTCAGCAAGCTTCTCGCCGGAAAGCTTGGGTGTCTGCTCCGTCGGACTGCTGCCTTCAGTGCCGGCAGACATCAGCACGACAACAGCGGCGACTGCCGCAGACGTAGTGAACTTCATGTTGATCCAAAAAGTGCAAAGCAAACGCAATCAAACCCGCAACAATCAGCAGACAATAAAAGGAAATAACCGCCTCCGCGAAGCATGAGAAATAAGCTTCCTCCAGCCACAGTCCGCGAGACAGAGCGCATAGAGCAGCGCCACAGCCACAGCACCAGCCCCCCCCCCGACCCCCCCCCAAGAAAACGCAGAGCCCACAAGCCATTCGTTCAAGCCTCCCTCGTAACTCGCTAGAAAATGATCAGAAACACTCAATAAGCTGCAGAAACCTTCTTTTCGGGGCCTTCAAGAGTGCCGCGTGTAGGCGAGGCTCCGAGATGTGCTTGCTGTACAAGGCGACTCCAGGCCAAGCAGCCTTATGAACACTGAGCCTCGGACCAAAACTCTCGATGTGGATTCTTCGCCACCCCCTCGCCACTGACGCCGCGAGTCCAGTCTTCTCCTGCTGTAGACCTCAGAGCGTGAGCCTCCTGCGTGCTCGTGGGAGCTGCCTCGGCAGGGGATCGATCCCGTGCTGCCCGCGAATCCTTGAGCCTCAAGCCACCGGCTAAGGCTTTGGCTCGGGGGCGTATAAGGCCACAAGGCTCTCGGCAAGGCCTGCCTGGGGCCCCTGTGGTTGGTTGGTGGGGAAGGGAGGCAGCCGCTGCGATCTCGGTGAACACGCAGAGCGAGAGAATGGAGACGACTCCGCTGCCTCTGGGAAGGAGAGCTCAGCTGTTGCGGCTTCGCCCCTTATATCAGCGCGTTGACGTGCTGCCCTTCGCTGCAACTGCCTTCGCGCTGCTTGTCTTAGCCTTGAGGGAACATGAGGCACTGGGGAGTCAAGACGCAGCAGAAGCCCCCACCACAGGCGCAGCGCATGCAGACGTTCCCGGAGGGCCTGCTGCATCGAGGTCTGAGGCGGCTCCCGTGCAAACGGGGGATGCAGACACGTCGCCTTCCTCGGACTTGGCAGCCGCAAGCAATCCGAAGGAAGAGGCTTTCCCGTGGATCCTGCAGACGCCTAGTTCGATCGCGCTGCTGCTGCTGCTGCTGCTTTGGCTCGGCTTGCAGCTCTCCAGCCGCTGGACCTTGCGCTTCCAGCGCTGGAAGAATTTTCAGCGCTGCGACCCCGCAGCAGCTGCTGCAACTGCATGCACGGGCGGAGCAGGAACGGGAGTCGCTACACACGTGTTCGTTGCTGCCGGAGCCGAAGAAAAAGACGACTTCTTAGTGCCAATTGAACTGCTGCAGCTTCAACAAGCGGCCCTAGCGACTAAGGGAACGGCATGCACTGCAGGACCCCCCAAGACAGGTGCCCCCCACAAACGCCGGCAGCAGCAGCAGCAACTGGAGCAACAGCAACACGAGCAACAGCAGAAGTTTGCGCTGCTGATAGTCTTGCGGGGGCAGCGCTATCTATACGATTTGAAGGCAGAAGATTTCTTTCCAGTCACGCCGCCGACGCAACTGTCACTGCGCAGATACTTGGGGTGGACAGGCCTTACCGAGGGTCCTTTGTCCTCTCCAGCAGCATCAGCAGCAGCAAGGGGAGTTGCAACAGGAGAACCAGAAACATCGGTTGCTGATGCACTGATACGCTACGGCCGTAATGTGTACGACATCCCTGTGCCCCCTTATCAGCAGCTGCTGATGCAGCAGCTCCTCTCGCCCTTCTTCTGTTTCCAAGTGTTTTGTGTGTCGCTTTGGCTCCTCGACGGATACTGGAGTTTTCCACTTTCAACCCTCATACTCCTGGTCGTTGTTGAAGCTCAGGTCTGTCGAGAAGGCTGGGGGGGGGCGAAGGCTGCTGCTGCTGTTTTTGCTGGAGTTGCTTTTGCTGATGCTGCTGTTTGTTTTGCTGCTGATGTTGGTGTTTTTTTCGCTACTTTTGCCGATGCTGGTGTTTTTTTCGCTACTTTTGCCGATGCTAGTGTTTCTTTCGCGTCTCTTGCCGATGCTAGTGTTTCTTTTGCTGCTTTTGCTGATGCTAGTGTTTCTTTTGCTGACTTTTGCTGGTGTTGTTGCTGCATGCGCAGCGAGCTGGGGGGGGCCTGCGGCTCCCTGTGGGGCCGCTGCTGCCTTGCCTCTGCAGTTGTGCCTCCCCTTCGGCAGGCAGCCTGCAGCTGCAGCTGCCTTCGTGCGTTGTTACCAAGAAGCCTCGTGAGCTGGCCTAAAGGCGTGACAGCCTCTTGATTACAGAGTGTGGTTCGCTTCATTCTCGTTCGCTGATGCTGCTGCAGACGGCCCTTAAGCACAAGCGGGAGCTGATGCGCGTGCGGGACATGCAGCGGAAGCCTCCTCCGGTGTACGTGCACCGCAAGCACTGCAGCAGCGGCAGTAGCGGCAGTAGCGGCAAATGTACGTGGCGGCTTGTCGATTCATCTGAACTGCTGCCAGGAGACATTTTCTGCTGGGAAGTTCATGCAGGACGCGTTGGGGGCCTTTTGGCGCCAGCCGATGCCCTGCTGCTGCAAGGCACTGCAGTCGTCGATGAGTCTCTCCTCACGGGTATGCCCTTTCAGCCGGCTGATCCCTGGATGACGCACTTTTCTTTATTATCTCTCTATGTAAATCTCAGACTTTCGAGGGTTCTGGCCGGGGGGGGACGCCGCAATCGCCGCGCGGTGCGAATCGAACGCCGGGACAGCCTTCTCGACCCCTCATATATCCGTGTCGTGCAGTAGCTAGCTAGCTAGCTAGCTACTGTCTTGACCAGCTCACTTCGCGGCTGTTTGCTTGCGGCTTGCGGGGTTGTTGCTCGCAGGGGAAGCGATTCCACAGGCGAAGGCAGGGCTGTCGCTTACCGCCGCAGATCCAGAGGCCCTCAACGAGGCGCTCGAGTTGCAGGGCAGGCACAAACAGTTCGCTGTATTTGCTGGTAAATTTCTTTCGCCCTTGCTTCCTTCGCCTCCGTGGGAAGCGCGTGGGGACGCCTTTAGCGCCGCCTCCTGGAAGATCCAGAACACTCACACACACGCATGAACGCATGCAAGCCCGAGGGGCAAGCAGGCTGCTGCCAGGTGCAGGCGGCCAGCAAGCTGTGGCTCCTTGCAGCTGCGCTAACGCCCTATCCGTCTTGTTGTGTGTGTGTGTGTCTGCTTATCTCCATGTCTATGTATGTGTATGTCTTTGTGCATGCCTAAATCTATAAGTATGTGTATGTGTAAGTATCTGTATGTGCTGTCTATGTGTATGTCTATATGTGTATGTGTACATGTATGTCTGTGTTTTTATCTGTGCATATCAATGTATATATGTATACGTATATCTACGTCTATGTGTATGTGTGCCCTTCTATCCATATCTGAATATATATATGTATATATATATATATATATATATATATGTCTACGTCTATGTCTCTCCCTCTCTTTGTGTGTGTTTGCAGGAACCAGCCTGTTAGCTGCAGAGAATGAAAGTGATCGTGGTTTAGGCTGCTGCAGACCGCCGTCTAACTCTCCCGTGTGTGTTGCCGTTCGCACAGGATTCGCCACTACCGAAGTGAGCCTGTGTGACTGCATCATGCCCTGTTCTTCTTCTCTGCAGCCTTCTGTCTGTCTTGTCCATGCCTCCTCCTCTCCCCACATGCTGCCGCGCTTTTCAGCTCTCCTGGCGAATCGCATTTCGCCATGGTAGCAAATATTTCTTTGCCGCAGGCTCCGAACTGCCGTGTTGACTGCCTTTGTGTTCCTACTTGCTGCTTCGCTCCATCCCATGACCTCTCCTTGCGTGCCTTCCCCCCTCTCCGTCTGCTGGATCGCGCTGCTGGGATGCGTCGTTTTTTTTCTCGGAAGGGCAAGACGTCTGCGTGCTGCTCTTACTCCGTCTCCCCGCCCCCATCATCCGCTTCCCGTTCTCCTCCTCATGCTGCCTGCTGCTGCTGCACAACGCCAGTGCGTCGTCTCTTTTTTCTCCCGCTGCTGTGGCTGCTGCAGGGTCAGCTGCTGCGCACGTTGATTGTCACCACGAGTCCGCCTCGCGCCAGCAGCAAAGAGGGCTGGACTTTTCTCGCGCTGCTCGTTCTTCTGGCTTTGTTCTGCTGCGTCTACGTGGCTCTCACTGCGCCCCTCTCCCCCTTCTCCTTTTACCACACGGAGTTGCCCTCGGTGCTGCAGTGGCTGCAGCCCGACGTGGAGCACTTGCAGCAGCTGCGAGCAGAAAACAAGCGCTCTCCAAACACCTGGCGCCTCCTGCTCACCCTCTCCCACATCGTCACCTCCGTCGTGCCCCCCGAATTTCCGATGCTTCTTTCACTGACACTGTCCGTCGGCGTCCTCCACCTCGCGAGGGTCGGCATCTGCTGTACAGACACCCTCAAGTAAGGCGCTGGTCTGGAGGCGGCGCTTCTGTTTCCTTCGAGAGCACGTAGCACTCACATATTGAGATGCATCCTTTTGCGACAACGCACTGCCTCTTATTCCCGCTCCTGCTTTTCCGGCTGCAGACTCGCTGCTGCTGGTGGCGTGCGGGTTACTGCCTTCGATAAGACAGGGACGCTCACTCACCACAGCTACAAGCTCCTGGGTGTCTTCGGAGTAGGCAGAAATCCAGAAGATCTCGACAGCCAAACGCCTCGGCAGAGGCAAGCCTCCATCCTGTCGCAACAGGTGCGCTGCAGTAACTGCATGGATACGGCCACGAAGAGCAGCTGCCACATAAACTCTCATAATCGATGGTTTTAGGATATCGGAATTCACCACATCTACATTCTACATGTGTGTGCATACATATATATATGCATATGTATTTAGATAATATATATACATGCGTGTATTCATATATACATATATATGTGTATGTGTATGCGTGCTTCTGGGAAGACAACCTCGGAGCTTCTCCCTTCCCACGCGCCTGTGTAGTATGCCCCTTATGCTGCTGCTGTGTGTTGCGGCTGCTGGTGCTGGTGCTGCAGGAGTCACCGCTGCTGACAGCCCTCGCAGTAGGATCGTGTCACTGCCTCAAACCCGATAGCAGGGGTGTGCCCGTCGGCGATCCACTCGAGCTTGCGGCCTTCAAGAGCTTTGGATGGCAGTTCACCTCGCAGAAAGCTGCCGCTATTCCTTGTCAGCTGCTGCTGTTACGCGCGCACATTTTGCTGTTCATGCTGCTGCTGCAGCTGTTCATGCTGCTGCTGTTGCTGGAAATACTTCGCCAGTGCCGTTGCGCAGTGGAAGCACAAAAGCGCCGGCGAGGGGGGACTGTTGTTGTAATCGCTGGCGTGAAACTGTGTTGTTGGGAGAAGTGGACCTGCCGTCTAGTACGTGTGCAATGCTTAGTTGCTGTGTTTGTTTTGCTATGCATGCTGCTGCAGGTGGGAAGAAGGGGGAGTCGGCTGCGCGGCTGTCGCTGCTTTTCTGCTTCCCGTTCGCTTCCAGCCTGCAGCGCACAACGTCCGTTGCGGAGTTTCGCGTCTCGAGCGAGCGCTGGCGTGCCTGCCGGCAGCAGCAGCAGCCCCAGCAGCATCAGCAGCAGGAGGAGGAGCTGCACGAGCTGTTGCATCGAAAGCAGCAAGGCTACATTGTTGCAGTGAAAGGAGCTCCTGAGCGCCTGAAGGGGTTCCTGGCAAAAGTTCCTGCCTTTTACGACGCAATGGCAGACGCCCTCACAAGCCGAGTGTGTAGTATGCACCACGCCTACCTGCCTTGCTCGCTACTGGAAGACCAGTCGGTGCTGCTGTTGCTTCTAGTTCCGCTTTGCAGGAAGAAAGGTGTTGCGGGAGATGTTAGCCATGCTTGGCCTCCCTAGGTTTGCAAGTGCGCTGTGCAGTTCCTCTGAATATCGGTGCGGCTGCTGCTGTGCAGGGCCTTCGAGTGCTGGCCATAGGAGCACGCGTGTGTTTCGCGAATCCTCAAGGCGCTTCTCGCGATGCTTTAGAACGAGATTTGCTCTTCTGCGGCTTCCTTACCTTCGCCGCCCCCGTCAAGCCCGGAGTTCACCACGAACTGCAGCTGCTGCGCAAGAGCGGCCATCAAGTCATCATGCTGACAGGCGATCACGCACTGACTGCAGCCGCCGTTGCTGCCGACGTGGGCATTCTGCATGCTCCTAGCCGCTGCGCAGCGTCGAGCTGCTGCGGAACCTACTCAGGAGAAGAAGGAGGAGGAGAGACGGTGAAGAAGGAGGAGAAGAAGGAGAAGAACGAGGACGCGTCGAGTGCCGCCACAGCCGAAGGCCCCGCGGATCCTGTCAAGTTGATGCCACTCTTTCTCTCACTGGCAGATCCAAAAAAGTTGGTCCTCAAAGAGGAAAATGTCGAGAAGAACGTCCGATCTCGCCACACGGGAGCAACAGCATTAACAACAGCAGCATTGGCGACAACAGTAACAGCAGAAACAGCAGCAACAACAGTACCAGCAGGGGACAACTACGAAGGCAGCAACGGGGGAAGCGACTACACGGGGCAGCTCGAGTGGGTAGCCTCGGATGGCAGTGTGCGCTTACCTTTTGCCGCAGCTATCCGCCCCTTTCCCTCCAGCAAATACGCCTTCTGCGTATGCGGCAGTGTGCTGAGACTGCTGCAGCAGCACAGGCGGAAGCAGCAGCAGCAAAGGGTGTCGGGAGCGCATGCAGGCGTCTCGGCTGCTGCCGAGTCCGCCGACGTGCAGCTAGCAGCAGCGGATCAGGAGCGGCAACACCAGAGGGATGAGGAGGAGCAGCTGCAGCTGCTTCGGCTGCTGGTGCGGCATGTACGAGTTTTCGCACGGCTGTCACCTCATGAAAAGCAGCAGGCTGTCGAAGCGTTCACCTTGGAGGGCCTTCCAGTGTTGATGTGTGGTGACGGAGCCAATGATATAGGCGCTTTGAGAACTGCTGCAGTCGGAGTTTCTGTCCTTTCCTCGACGCCGTCTGCTGCTGCCGCCCCTGCAGCGGCTGCAGCGGACGCCCCTGTTTCGCAGCAACAGCAGCAGCTGCAGCTCGCGCTGCAAGCGCTGGACGTCGGCAGTGCCTTAGTCCCCCTCGGATCCGCCTCCGTGGCTGCCTCCTTCACGTGCAGGGAGTCAAGCATCAAAGTCGTGTCTCGAGTGGTATCGCAGGGGCGCTGCTGCCTTGCCTCGCTGCTGCTCATGCATCGCCTCACTGCGCTGAACTGCGCCGTCACTGCGTTCTCCCTGTCCGTCCTCTCTATGGACGGTGTACGACTGAGCGACACCCAGGCAGCCCTCGACGGCTTGCTCTCCGTTATTCTTTCGTGCTTGGTGAGTGCCACACCGGAAGAAGAACAAACGCAGGCGCTGGAAACAGAATCCGCAGAGCAGAGGCAGCACCTACAGGAGCAGGAGCAGCCCGTCTTTATGGGAAACAAGCCACCGCCAAAGTCCGTATTGACTTTCTGGGGTACCTTGTCGCTAGTCGCGCAAGGCTGTCTACACGTGTTGTGCCTTTCTAGGGCATGGGCCTTAGCCCGCACCTTTAAAGACAGCAAAGATCCTAGCAATTTGACCAGGGGAAGCAGCAGGAGCAGCATGAAGGGAGAATTGCTGCTGGATGCGGATGAGCCTTTCGAGCCTGACGAAGTCAATACAGCCGTGTTCTACCTCATGCTCTGCATGCATATCTCGATCTTTCTGTCAAACTATGAAGGCGCTCCCTGGTCGCTGCCTTTACGGCACAACAAGAAGCTGTTTGGCCTCTTGCTGCTAGGCCTTAGCTGCCTGCTGCTGCTGCTCTCGCAGCTGCTGCCGTTTGTCAACCAAGCTCTGGAGCTGGTTCTATTCAGCGACGGCACCCTTGTGCTGCAGCTGCTACAGCTGCTGCTTCTCGATCTTTTCGTGCCGTGGATCGTTGCTGCCGCGTGCAGAGGAGCAGCAAGCCTCAGCGAAAAAAATCTGCGTCCTCTGGCCGAACACACTGCAACCCCGCCTCAGCAGCACCGGCAACTGCAGGACAAGAAAGAAAACTGACCTCAGCTGCAATCGGCATTTCGTTTTGAGTCAGAGGGAACGGGGGAAGAGGGTTTTTAAAGCAGCCAGCAACGGCCGCTCGAGCTTCTAATAATACCGCAGCAGGTGTCGTTTTGGTGCGACCCTATGGAAATGTACGACAGACTCTGTAGCGCCAGAAAAAAATGCTTAGCTACTTAATTTTTCCCGAATCAACAGTTGCCTGTGCGCGGCGAGGGTGTGCTGCTGCTAGTCTACCCAACAACTGCCTAGTGCCTAAGAGCTAGAGACAGTTGTTGCAACCCCCCAATGCTAACGCAGTGCCCGCACAGACATTCACGCTGCTGCTGCAGCGAGCGCTGCCCTTTGCATCTAGCAAGCCCCGCATGCACGTGCCACACGCGCGGGGAAAGCTCTGCAGCAGCAGCCGCAGCACTAGCTAGTCGGCTATTCCGAGCGACTGCGCAGCAAAGAGATCGTAGAAAGAGGCGAGCTCTTGCAGCCTTATGGTTTCGTCCCGAACGGCTGCATGCAGCTGCTGAAGGTGTCTCGCCACCTGCTGAAACGCTGTCTGTTCCTTATCTACTGCAGATGCAGCACGCGCTGTCTTTGCTGCTGCTGGAAGCGAAGCGCCTGTCGATGCCAACGACACCACAGAAGCAGAGGCAGGCCTGCTTGCCCGTTCGTCTGCCTGCCCCCGCTGCTGTGGCATATTACTGTGCAGCAATGACAAGTCTTTTATGTCTGCGAGCGACACCACACGGGGAGTTGCTGCTGCCTCTGCTGGAGCTGTTACTGCTGTTTCTCCTGGAGCAGCTACGGCTGCTGCCGTCGCTGCTGCTGAGGGGCTTGCCGCTGAAACTTCGTCCACGCACCCGTGAAGCTCTAAAGCCTTCCCGCCGCTACCTTGCTCCGTCGCTGTGTCTGCTGGTCTTAACCCTAGCAGCAACAACAAGCTATCTCGCCCTCCCGCAAGTTCCTCTAGCTGCTGCAGTGCAGCAGCAGCAGGGCCTTCTTTGCACGTAGTCAGCAGTAAATCTGTGGGCTGCTGCCGTTTGCTGCAGCTGCTGCCTCCACTTGCAGCAGCAGCATCAGCACTACCTCCACCAGCATGGCAGCTGACTCGCTGCAGCTGATCGAGCAGATGCGGCGCTTCCCTGCACCAAAACTCACGCAGTTTCTCTACCGCTGCGTCATGAAGCACTGCAACGGAGGCACACAGCAGTCGCAGCTGCTGCTCGTCTAGCTGCAATAGCGTCTCTTCTTCCTGCTGCTCTCGTTGAACGTCCTCCTGCTCTTGCTGCTGCCGCTGCTCCTGGAGAGCACCATGATCCTCTAAGCTGCCGAGGGGAACCTCGGATGCTGCGGGAGTGCCCGTTGCAGGAGACGCTGCTCCTCCTGCTGCTGCTGTGGCATCAGGTACTTGCGGCAAGTGTATGCACAGGTCAGAGCCTTCAAGGGAAACAAACGGAACCGCAACTCGGGGAGCAGCAAATGGCTGCTGCTGCTGCTCCTGAACCGCTGCAGCTGGCGAGCGTGGCTCCGCTGCTTCTAGGCGGGGGTCGTCGCTACCATCAGCAGCCGTGCACGCGGAGAGAGCAGTGAGCTGCTGCAGTGCGTCATGCAGCTCCTTTGGCATCGTCTCCGCAGCCAATGTGGCCGCTGTAGCTGCTACGTGCTGCAGCCCCGCGCGGCACATCTCTGCGTTGCCGCTGCTGCTGCTGCTGCACACTTCATCAGCAACACCCCGCAGGTCCCTGTACAGCGCAGAAATAAGGTTGAATGCGAGGTCAGAGCTCGCCGCTGCCTCGGAATCTGCTGCTGATATCGCTGCAAAACCTGCAGGAGCTGCAGCAGCATCGGCTGTTGCGGCGCCCTCTGCTGGGTGGCGGTGTACCCGCGTCTGGATACGGCTCAGCGGCTGCATGATGCAGAAACAACAGCAGCCAGGAGTTTTCACATGAGTTGGGAGCTGCTGAAGAGCAGCTGCGGGGGCGAGCAGGCTTGCTTTCCGAACCCCAGCATCCGCCGCTTACGCCCGTGCTGCTGCTGCTGTTGCTGCTTCTGCACGATGTTCTACGAAACAAGAGCTCGCGGCCATGAACAGGCAGTAGACAGCCGGGTACTTGAACGATTTTGAATACGATCTTTCAATGTTGTTGCATGATGTAGCCGCAGTTTCTGCTCCAACAGTGGCCCCGGGGCTGTCTTGAATTGGGTGGGTGGGGTGGTGTTCCTGGTGGTCCTGGGCATGTGCCGCAGCGGCAGCATTTGGGAGGCAAAGGAGCAGTTTCCAGCGCGCGTGGCATCAATGCACAGCACATAGAATTACGTTGGCTCGCACCGTGGACGCATTCGCGGGGGCATTGTGCTTGTCGGCGTCTCAAAGATCCGCGACGTGCCTGGTCTCCCCACCCGCTGTGCGTGTTTTCTGTGGAAGCGTCCTCTGCTGCCGCTATTAGTGCTGCTTGCGCTGCGACAGCTGTGTCCAGTAGAATCAGCAGCAAGTGCAGGAGCACCCGCAGCCGTTTCGAGGGGTTGTTGCTGCATGCTCCTGCCGCGGAGGAGGAGGCTGCCGCGTGTAGAAATGGAGTCTTTTGCGCTCTCACCCCGAGCTTCATCGCAAGTGGTGGCAACTCATGCTGGGGGTGCCGCCCTCCCTGCCGCCTCCGATTACGCCACTGCAGCAGCGCAAGAAGTCCAGCAGCTGAGAAGCCGCAGCCCCCTGCTGCAGCAGCAGTCGAGAAAGCTGCAGGGGTGCTACCCCCAGAATCGGCAGCGACTAGCAGAAGAGCAGTCAGAGCCGCCGCAGGCAATCGTCCCCAAGCCGCCTCCCCAATGGACTCGGGGGGAGAGCGAGGAGCAGCTGCAGCAGCAGCTGCAGCTGCAGCTACAGCTCGAGCAGCGCCAACAGCTGCACCACCAGCAGCGCATACAGCAGGAGCTAGAGCGCCTCGGGCAGCAAGCCCTTGAGCAACGACAGCTGCAGCACCGTCCACAGCTTGCCTCGAACGAGCACCAGCAGCAGCACCAAGCGTCTGTCGAATCTGCAAGAACACCCTTGAGCAGAGGAGCAGCCCTTGTGACGTCAGGCAGACGGCGCAGCTCTACAGGGGTAGCCGTTGCAGGCTGCGGCGGTGCAGATAATTCAGCCTGTGCCTTTGCCGAGGCTTCTTGGCCAATGGCTGCTGCCCCCACAGCAGCCCCCCCTTCTGCAGCGGGCGCTGGCGTTGCTGCGGCTGTCTCTGCAGACTCACCAGCAGCAGCACCTGCAGCGCGAGAATGGCCATGCAGCGGCATGCAGCAGCAGCTGAGCAGCGTCTGCTGCTGCTGCAGCGAAGAACTGCGGGATATGGGGCCCTGCGGAGTGGAGGGCTGCTGGTGCGGCGCGGCAGCAGCTGCTGCCGCAGCAGCAGCCGTCTCCACCCCTGGAATCAGCTGTATGTACAGCTCGCGACTCAAGGTTCGCATCGCGATGCAGCAGGAATGCAGCAGCAGCAGCAGCAGCGCGATCGGCTACGCCAGAAGCCTTTGCTTCAGACTGTACAAATACAATGAGGCACGCTGAACAGCACAGCTTCCCCTCTCCTCCCTCTTCCCTATCGAATCGATCTTGCCCCGATAGAGCTCTACGCCGCTCCTTAACGCGGGGGTCAAACGTGCTTGCGCAAAATACCTCTTTTGACGCCTCTGTATCACGGCACCTCCCCCGTAATGCCTCCATGAAGGCACCTGCCTCTGACGTCTGTACATCGGCTGCTGCTGTGCATGCATGCTGCGCTCGCTTCAGGGACTGCGCGTCGAGCTGAGCGACCCTGACTGCCCCCCCTTCCTCTTCAGCTGCTGCATTAGCAGCACTAGCTTTGCCGCCTTGCAGCAAGAGCAGCAGCTGCGCGTTGATTTCAAAGCCTTCGGCTTCCGTGTATGCCTTTCTCTCCCCCCAGACATTCGTCTGAAGCCCCCTTTCTGCACTGCATGCGCAACAAAGCCACCCTTTCTGCTAAACCACAGTCCGACTCCGACGTTCGCTTACCACAGGGGCTTCTGTGCATCGAGATTTGACAATACATGTGCCTCCTCAGGTCGTGGATCTCATAAGGGAATGCATTGCTGACGCCGCTGCTGAGCCACTGCAGCAACGGTAAGACGTCGTGGGGGCGCATGTATGCTACTACTACTGCTGCTGCTACCACTACTACTAATTATCATCATAATGATAAACATACTAGTACTAGCACTACTACTACTGCTAGTAATACTAGTGTTACTACTACTACTGCTACTACTATTGCTGCTACTACTGCTAGTAATACTAGTATTACTACTACTACTGCTACTACTACTGCTGCTACTACTGCTAGTAATACTAGTATTACTACTACTACTGCTACTACTACTGCTACTACTACTGCTGCTACTAGGGCTACTGCACGGGCGTAGGCGCGAGTGAGATTTGAGGCAGCTTCCCAGCGTTCAGACAGCTATCCCTCATGCGGACTGCACTGCATTTGGGGTGCAGGCTTGTTGCTGTGTTGATTCTTTCTCCGGAAGCCGCTGCGGCGCAAACGGCTGCCGCGTCTGCTGCTGGCTTGGCAGGTGCCTCTACAGTTGCGGCAGTCCCTGCTGCGACTGCTGCTCTGCTGCCCGTCGGAGATGTCGGTGAAGCAGCGGCAGCGGCAGGATCAAAAGCCGCGCCGACAGCAGTGCTGCGTCTTATAGAGACGAACGCCTTTAGGGAGATTGTCCATCTGTACTTTGACCTCCAAGCGGGAACAGCCGCGGAGGTGTACAGACACCTGACTGCGCACCTCCAGTATTTTCAGGTCTGATCTGCAACTGCGCCACGCCCCTTGACACAGGCCGCAGCTGCTGCCTAATAATTTTTGGAATGAGGCATGCTGTCCTCTCGTGCATTGTATTGTCGCTGTCGCAGCGCAACGGTGCCTCTTTCCGAGCAGTGGCAGCGGACATGCAGCGAGAGAATCGCCAGTTAGTGCAGCTGCTGCAACAGCAGCACCAAGAGACGTGAGCGGCTGCTGCAGCGGGCATGCGCCTCTCCCTTGTGTATGTAGAAGCAGCGGCAGGAACGGTTGCAGAGTCTCTCTTTGATCATGGTGAACTGCCGAAAGCTGCGCGTTCGTTTGCTTGTGCGTTCAGTGAACTGGCCTTCTTGCAGCTGGAGCAGCAACACCAGCAGCAGCACCAGGAAGCCCTGCTTGCCGCAGACGAGCAGAAGCGGCAGTTGCTGCTGCAGCAACAGCAGCAGCTAGAAGAGCAGCAGCAGCAGCACAATGAGCGGTGGAATCGGCTCGCACAGCGGGTGCAAGGCGTGGAGCAGCACGCATCGCAGGTGAGTTGACGCCTCACCGCTTGCGCTTCTGCAGCAAGGGGCTGCTTCCTGTCCTTTAGTGCCTCTTTGGCGTTGTGCTTGCTTGCTGCGCTGTTGTAGCTAGCAGCCACGGCGTCCGAGCAGAAAGAGTGTATCGAGGATCTGCAGAGACAGCTGCAAGAAACGCGCACTGCTGCCGCTGCTGCTGCTACGGCAGAGGCAGCAGCAAAGAAAGAGGCACGCCAGCTGCAGCAGGTGCACCTGCAGCAAGTTCAGCAGCTGCAGCAGCTGCAACAAGAAAACAAAAGTCTGCAGCAGCAGCTGGACGCCGCAGTAGCGGCAGCGAGGCTTGCCGAACAGCGGGAGCAGGAGAGCACTACTCAGCAGCAGCTGCTGCAGCAGGAGCTGCAGCAGCGCACAGCGGAGTTGACGCATCGATCTGCGGAGGTGGAGCACCTGGTGAAAGAGCTCGAGAAGGTCGGCAGGCTGGGTGGCTGGCTCTCTCTTTGCATGCATCACCTCTGTTGCCGCATGCTTGCGGGGGTAGCAGCGGCAAGGCAGACAGACAAGCAGACAAACAAACAAGCGCAGACGCGCACGAGAAGAGCACCTCAATCAAAGAATGCTAGCCAGCTTAGCGCTTCTTCGCCTCACCTAGCGGGTGGTGCTTCGTTTCCTCGAATTTTTGCGACCTTGCTGCTCTCCATTCTGTGCGAGGCAGCTGCTTTCTTGCGCATTGGCTGCAGCAGCAGCAGCAGCCAATGCTACTCCCTCAGTGCTGCGGGCGACTGTCTTCAGGGAAACTCCGTTGTAGCCAAGCTGCAGCAATCAGTCCGCAGCAGCAAGGCCAAGGCTAAACAAAACGCCGCAGACGCTGCAGCAGCAGCAACAGTAAGTCTTCCGGAAAATGCGAGTGCCTTCCTTCCCGCATGCCTCTCGGGGTCGCATGCACATGCTGCTCTCCCTTTGTCGCTGCTGTTGCAGGCTAAGGAGGCAGCTCAGGCGAGGCTCAAGGAGTTGGAAGAAACGCAGCAGCAACGAGATCAGCAGCAGCAGCAGCTCGAGCTGCAGCACCAGAACCAGCAACGCCAACAGCAGCAGCTGCATGCAGAGTGCCAGACACTAGCAACCCAAGTACAGCGGCTGCAGGCCGAGCTGGAAGCCTCCAAAGAGAGTGAGTTTTTTCGCGTGCGTCTCTGCTACTGCAGCCGACTGCTCTGCGCCTAGCAGATCCTTCTTGCCCCTTTCTCCTGGACTTGCCACCAGTTGCTTTTCTGTGGAGCGGCAGTTGCCGCATGGCAAGAGGGGGGGCAGGCTGCCTTCCCGTCGCATGCAGGCAGCCCCTTAAAGGTGGTGGCAGCAGCGCTTGACTGTGCTGCAGTGAACGCGCGCTTAAACAAGGAACTGACGTCTCGACAGTTACAGCTGTACCTAGACCGCTACGCGACTGCACCCCAGCAGCATGCAGCAGCAGCAGCAGACACAGCTCCCACACCTCCGGGTGCAGCCTCCCCCACCACAACGCCTCTCTCTCCACGCCAGCAGCAGCAGCCGCCTTCAGTCCAGCAGCAGCTGCTGCTGCGTCAGCAGCACCAATTTGCTACAGCGGCGAAAGCAACACTCCCAGCAGCAGCAGCGGCAGAATCCACAGTCAAACTGCTCGCCGCGCTGCGGCCTACGTCTGCAGCAGCAGCAGATCGCCGCTTCTAGCACAGCTTCCTACACTCCCCGCTGCAGCAGCAACACGCGCACAGTCCAAGGGGGAAAGGGGGCGTGTGCTGTGCTGTTCCCTTCTCGCAACTCTGCTCGCTACGCAGCTGGTGTCGTCTACCCACACACAGACACGGCGGAGCGCCAGCAGCAGCAGCCTGCCCGCTTCCCTGCCTCCCTCCCAGCAGCTGCCACGGCTGCAGATGTTTGGCAGAACAAGCACCGCAAAATTTTGGCTTCGAACAGGCGGCAATCGTCGAGAGCCGCTGCTGCCTCGTGGCAGCGGCAGCACTGCTGTCGCGGCTGTTGCCTCGTATCCTGCAACTGCAACGAGAGCCACGCAGTCAGGATTTTTCCAGGGCAAGGCATGTGTGAAAAAACGTCGTTCACTCGTCACTGCCACCACCGCTGCGACGGCAGCAAATTGTATCCCTGCTCCTGCAGAGGGCCTCGCGTCTTAAAAATAGCGGGAAGACGTTGCATATTGCAAGGACTGTGGATAAAGAAAGTACACTACAGCAGTGTGCCTGGCCTCAAAAATGCTTTTTTCATGCGGAGTTGTGCTATGTCTAGCTGCTGCGGCGATGTTGCTCGTTGCATGGCACTAGAAAAATTGTTGCTGCACAATGGCATGACACTGCCCAATAAAGTTTCTACTGTAACTGCGCCTTTGCGCATCACAACGGTAAACCCGTCTCTAGCGTGGGCAGCTGAAAGATGTACAGTTGTTCGCCAGCTACCAAGACTGATCCGCTACTCTTTCTCCACAAGGTTCTCATCGTCAAACACGCAAGCTGCTGCCCCTACTGCCGTTGTAGGCGGCCCTGCTCATGCTGCTGCTGCTGCTGCTGCTGCTGCTGCTGCTGCTGCTCAGCTCCGTAAAAAAGAGGGTCGCAACAGCGCAACGGCGAGACCGCTGCGGCAGACGAAGTTTGCGGCATGGCCGTGCAAGCGCTTGGACTGATATCCGGTATGTACAAATACGAACGCGTGCCGTGTCTGCGAAGGGCGGACCGCAACGAGCAGCACTAGTGGTGCACATGAAAGAAGGCTGTGCGAGGGGAGCGGGGAGGGGGGCCGTTGCTGCTTCCAAAGATGGCAAAAGCTGGCTGCAGAGGCTCGCCGCTAAGATCCCGCAGAAAGCCAGAGGTGTGGTTGTTGTTGCGTTTGAGGCGCCTGCTCGCGAGCGAGCGAGCAGGCGCCTCAAACGCAACAACAACCACACCTCTGCCCTAAACGCGCCCAAGCAACGAGTCGCAGCAGCGTCAAAAGCTGGACTGGCATACTCAGCGAACTTACCCAACCCTCGACTCCATGAACGCATCTCCCCCGAGAGCTCTAGCATAAATGCGCGTCAAGGGTAGCCCAACACCCCAACCCGAGAACAATGCGGCGCCTGCAGCAGCAGCAGCAACCGCAACAGCCACAGGTGCCACGAGAGAGACTCTCGAAAATCCACTTAAAAGGAGCTCAGGCAAAGAGCCGCAGCTCTGGACGCAGGGCCGCACTGCAAGACTGACAGCTCGTAAGACTTAACGGCGCAACGACTGCTTCTGCAGCAGGAAGCTACCTGGTTGCGCCTTCATCAACTTCTCGCTCGTTATCGTTCTCGTGCTGTACAGGAAGCGCCAGGCAAGCTGCTGCTCCGTCAAGCACAGGCCTTCGCCGCTGTCGCTAACCTGCAGCAGCAGCAGCAAACCGCACGAACATGCGTGCGCATGCACGATGCAAGCACCGCAGCCGTGAGCCGATGACAGCGAACAACAGCCCCAGCAGAGGCAGCAGCAGCCAGTGCATGCAGCGCGGCGCACTTTGACGACGACACCCGACTCGGCCGCAAAAATGAGGTGTATATCCACCGGCAGCATAGAGGAGCACTGCTCCTTCCCCTCCCGTTGCTGCTCTTGCTGCTGGTCCTGTGCGCGGGGTGCATCAGGACCATCGTAAAGCGACGGCAAACTGTAGATACACTTGGACTGCCGCACAGGCATAGAATCCCACTCTTGATGAGCGTGTTGCTGCTGTTGGTCTTGCTGTTGTTGCTGGCCGCTCTGCTGGCGCTCGCGCTGCTGCTGCCGGCGCACTGTGGCTTCGATGGCGTTCTTTATGAGCTCGAAGCAGCCGCTGTACGTGTAGGCAGGCGCACAGCGAACGACGATTCTCTTGTCCACCGCAAACTTGCTGCTCCAGCTGCTCCCCGTGCCCGTGCAGGCGCTGCAGCCGCTGCTGCTGCACCTGCATGCACCGCTGAAACTCCTGAAAGCGTCGCTGCCAAAGACGGGGGCCCCCCCCTCGGCTGTACGAACGCTCCCACCACTGTTGCCGCCGCTGCTGCCAGTGGCAGTCTGCAGAAGACTGCCCTCCGGAGTCGCAGAAGACGCTTCCTTGACTGCGTTCTGCTTGCTGCCGTCAGCAGCTCCACTCGCGCCGTTGCGAATGCAGCAGCATATGGAAGAGACATAAACTCGGATGGCGGGAGCACAGCCCAGACTGGTGAGTGCCATGCGCTGAGCATTCGCCGCAGCGCGAACTACCAAAGAGTCAAGTGCACACTGCTGCAGAGCAGCACCCGATGGGTTCCCTGCAGCGCAACAACAGAAACAACACCTCCCCTGGTCTTGCAGATGCGAGAACGCGCGTCGTCAAAATGCGGCGCAAGGGCGCATTTCCTTTCCTTCCCCCCGAGAAACCAACAGCGAACGAAAACGCGCATAAAGCCAGTGAAACTCGAAAAAGTAGACCGTCGCCTGCCCCCACCAGCTGCAAGAAACACACAACCCCCGTCGTGATGCACGTCAACAAAACACCCCGCGACAGCGTACAGCCTTCGAGAGCTCCAATACACCTCTCCCTGAGAATCTCTGCTGCGACGCGCCCGCAGAAAAACGTCTCCAGAAACTTGTCACACACAGCCAGCAGCGCTGCCTGCTGCTTCCTCGTCGGCTGCGTGGTGTCTGGACCCCCCAAGCCGACGTTTGCGGCTCCCCATCCGCCTGCCAAGGGGCCGATGTACTCCCTGACACCCCTCATCAGTTCCCCGACCAGTCCTGACTGCCACTGCCGCAGTTGCAACAGAGCTTTCCTCATTTCTTGCCTGCTGGGCGCAGGCGATACTGCAGCCGCTGAAGGAGAAAGAGGTGCTGGCGCCGTCGCTGCTGCCGCCGTTTCTGAGACAGCACTGCCGCAGGATGGCGAGGACTGTTGAGGCTGAGCCGTCGCTCGTGTGGCTTCCTCCTCCTCGGCCGCTTCTCCTGCGCGCGTTGCCTCCCCTGCTGCTGCACTGACAGCAGAGGCAGCACTCGCTGCTTCGCTACTTGCCACTGGCTGGTGGAGCTGCTGCTGTTGCTGCGGCCTGTCAAAAAGCTGCTGTAGAAGTGCAAGACTCGCCTTGTAGACTTCCGTGGCTGCACACAGTCCCCTGCAGTGTCTGTACAGCTCTGGCTGCAACAGCGCGAGAGCGTGCAACTGCTTCAGGCGCTGCCTGTACATTCCTGGCAGCGTATGCTGCAGCTCGCGAGCAACTGCGGCGTCTACCTGCTGCTGCACCTGCTCGTCCTGCGGCTGAATCTGCTGCTGCTGAATCTGCTGCTCTGCAGACAGAAGAAGCGGCTGTAGCGGGACGGGTGGATCCGGAGGAAAAAGTGCTTCCGCCACTGCTGCATCCAGAGACGAGCAGATCGCTGTGCTGCTGCTGCTGCTGCTGCAGAGGGTGTCCACAGAGGGCAAAGCCCACCAGGCAGCAGCAAACTGCTGCAACTGTGCTGCTGCCGCTGCTGCAGTAAGGTCCGAACTGTTGCTCTCGCACGGGAGTTCACTGCCTCGGAGTCGCCGCTGGCTGGTGCGAACAGCAGCCGCAGCGGAGGCAGAAGCCACGCGGTACCTGCTGCTGCTGCTGCTGTGGCTGCTGCTGCTGCTGTGGCTAGTGCTGCCGCCAATACCACATCCACGAAAGGATGGAGGCACTTGCACTGGTCCTGTCACTGCTGGTGTAGTTTCAAGACCAGCGGTAGGTGGCGACTCGTATCCGTCGCTGCTGCTCTCAGTGCTGGTGCTGCTGCTGCTGTCGCTGCTGCTGCTGTCGCTGCTGTTGGTGTGAACAAGGCGAAGCGAAGAAAGGGGTGGCAGAGGGGATGCAGCCTGCTGCCGCAGCAGCAGCGCGGGAGGAGAAACGGCAGCCGTTGCTGCTGCTGCTCCTCCTCCTCCTGCCCCCGCAGCTGCTACTGGTGCCGTCGTGGCTGCTGCCGCTGGTATCCCTGGAGCAACTAAGGCGGTAACCATCCTTGCGCATAAAATTGGTTTTGTTTTCGCTGCCGCTGCAACAGCTGATGCTAGGAATGCTGCCGCTGCTGCTCCTGCTGCAGATGCGGTCGGGGGTGCTGAGGCTGAGGCTGGTGTTGTTGCTGCGGTGCTGCTGCTTAGGAGCCGCAAGCTGGCATTGCCTGCAGTTGCCATATAGAATAAAGTACATGGGGTGAGAGCGGGGAGTTGTTTCAGGTGCCGCGGTTACGGCAGCTGCTGCAAGTGCTTAAGATGCAGCCACTACCATGACAAGTGCAGCTTCCCCCGCTGCAGGTGCTCCCGCTAAAACTCCACCTGTTTCTGCTGCTGGTTGCTAATGCTGTTGCTGCAGCTGAGACCCCATAGAGAGCTGCCCCTGCGCGCAGCAGGGGTGCTGCTGCCTGTTGCTGGCTACTGCCGGACTCATGTTGTCTTTCAAAAAAAAGGCGACAGACGGAAGAAGGCACAGAAGCGCGCTATCTCCTCCAAACAAAAGAAATGTCACAATCACTAGTTTTCTACAGGACTGCGTCGTGCTGCTGCTGCTGGAATCTGCCTCTGCTGCCGCTCCTCCAGCTGCGAGAGCGACGCAGCGCCGCAGCTGGCCCTGGTACCTCTAACAGCAGCAGCAGCTGCAGCAGTGGAGCACAGGCATGATGATGGCATTATCGGCAGGAAAACTACCTTCGTATCCTGCAGTTTTCGTATGAAGAGAAAGGAAGGAAACTCTAATTCCGAGAATCTAAATAATCCTAGACTTTGGGAGCTGCTGAGCCCGACTTCTTCCCTTCTACTGGCGCGGTGTGAACTGGCGCTGCTCCCGTCTGTGCACCCGTCTGCTCGATACTATGAATTTCTAATATCCCATTTCAAGGCTGTTTTGCTCCGGAACTCTGTGCAATTCCTGCCATCCGGTATGTGTGCACCCCTAAAACCCCTCCACCCACGCGAACACGAATACCCCCACCACTGACCCGCCGTTGCAGTGGAGGCGCCAGCGAACAGCAAACCAGCCGCAGCGGCACCCATCTCAGAAGCCGCTGCAGCTTTTGCAACGAGTAAGGTATTAAAAGGTGCAGCATCCACAAACGCTGGAACAGCAACGTCCACAAGCACAAACAGCAGCGCGAGCAGGCACATCCGCACAAGCAGGCCTTGCAGGAGCACCCCCAGTGTGGTCGCGAGCAGCAGCGGAAAATTGACCATCTCGTAGAGATTTAGGCCAATCGATATCTCCCTAATAGCATCAACACCCACAGTGGTAGAGGCAACAACAGGAGTAGCGGCAATGCTGAGGCTGTCAGGCTTCCGTGCTTCTTTTTTTAGAAGTGGCTATGGTCGCTTGACAGCTGCAGGCAAAGCAGAGCGTCGATTCAATGTGTTCTTTGTTTCCTTGATGTTCCTCCTGCCCACAATATATATTTACACAGCGGGAAACCCTCGACTGCTGCAGTGGTCCATGGAGCGCCTCCGCTGGGTTGAAGTACCTCCCCAGGCGGATCCAGCTATCCTCAGAGGAGGGAGGCCCACAGAAGACGCCGCCAGAAGAGAGACATAATGAATTAAATGATAATTTTAGAAAAAACAGATTTGCGTCTGCGATGCGTCTAGAGTGTATCGACGATAAACAGCCTTGCTCAGTAGACGTAGACACTTGACTACCTGGGGAATCGGGCGGCTAGCCGCCGCATTTAAGCTACTAGAGAACTTATTAGACTGCGCGTTTACGTCTTTCTGGTCCATAGGAGCACGTAGCTAGCTTCGCACGCACTCGAACGCGCCTGCGTCGCAGAGTGGCAGCAGTAGTATTGCCCTTGCACATGCTCGTGAGAGGCTTTTGCCGGCCCGGACTCACAGCAATAAAGAAAGAAGGTATCAAGATCGGCTCGACACAGCCTCGTGTAAAAAAGGCGCATTGCCGTTTGTACGACAAAGGGAATGGCGATGAGAAATTCTCCCGCCCCGCTGCCGTGACCCTTCGCCAGCGACTCGCTGTGTGTGCCGCACAGACACCCGGAGCTCGCGTTTCCAGCCTACGGCTTGAGCTTGAAGTCGATGGGCTCCTTGCCCATTTTCACGAGCAGTTCGTTGCACTTTGCAAAGTGGCCGCAGCCTGAGGAGACGGGCAAAGCTGCCTCCTACGCCATTTGTTTTTTCCCCTACCTTTCTGAGAACGAGGATGTGTGACAGCGAGATTTCAAAGTAGGGATCGAGGGGGGCAGATATCCAAAGCCGACAGTTTGGAGAGCGGCTACGCCCATTAGGGTGGAATTGCACGTCGGGGGCCACGGAAGCAAAGACAGCGACACAACGAAAGAAGATGGCAGGCTGGGGAGAAGGGAAGGGCAGAGAGAGACATACCTGCGAAGAAGCGAACGGCGAGGGGGGAGGGGTGCCCAGCCTTTAGCAGGGAGTGCCGAGAGGGAGAGACCCCCGCCGATTTTTTTTGGGCGGCTTTTCCTGGCAAAGCCAACGGCACAAGAAAAGAGAGACTCACGTGGGGGAACGCAGGAGCTTCCTGCATGCGTATCAGTGTAGGTCTCTTCACAGTGTAAGCCATGTTCATGGGGTACACCCGCGTGGCATGCATGCATGGCTGGCGATGGTCCTGCTTTCTGCAGCGAACTCCCTACCCACGCGCACCAAGTGTAAGAAGCTATCGCGCCAGGCCCCGAATACACGCGTTCAGAGAGGCACACAGAGACAGGAACTCTCTATAGTGATGCGGGCAGAAAGTGCGCGTGCGAGAGAATGCCTCATTTTACACGCGACCGAGACAGAGACACCGGGATTAGATCGTTCCCTAGAGACCAGCAGAGGGAGGTACAAATCGAGGGCAGGTGTCTATCCGCTGTGCTACCCCAGAGAAGAAAGATGACCCCCGAAAGTCTTGAATTGACCACCGACAGCACTTTGTCTGTAAACCTTTCCCATCCCTGCACACAAGGCAGCGCACAAGCGCGCAGGGAGGCTATTGCCCGAGCACTGACAGCTCTGTCTGATCCCTGATGCCTCGCATAGTAGCTGCTCTCAACAGAGCAGGAGGCTCAATAAAGGGCCCTTAGGAAGGCTTGCAGAGGAAGTGCACCGAGGGGCGCCTTGCCTTCCCTGGCCCCGACGAGTGCGTTCAGTGCAGTGCCGGGGAAGTGTAACTGCCGCATGGCGGCGATTACGTTGCACTCCGACGACAGTGTAGCTACACGCTACCCGGCGTGAAGGGACGTCCGGTGGTGCTTTACGCCGAGCTACGTGTTTGAACGGTGCTCTGCGCGGTTCGCGCGCGAGGCTAGCCGAGACTAAACGCTGCCAGCAGCGGCGCTCTCGGGGACTGAGGGCCGCTCTCCCCGTCCAGGAGCTGTCTGGCGCGCACAAGGCCAGTGCAAATGCGACGTACAAAATCCTTGTGAGCCATTGGCGTGTCTCTGCGGACGGTGAGGATCGCGTTGAGCAGAAAAACACCCTGAGACGCCCAGGAAGTGAGATCGCCGTGCGGCAGCGGCAAGCTCGAAGACCCCGGCAGGCTGGAGTCTGCAGCAGCAGACAGCAGCGAGGCGCAAGACCAGGAGGAGACATTTTTTCACCGCGACAAAAGGATCCCCGCGAGGCAGCGGCACTACCTAGGGAGGACGAGGAGTGCATGGAAAGGCGCAGTCGCTTGTTTCTCGGCAGGGCCTAGGGCTGTTCTGCTGCCTCCGCCGCGTCGGCTGCCGCCGCTGCTGCCTGAAAAGCAGATCGAGAAACTGCGAGCAAAGGGCCAAGCGCGCGAGAAGAGACTCACCGATCTCCTTGAAAATATTGAGGAGGCTTGGGGGGGGGCGCACGCCACGGGCGACAGAAAAGCACAATCCCTGAGGAGAAGGACAGCACACTGCGCAGCGGTACATCAAGAGGGGCTTTTTTTTCCGAGTCTTCGCTGGCAGGAGAGAACTTCGAGGTTGGCTAGCTTCCGAAACCAGCCTCAGCCATGAAGCAGAGCGCGCAGTGGTGAGCACAGGCACAAAAAGCGATCGCAGAGCGCGCTGGCGGCTGGCCGTCAGAAGCAGGATGGGAGCTTGGCAAGCCGGCGAGGAGCACGAGAACAGGTCTAGCGACGCAGAGAGGGGAAAGGCAGCTGAGGGGCACTGCTGCGCGAAGAAACGCGGAGCCGCTAGGCAAGAGCCTCTTGCCTAGCCGCCAAGGCGGCTTTGTGCGCATGGGAAGGGAGAAAAATCCCGTGAAGCAGCAACTTTGAGCACTCGGTGTGGAGCTGCTCGACTTGCCATGGCCTGGCCAGGCTGGTGATAGGGGTCCTGTCCAACAATGACGACTCTGACCTTCTCCAGCCTGCAACGAAACAGCCCTTCATCGGGTGACAGGAGCAGCTGTGTGTGGCAGCCGAGGCAGCGGCAGCAAGGGCAGCTGCCTTTGCACGGCGAGACACGACGGCCAGATGCTTTGCCGCGGGGAGGGAGAGACAAAACAGCAGTTCGCGAAGGGTTGGTCTCGCAGAGGGGGAGGGTGTGGCGCGCTGCAAGCCCTTAGGGGACTGCTCGAGACAAGCGCCTAGCAAGAAGGAAGCTCCGCCTCGCAGAGACAAGGGTGGACAAGGAAGGCTCAAGAGGGAGCGATATATAGAGAGAGAAGTCTCACACACCAGGAGGCGTGTGTTAAAGAGACTCTTTCGGACAGAAACGGCAGGTGCCCCCCAAACAAGGACCCACTGGAATCACGCAAAAGTGAGGCGAAGGATGGAGCACAGGGAAAAGGCGGTTGCGTGGAGGAAGACAGACAGAAGGAGAACGAAAGAGGGGAAAAGCGAGAAGTAAAAACCCACGGCGTCGCCCTAAACGCGTTAAACACGAGGTCCTCGGGAGGGAAGATGCTCCCCGGCGATCTGCGTCTCTCAGCTGCGACGAGCTGCAAGCACTTCTGCATATATGGAAGCGCTAGCTCCTCCTTGAGAGCTTCATACCTGCGCACACGATTGAGAGGCACCGCACGGGGCAGCAAGATGCCGTTGCCACACGCAAGTCGTGGACTGCATGGCGGCAGGCAGCTGCATTTGCCTTCGCATCATTGGCCCTTTGAGGGGCCCATGCCGCACGAAGAGCACTCAACAACGCCAGCAGCAACAGCATGCATGCATGCATGCAGTTTTTTCTCCGTTTCGGTGCTCAGGGTTCGAGGTTCACGAGTACCAGCTGTCCCCCATGGCTTCCCTCCACATCTTCTCCGCCGCATCGAAGGAGACGAACTGCCCTGTGGGGCAGACGACACCACCGGTGGAGCTCTTGATGGCAGCAAGGGGCCCTGCTGCGGCTGCTGCTGATCCTGTTCGAGCTGCTTGCCTGGCTTGTGTCGACGCAGCGCCTTCGGGCGCTGCAGCTGCTGCCTGTGGAATCCCGGCTATTTTCACCGCAACAGCACAAGCAATACCTGCATCACCATCTGCTCCACCGCTGGCAGCAGCAGAAGCAGCTCGATCCGCAATTCGTTGCTCTTGCTGTCGCTGCTCCTCCTCCTGGCGAGTGGTGTGCTGCTGCTCCGCCTTTTGGCCGCCGTCCTGCTGCTGCCGCTGCTCTGCAGTCTCCGTCGACGCCTTGGCAGCCACAGGCGTCGGATTCTGGTTCTCCCCGTCGCTGCTGTCAACAGTTATTTCCGCTGGCACCCCTGCCGCGCACTGCGTGAGCTTCTTGGGGGCTCCTCCGTTGGGCGAGACTTCCACGCCCACGGTGCGCGGCGCCTTGACTGCGGCGAAGAAGTCGCTGAGAGTCGACTGCCGCTTCCTGCTCATCCTCAGCAGACACGGGGGTGGCTGTGCGAGGCTCGGGCTCTCAAGAGGGCCCCCAAGGCAGCAGCAACGAGGCCCCTGCAGAGGCGCAAGGCGACCTCTAAAAGCTACGCGAGCGCCTCCGAAGGACGCCAGTACGAAGACGCAGAAGAACCTGACCACGACACGGCAGGCATCAAGCGGGAGCATTAACTTCAGGGTTGGAGGAGGGCAGAGGGCAGCTTCCCAGGATATCTGCGAAGGGGCCTCCGGGGGTGAGGGAACCCTGCAGCTGAGAAAAATCGTGGTCTTCTCTTACGTGTGTGGCCCTTAACACCTTAAGTTCTCGCTCACTGCAGTATTTGTTGCTTCTTGCGTTAGGAGCTGGAGAGGGGGCTGCAACAGAGCCCTATGCAGGGGGCCAGCTCCCGTTGCCGTCGTGTACCACTAACCCCACCCGAGAACCAAGGCTGTTATAGCAGCGGCGCGAGGGGTGGTTCTTTTTGTTGCTGGAATTCAATGTCCGCCTTGTGGAACGCAAGATTTATTGGGCACAAGACGCCTTGAATAATCTCCTCATGGTTCGACAATTCGGGAGGCTCTGCGTCTTCGGGTCCATGAGAGTCCCTTCTGGTGACCGCTTGACCCCCAATCAGCAACCTGCTTTACTGCTTTTAGCCGACTGCTTAATTCAAAACGCTAACAAACGGGGATTACAGGCCGATACTGGCGTTCTGGGTGGCTGCTGGCAATACACTGGCTCGAGGAACTCAGTTCGCGCTGGTAGAGTTCGGCTGCTCTTGTGACACTGAAGTACAATGGATCGGCCGGGCATACCACCACTCCTGTGGGGAGCTTAGCTTAGATCCATAATTACTTGCCTTCAGTGCTGCTTTCATTGCTAACTCGGTGGCCGTGCAGTTCAGCACGTGCAGCACTCCCATTGTGTACCAGCTTAACGTTGACGAGACTGCTTTTCCAATACCCTTCACATTTCAGTGCTTGTCAACAAATACGCAAAATTTATTGAATGACTTAGCTCTCAATGTATCCTATCCTATTTCCTGTAGGAAAGGGCTACTGATGTGCTGCAAAGACATATCTGGTGAGCCGTCCGTCACAGTGCCCATGAGCGACTATGGGGGTTCATGACGCTGCACACGCCAGAAGTTTTATTGCTTCTTTAGAGTCTGAATTCTGCGGGCCGGCGCACAGGCGATGGCAGCGCTTATTCGTGATGAGATTCTCATTTCGTGCAAAGGTTCGTGTAATCTGTTTGCTATTGTCTTCAAGAAAACTTCAGCTTGAAACCTATACACATAAATATATCAGGCGTTTTTGCCTCTGTCCTGTGGAAAAGAAAAACGGCGTCTCCCGATAGTTGAGCAGCAGCACCCCTAGCCCCTCGTGTATCGGCAGTTGTGTGGCGGTCCTGGGTGACGAGCTTAGATACACCCCTGGAACAAAGGCGAGCCTCAGAACTGCTGATACTATGCGCTGCTTCGAGGCAAACGAAAGGCACCGGGCTTCCTCCATTAGTAACTGCACTCAGTCACGGCACCGCCTGCATTGAGTCATTCGATTTAGCGGCTACGTTAGGGGTGTATGTGCCCCCGACCAGCTCTGCATACTTTGAGCGCTTGTTGCTCAGCAGCTCCGCTGGAGTCCCCTCCTCTGCAATGCGTCCATCCTCAATGAATGCCACCCTGTCCACCTGCCTGAAGCTCTGAGACGCGAAGGCGGCAGAAAAAAAAACGCACCACCAACCCTAAGAAAAACGAAACGAACAGGCGGATCCAACTACGCCAGGCACAAGCCATAGCGCCCCCTTCCTACATATTCGCAATCCTCGACTTTGCAGCCAAGGTCCAGAAGACCGAACAATACCCTGCACCCCTAAGCCTCATCTGTACCCTTACCGAGGGTTTGTGAGCGATAGTGATGACCGTGGTTTTGCCTTTCAGTCGCTTCAGAGTCTCTGCCAGCGCCGCCTCGCTGTCGGCGTCCAGGCAGCTCGAAGCCTCATCCAAAATCAACAAACGTGGGTTCCGTAGCACGGCCCTGCAATCAGCAGCTCAAACAATAACTCTAGGCCTCAACTCACAGCTTCTGCGCACCTTCCTTGCAGATGCCTCGCCAAAGCCTCCTGCGATCAAGAGCTCGTAGCCCTCCCACAGTGTCAACTAGCCAGCAATCCTTCTACCCCTCACCACGCTGGCCAGTTCGCTTCTTAGCCAGCTTCGCACACCTTGCCAGCCAGTTAGCCGGCCTTCGCAGTCCCTGCTTAACTTGAGGGCTCGCTGTCTGAGCACCTTTCCCGCTTGTTTGCGTGTGCAGCTAAGTAGCTCGTCTAAGAAGTCTAGCCAATTGGCGAGTGTCATATAGTACCTGGCGACCGCAATCCTCTGCTTTTGTCCTCCCGATAGTCTGACTGCCCCTTCGCCGCAAAGGGTGAACAAACCATCGGGTAGCTGCCTAATAAATGGAAGTGCATTTGCGGATACTGCTGCAGCTAGAACACGCTGCAGCAGCCCCGAGGGCCATCCTGCAGCCTCAGGGTGGCGCAGGGTTCGTTCCAACTCCGCCTCATACGCATCCTCCTCCGTTTCCCCGTGCTGCTGCATTTGCCCGTCATGTCGCTGTCGCTGCTGCTCAAGAACGTATGCCCTTTCGCGCTTTCGAATCCAGGCGTCGCTGGTGTCTTCTAGGGGCCTAAGGCCGTAGGCGATGTTGTCCGCGACACTCCGCTTGAAGAGCAGAGGTTCCTGCTCAACGTATGCCACGGCTTGCCGCAGGGCCTTCATGTCCACTGACCGCAAATCCAGTCCATCCATGAGCACTGCCCCGCTCTGCAGGCGCATGCGCAGGGATTCACACCGTGCTGGTGACTCGGTGGCTGGTCGCGGCTCTGCTTGCAAGAGAACATTTGTGCGCGCGCAGCGGCTCGGCCCTAACAACTGCGGCTCCTCTCGAGCCTGCGACTGGAAAGGCTGAAGCGCTAAAAACCCTTCTGTAGCTTCTGCATGCGTTAAAGTCGGACCTGTGGATCGTAGAAGCGTTGCGCCAATTTCACGACTGTCGATTTGCCAGCGCCTGATGTGCCCACAAGGGCCAACACCTCTCCCGGTGGAACCCGGAGCGAGAAATTCTTCAGAATCTGCATCAGCAACGGCGTTCTGATTCGCGGTAGCAGTTCGATGGAAGCAGCAACAGCGACAACACAGCAACGCACCCACCAGCAGAAACGACCGCAGCAGCCACAGTCAACCGAATGGCGGCAGCAACAGCAACACCAGCACCGAAAACACTAGCAACAGCGGCTCCAACAGCACCGAGAGCCACAAGAAGGCAGGCGCTACGGTGTCTACGAAGACGTGCGCTGCAGCAACCCCCCTAGAACTAGCACCACGAGCAGATTCGTCACTGCGTCGCGAAATCAACATTTACCAAAGGGCTGCGGAGCTCATCAGAAGCCAGCGACTCTTCCGCTGCGTTGTTAACGGGGGCGTAAGCAAAGGATACGTCTTTGAATTCCACAAGGGCAGGGCCCAGCTTCTCAGCAAGGCCCCTAGGGCCTTCTGAGGGGGTTGCCTGAGAACCAATCGTCCCCAGAGCGGTCCTCGTTGCGGCTGCAACTGTGGGCCGTCTGTCCACGAACTCGAAGTAGCGTTCAGAGGCCATCAAGGAGTACTGTAGGTCTTTGTATATGTCCGTCAGGGCGTCAAGCCCCAAGTAGAACTTTCGCATGTAACTCCTGAAGGACATGAAGCGACCGATTGTCAAGCGGCCCTGCACCACCGACGACATCCCTGCGCAGCCAACAAGCAGCACAAAAGGGGATGGCCCTTGGCAATGCGCTGTAGGCAAGCCAGCGTTCCCAGAGCTTCCTCCGTCATCGCCGCCTTCCAAGGACACCTATGGGGCCTAGCACGCCCCCAAGTTGCCCCTGCATTGCGACCCTTTGGCAGTCCGTATGCAAGGGAGTCTTCGACGAATCGACAAACAGTGCGGACCATACCAAAAGCAAGCAACCCCAAGTCAGTGGCCAACAGGAGCAGCTGCTTCGTTTGCTTAAAAAACGATTCGGCGATGACGCTCTCGCGCAGTACTCGCATAGACGCATCTTGGCACGCGCTGTATCGCTGCAAAACCCAAACGGCAGCAACTTGCTTGGGCAGGTGCACTAGGGGCAAACAGAGAGACGGGACTTGTAGTTGTCTGGCTTTGAAATGGCATTTCACGCGGGTGCGCAGAGTCGTGGTCTTCAAGTGTCAGGCTGCCTGCGATACCAGGTCAGCGCGAGTATGTACACATGCACACAAGCGTCCGCGCGCATGAAGCTGCGCAAAAGGCTCTGTCCCTATCGGCTTCCCACGGCTGACCTTGAGTTCAATATCCTCCGCAGCGTTTGCCTTGACAGTATGTACGTTGGCGAGGACCTCGGTGGCGATCGCAGAAATATCCGCGAGAAGGTCATTTTGCAGCAAGCCTGCATGCGGATAAACACACTCCGATTCATGTGTGCGCCATAAAAAGGAGCACATGCATGCACTTTCCGTGCAGATGGAGTTGTAAATGCACTCAGATGGCGAACATGCCGAAGCAGACTCCGAACCGTAGACTATAACCCCAGAGTCGTACAAATACCAGGCTAAGCCAAGCTCCGTCGTACAATTCTAGGCTTATACACCCTAGATGGTGAGCATTCGGAGCCAGAGAGGTCACACAGACAGGTCCCCCAAAAAACACGTAGCCGCTTATTGGAGGGCTGCCATCGGTATGGGCTTGTGGATCAAGGGCTTCTGATGCAAAAAGCGGCGCAGTCGAGCAAGTGGCAGTTAAACCCTATACGGCGCGAGTTGTAGACTTTACGTCTCAGGCTCAAGGTTCGCCTTGGAACCCAAGCTTTCAAGGCTTGGAGCTCTTGTGCTGACGCACCTAGGATGCCGATGGCTTTGGCTGCGCCCCCTGTGCCTAGCAAGACGCAAGGGACCGCGAGCATTCCGAGGGCAGCCATTTGCGGAGACAATGTAAACATCAGGAGTCCTCCCGCGGAGATGTTCAGTAGAGCAGAGAGAAGCCTCTGCGCGCCGCTTGTCACAACTTGCTGCAGCAAACCGTCCGAACAGGCACAGCGTGAATAGGCCCTTGGAAAGAATGCAAATTACGAATTTCTGCTTTCTTCCCTCGGCTCAGTGGGGGTTCGCTGTCTACTGTGATGCCCGCAGATGCGTCTCCTCATGGGGATGCCCTGCTGAGGCCCCTTGCACAGGCACACCGCTCCCTGGCGAATTCAGGAAGACTGTACGAAAAACTGAAGCAAGGGTCGAGCATGTGTGTGTAGCGCGGGATTAGGGTTTGGGTTGCACAGCTATACATGGCTTGGCGATGTGCCCAGCCTCGAAAGTCAAGAACCTTCAGCTAGAGGCTATCGCGCGTCGCTCACCTGCATATCTTCGGTGTCATTAACGATGCGGCTAGCCAAGGTCCCGGTGGAATGCCCATCGAAGAAAGCCGCCTCTTGACTGAACAAGGCACCGCACAGAAAGTCTTTGCGAATGGCTCAAGGCCACATTCACGTCTAGAGAAGCCTGCGAGTGTGTGCGGACTGCTTCCCTCGTGAAAAGAGGCAAGTGTTGCCCCTGCGCTTGCACTATTCTGCACACGCGTGCCCTTTGATGGAAACGCACGTTGGAATGTACACGTGTCAACGCAAGCTACCAAAGAGCAGCACTCAGAGCGAGTGGGAAGGACAGGCCCTACCGCAGAAGAGAGGCAAATAACCGCTTCTGCATAGCCACCACCAATCGCCAACGGGCGCACGTGAAGAGGGCATCCTGTGGGCAAGCGCAAGCGCTAAAAGCTGTGTCTGGTAAAGCAGAGGAACAAAGGTCGGTGAAGGAGAGGCTACGAGAAAAACAGGGTGGAAAGAATCAAGGATGGGAAAAGAACCGAAGAAAAGCCAGAAGAACAGACAGACGCAACTGCAGACGCCGCGCCGTGACAGCGTACCCTTGTCACAGCTCCAACAACCTCCACAGCCGCTGCTACGGCAGTTCTTAGCACCAGCATCAGCAGCGCCCTATTTGGCTTCGACAGCCTCGGGAGGCTTCCCTTGACAAGCAGCATATCCGACTCCCCCTGCAGGAGGGAACCTCCCCCCAAAACTTCCCCCCGCTGAGCTAGAGCAGCGGCGAAGTCAAAAACCTGGCCTAACATGTACGAGCGCGCGAATGAGGCTCCGCCAACGAGGAGAGAAAGTGCAGCGGCAGGGACCAGCAGCCGCAACGACAGCGTGGAGCCTAGTTCCCTGAGAAGCCTGCATTAGCACCAGCACCAGCATCAGCAGCAGCAGCAGCGTCAGCAGCATAAGCTCGCAGCAACATCAGCATCAGCTGCCAGCCCCAGTGCAGCGGCGAGAGGGAGCCGAAGGGGAGCAGGGACTGTCTGCAGTGGCAAACATCCTTGGATTTGCAGATGCAACGCAGACTAACCTGGAGAGACCAATGGCTCGCTGCTTGGTGGCAACATTGGACCTGCAATGAGCCCTCCGGCGGAGGAACCCCATTACCTGATGGGGTGCCGCCGCTGCAGCAGCTCGCACAGCTGAAAGAGCGAGATGAGAGCGCGAGGCTGCAAAGCGCAGCGCTGCTTTTGTGCTGGCCGCTAGTGCATGCTTCGCTGCTGGTGCTGCACCTGCAACTGCAGAGGTTGCAGCAGCCACCACACGCCTGCAGAGCGAAAGGGCGGGGGTGCCCTGGCGCTCTCGACAGGGCGTTTCCTCGTATCCATGAAAGGGCCCACGTCCAGGTGTCTGGAGAGGGCCCCCTGAGGGGGCCCCTTGGAACGGCGGCTCCCCGATGCTGGCACGGCGGAGTACTCCCGTGGCGGGTGCGCCTCCCGCCCCTCGGGGCCCCGAAGGCCGCTCCCAGGCGCTGGAAAGGGGAGAATTGCGTCTAACGACATCCAGTGTCTGTCTCTGTTTCGCTACAAAGGACCAAGGGGCGCAAGGCACTCGGCAGCCAACGACCCTCCAGAGACAAGTCTCGTGAACGGGAGCGTGCACCGTGTCTTCCGGCAAAAGCAGGCAGCTGCTGCGCGGAGTTGCGGCGAAGCCTTGGAGGGCAATGAGCAAATAAATCAAAAGCTGTCGCGAGGGCAGTGGAGAGGGGGCCCCCACCCTCATTTTCGTGTGGGGCCCCCCGTGGCCTCGATTCGACAGACAGGGGTTGGCGCGGAGAGGGCCGCTTTGCGGGCCTCCACTTCAGAGGACGCCCACAAAGCGACCGCATGCCTTAAATCGAAACGGAGACAAAAACGCGCAGAGGGATACGCGCAGACACACGCGCAGAGGCACACGCACAGAGAGACATGCAGGCCCCAGGAGGGGCCCTCGAGGCCCCCGCGGGGAACTGATTTTGCTCCTCTGGGGTAGCCAGCTGTTACTTAGATGAATGCTACGCCAGCTGCTACAAAAAAGACTCGACTTAGCATAAAGACGAGGGCTTCACCTAGGGGATCCCGCACACAGGCACGGCTGAGTGGCAACATGTGCGTTGAAGTCGGTATTTTTGGTGGCCATGTCTGCACGCGCGCACCCCCACACACAAGGACAGTTGCGTAATGGCTCACGAGATTGCTATCTCTGTACTTCGTGATGGCATTGCGTTCAGAAGGGAAATTCACCTCAGCCAATATTGGCAGAGAGCATCTAGCAGAAGCATGCAAGTCCTCGAGACTGGCCCTTCTTAGCGCGTATTCCGCCAGTCAACACCGTCGGGATGCGAGATGAATCCTAGAGCAAGGGTGCGGCAAATGCTAGCTTCTTTACTCATCGGGAGCCAATTTAGTTTCTAGGAGATGCAGTAACGGAACACTGGTGGGGCCGTGGCTGTAGTAGAATGCATTTTACGGTCAGCATACGGCCCAGCAGGCTCAGCTCTCAGCCAACCAAAGAAACAGATTTGTCACCTAAGCTTTCAGGTCGCAAGAGCCCTCAGGCCGGCTTCTGTCATTCTCGCAGGAGTGGTGTGGTAGGCTGCTGCTGGCTCTGATAACTGCACACGAATGCTGCGAAGGGCGTGCCTCCTCTGTATCAACTCTCCGTGAGCTTGCATGGCACCACCTTGTTGCCTTGCATGCTACAAAAGGGTGATAGCTAGTAACATGGGAGGGCTCAGTGTGGCTCGAATGCTACAAGCGCTCAACTGCATGCCTATCGCTAGCCCGCCACTTCGTGTACGGCACTCTGCAGATTTGGGGGAAACGGCAGCACGCTGCTCCTAAAATACAGTCGATTTAGGAAGAACTACACTCTAGTTGTTGCCGCAGCAGTGATTAACCTCGGTCACTGAACGCTTCCAGAGTCGCCCGTGCGTCCCATCGCATTCCCTACACCCTGGAGGTCTGGTCACACAATTGAGGTTTTAGCATACGGCGCAGGCTCATCCCAGAGCAGTGGACTGGCAGCATTCCACTACTACGCTAGCTGCACATTATTCCATTCTACACTGGCTTCCGATAGCGTAAAACAGTTCCTCGATAAAGTGGCAAGACGCTCATTACATCAGCCCTTCAATAATCGTCAGTAGATGACTATCGCTATGTCCATGTACAGCTATACCTACAAATGTTTTGGGATATCTAAGCTGCTCTGTTCATGCTTTTGCTTAGTATTGATATGCTTGCATCCCTTTATATGAGTATATGCGATCGTGCGAATCCCTTTAAGAATCTACATCTAGCTCCGCATGTTTCGTCATAACTTGCGAAAGTAGCAGCTGAATGTTTTAGCAGGTGGCCATGCTCTCCAGCCAAAGTGTACTTGGTGTGCTACTAGAGGACCTACAGGGGGGTTTCTTGGGCGTCGGCAGCTGCCAAAATTGCATGCAAGTGCTCTACTTCCCCACGGAGCCTAATACAAAGGTCCTCCCGCTGCTGCTGCCACTCCCGCTGCTGCCGCTGCAATTTCGCTACTGCGTGCCTTCCCTCTTCCTGAGCTCTTTGGCATTCACTTTGAGCCTTCTGCAGTAAGCGCAGCAACAAGAACCTCAGGGCAAGTATGCGTGGGTAGACCGCATAGAGCTATGGGAGTCGAAGCACACCCGAGAGGCAGTAGCACACCCCAACTACTGAAGAAAACAAAAAGGCTATGGATTTTGGAATGGAAATCAGGGTCAATCCACTCGCATCTAAGATGCAAAGCACCTTGAGTTCATCCCTAACTTGAATATGGGCTTCCCGAAGGGCTCTGAGGCTTGACTCATGCTTCGCGGTCTCTGCACGTGCAGCCTGCAGTTGTTTCTGCTGATGCTCATGTTGGTGCCGCTGCTGCTGAAGCTGTTGCAATAGCTGGTGCTGCCGTTCCTCTGCACACGCTGCTGCTGCTGCTGCTTCATCTTTAAGAGTTTCTGTAGCTCTCATGTGGCTCTGCTGCTCTTCCATCAATTGCTGCTGCAGTAGCTCTAGCGCATTCTGCACCAAACCCGGATAATCAACGACCATAGCTTTGTTAGCAATCGCAACTGCTGCTATCCATTACGTATATTCCAATAAAGGTTGGAAACTTTTGATGAAAGCATTAGCTGGGAGTGTCACCAAGAAAAAAAGAATACGTACGTGCATGCATCCATACACAGGCATGTTGATAAAATAACTGCCCGACTGTACGAAGAAGTGACACGATTCGCTCGGCTACTGGGGTGTCTATGAGGGGTACAACTGCCCCTCATTCGCTATGCATCATGCTCAGGTTCTATGGTACGCCTTAACGTGTCCATGTAAAATAGTTCGATTACCAACGTAGTAGGTGTGCGATAACGACTATGGGAAACAGCCTTTTTCTATTATATAAGAACCACACAGAGGCATTCGGGGAGCATAGCGTTCAGGCTTTGTAGGGGTTCACTAAGAAGCTCAGACTGTGATAACAAAACGAAGCTATTCTTGTAGGCAATCGTCGGGTGTACTAGACCTGTCTCTTGTCCAAGAGCTCTCTCTGACGCTTCTGTTCTGCTTCTGCTGCTGCTGCTCTCGCTACCAGCTGGCACTGATTAGCACGCAGCTCCTCGAGCTCCACCGCTGCCACTGTCGCCTCCTGCCGTGCTTCAGCAAGGCATTGATCCTGCTGCTCCTGCAGCTGCTTCTGCAACTGCCCTGTCTCGCGCTGCTCGTGTAGCCTCTGCTGTAGTTCTTCCATTCTGAGCAAAACTCTCGCAGCCGAAATCCTCGCCACACCCACTAAACCTCAGACTCTGTGCCCAAGGCCCCGTCGCGACAAAGCGTGAGCACCCTACTGATGATTGGCCTTCTCCAACTCAGCCTTGAGACCTTGGCTTGCTTTTGAAGCTTCCTTCTCCTCCTGGTGACGGCGCTGCGCTTCACGCTGGAGCTCTTGCTGTAGCTCAAGAATACGGTTTTGCTGTTGCTGAAGCTGTTGCTGTAGCTGCTGCTGCTGCTGTAGCTTTCCTACTTGCTGTTGCATTTGCCTGTCTTTTTCTTCTAATAGCTGCTTTTGTAGATGCTGTTGCTGCTCAAGCAGTCTGCCAATCTCTACCTGCAGAACTTGTTGACGGCGTTCCGCCATCCTCTGCTGTTGTTCTAAGGTTGCTTGTATTCTTTTCCTGTCCTGTTGGTGCTGCTGTAGCCTCAGTTCTGTCTGTTGCAGCCGTAGTTCCCGCTCCTGCAACCCACGTTAAACGTAAAGATGTCTTGAAAAGAAAGCTAAATCCGAGGCACTCGAACTCGACTCATTAAGTTTGCTATCCAGTTAACGTAATTGCAAGCATCAGCGTGTTTGCAGGACTATACTTGAAATATATACCAGTCCTACTAGACCCGTCATTTGGCCTTACTTGCAGCTCATTAAGGAGCTTTTCATGTGCGGTCTGGTTCTCCTCAAGCTGTTGCTGCAGCTCCATGTGCTGCTGCTTGTGCTGCTGTTGCTGTTGTTGCTGTTGCTGCAGCTGCAGCCTATGCTGTCGTGCTGCTACGCGAAACTTGCACAGCTGTTGATACCTCTGCTCAAGACTGCCCTGCAGCAAAGTGGAGCGCCTATTGGTTAGCTAAGCCCGAAAACTCACCCCCTAAACCCTCAAAGTTGCTGAAATCCGCAGTCCAGAGCTCGCTATCCCGTATATGCTTGCAGCTTAAGAGCATTCGCAAAGCCCATTGGTTCTTGTGATTATCCCACTTTCGAGCAGGGAGCTGAATTGGTGAGCAATGCTTCACTGATGTGGCCAGCTAGTTGGCAACTTATTTTGCTGTCTCTTGGGTTAAGTGAAGAGGTCGCTACCATGCATATAACAGACTTTCAGTAACGCGTTTTCCTTGAGTAGGTGCCGGCGCTCATCTTGCATAAAGTTAGCTGGAAGCACAAACCAGGATTTATGATGTGAGCATTAACCTGCAACCATAGATCTTATGCCGGCGGGCGATATCGTGTGCTCTACGTGTAACCTAGCAGCAACTAGAGCACCCAACTGACATTTGACTATGGCACTTTGGAGCTTGCAGATGCGCTGTTTGAGAAAAAGATTTTCCTTTTTTATGTCACTCTGTTTCCCAGCGGAAGATGTTATGTCCGTTTCCAAAAGCTGCAGCAGTGGTGCGCTTTGCTGCGAATAAGACATGCAAAGAAACCTCAAAGCTTCAGGACCTCAGCTTCTTGCTCTAAAGCCTCATGGCCTACTGTCTACTGTCTTGGAATAGATCCAGGGCTATCACAAGGCATGACCGACTTGCTCAGTGGTCTTGAGTTCAGCCTCAACCTTGGATGCGCAGTCCTGTACATGTTGCTTTTGCCTGTGTTGTTCATTCTGATGACTGTCCTGCAGAGTGTGCTCCTCGTGTGGTAGTTGTTGCAACAGTGCTCTGTTATCCCTGCAGCGATTAGCTATCTGACGTAGACTTGAGGGCCTCGCGCCATTTCCTGGAAAAGGCCACCACCCAGCCCCGTCAACCACACATACACAACACCGAATGTGTCACCGCTCTGTGACTGCACAAATAAATAAATATGTTCAGCAACCTCCTGAAAAATTGAAAGCGGCATGTCCAGCTCCCTTCAATTATTTGCCAGTCTGGCATGTAGATAAGGGAACAAATGCCGTCGGACCATCTCTGAACCACAACAGCTACGCGGTAGAGCGCTACATCAAAACTCGACTTGCCGGTGATGTCAAGATCAGTGAGATGTTTGTTGGCTTTGAGGGCAGTGGCCAGCCGCGCAGTACATTCTTCGCCCAAAAAGTTGTTCCTTAAGTTCAGCTTCCTCAGTTGCTTGCTGCAGGGACAACATGCAGTCTGATCTCTGCTTCATTGTATAAGGACCAGATGGCCACTCCCGAAACCAGCACTTTTCAAGGCTCTAGCGGAAAACATTGTTACCCGTTCAGGATCTAAGATTGTGTTACTAATTTTTGCACCCATTTTTTTCGACGACGCTAATGAGGTCATCAACCGTATCTGGCCCCAGCTGGCAGTGCGCGAGGGAGAGCAGCTCCAAGGCCTTTAGGCAGCAAGCAGTGTCGCATAAGCACCGAAAGGAGGGAAGTAAATTTTCACCTGCAAGAGCTGGCAAATGAAAAGGTAGATTTCGTTTGAAGCCTTGGTTAGAAGACACAAGTTTACTCCTTACAGCGCTGAATGATCTATCGCTATATGTTTCCAGCAAGAGTAATCCTCCTCATTTTGCATTGGTCAGCCCTCCTACGTAGCCTCCGGTTAATGGAATTAAGGATTTAAGGATCAATGCGCTATACAAGAAGCACCCGTGGTGATTGGGTTCCAGTCTAGCGAAAGCCGCTGAAGGTGCTGCAGCCCACGGACGGCGGGCAGTAGTTGAGAGAGCCCCTCAGAAGAGATATTGTTCGCCTACAAAATCAAACCAACCACCAATACTGTTTAGCCAGCAGTTAAAAGAATACTGTGGAAGTATTTAACATTCCTACGCTTTTTAGGTTGTGCCCTGTCGTTCCTTTGTGCTAATGTATCCTTGTGGGCAAGCATGATGTTAAGGCTCTCTGCCTGAGTGGCCAGTGCGGGTAAACAAAGCCGGGTCAACAATCTTAAAGAGCACTAGACACTGACACTTGTTTATGACCTAACCAGAAATCCGTTATGTGGTTTATAGCATCTGCAATTTTAAGCAGCCGTAGCATTGGGCGTGAAGCCTTCAAGCAGAAACAACACACCGAAAGGTCCAGGGTGCGTAGGCCTCTGAAACTGTAGAGGTGTATGGAAATCGCAGTACAAGCCTTGTTCCCCAGATATTGGTGCGGCAGAATAAGTTCATCCTTACTGCCTTTCACAGCTGCAGCAGCAAGCGCCTCCTGCTGCCGCTGCAGCCAAGACCCAGGGTTGAATATGTTAGCCTCCAAAACGCTCCTGCTGCCCATTCTTTGACGTTTTATGGTGTTCACCTCGCACAAATTGCCTGTATTCCAGCAAATGGACCTGGCCAGGCTAATGACCCTTCCCAAACCCTAGGAATTTTGCCTCAGCACCAAAACGTCCCTGCCTCATGACCTGGATGTTGCAAGAGTCACTACGGTCAGTACCTAGAGGCGTGCAAGACCACACCGTCTAGATCTCCCCTTTGAGATGAACTTCGAAACTTCGTTGGGGCACCAAGTGGATTTTTCACGTCCTCTTTGCTCCACACAAGCTTTTCATATTAGGCCGACCAGATCTTTTGCTTTAAGCTCATTAATGTGAGGGAGGATACATGCATCGGGAGCCCACGGACGACCATGTGGCTCATGGGGGTCACTTTGCAAAGACCGGGCGCGCAAAGGCAATAAAGATCTGCCATGCCACTAGCCGCCTTGTTACTTCTTCCCTTTAAAAGTTCAAAGGCTTTTGTGTGTGTTAAGAAGTTAGCTAGATGTATGTAAGGAAAATGTGAAAACAGCGAGGAACAGCTCTGGTCCCTCCCCCTCGTTTCTTGTATGCATACACAAGACACTTGGCCTATTCGACAAAAAGCTGGATAGTGTGTCTTGATTTCATTTCCTCGCTTTTTTAACCTTACTCAAGGAGCGATATGGTGGGGAAATTGGGAGCGTTGCCGCTTTTTGGTCCCGAGCCAGACATTGTTCGATGGGGCCCTGTAGTCCGTTGCTAGCATTTGTTGGGCCCTGCTTTACTGCAAAAGCAAAACCCGATAAGAAAAGTCTATACTCCCCAAATAACTGTGTGAGTCTATATTTTTTCGTATTAACGTAAGCCACAATGTTCTTGCCCGGTCTTCCCCCTAGTTCGCAAACCGTCCAAAGAGCAGTGCTGCAAAACAGACTTGGGAAAAGTCCAGCAAAGCCCTCATGGGCTAAATTCTCTGCTCTCTGACTACAAATTCCTGAAAACGTTGACCTGCTTACTCCTGATAGCACTCTGGCATTGGAGGGTTTGGCACGAGTAACGGACAGAACAATTAATGCTACAACGTATCGATTGCTCCTTTCTCGTGTCCTTTGGGAAGATTTTGGAGAGGGGTTAAAACCTCTTTAGCGTCTGAAAAATAATGTATGTGCCTGCGGGGTTGTGCATTGAATGGGCAAGGATTCGAGTACTGAAAACGGCAAGGTCGCCTTGAGCCGAATAGATCACTGTGGCCTGCAACTGGCCACTGGAAGTGTGTGTGGTGGCACTGTTTCCAATGTAATAATTCTTTTTGTGGGTACAGGCTTAGCAGAACTTGTAAATGAGGCATTGTAGAGGCTCATGTTACTCTTCCGTTAGTGCAGCTGCAGTCGCCTTGCACAACTCCCCTTGTGTTGTCATATGCAGCATGCTAATTTGGGAGAAGCGGCAGAATGTTCTGTGGTGGAAGTGCTCTGAAAAGTGGAAGCTCTGTGTTGAAAACTCCGAAATACTCCAAAAGGTACAAATAATTGACAAAGTCCAATACCAATCCAATCGGTTGTGCCAGAACAGCTTATCAATGAAGGCTCACTTGCTTGTCAATTACTCTATTGAACTTAGCATTAAATCATCCTCAGATGACATGCAGGGACCTTTTCGCATCAGGGTACAGTGTTCACGTGCCGCCATTCGTCTAATACATCTGGAGCTGGTCTTTAGGAGCTATCTTGATTCTGTAGCCTTGCCATAGCTTGACACCTCACACGTACATAGGCTAGGTTAGCAGGGTTGTCCAGAAAGAACTACACGTGTATTACTACGTGAGTCGAACCCACAGGCAGCCTTTAAAAACTATTTTCGCCGTGCAGCTGTCCTTTTTTTGTGGGCTGTACCTCCAAGACCAAAATGCAACAGAAGCCCCATTTCATGTATTGTTAAGCAACAAATTATAGCCTCTTTGCGCAAGAGCCCCACCATTTCAGCAAGTTGCTGAGAAGACTACCTAGAAAACTGTGGTCCCATGGAGCTCAACTGGAAGTTCTCTGGCCGTGTATTTTAAGGGCTACGCTATTTTCCCGTGGCCCCGCTCTGTATTAGCTTTTCGTCTGCTCTTGCCGCTGTCTGGCACAGGCTTCCTTAAGTACATGAGTGCACCGGTGTACACAAAATACCAGGTCGGCAGGTGGGCACTGTGGGGCGCAAAATGCCCCTAATCTAGGGGATCTGGTTATTCTGGTGGCTTTCACTGACGAAGTTATTTCGTGGTGCAGGCCACGTGCACTTAAAGTAGATGCGTCTTCTTTTCTACCGCAGCTCCTAATTGCTGATTGCAGTGAAACTGTATACGGTTTTCCGCAAGATCTGATAAGTCGCTGGAGTACTAATTGTTTGGTGTGATACAGAAAGCCAATATATTTGGTTCCCATTCTCCTGGGCTGAGTAGTGGTCCTTAAGCGGAACAGGCGCCTCCGATTCTCTGGCGGCAGCACCATACATCAGCAACAACTGGTACACGAGCTCGCGTGTAGCATACATGTAAGTCAGCGTTGCTGTTCGGTGCTACTGCTCTTGTATACTATTCGCTGCAAATCAAGAATAGCTGTGCACTATACGATTATAGGTTGAGCAGCTTTTACATGGTTGGTGTGCGCGGTGGTGGGTGCGTGCTTGGAACATTAAAAAAAGAAGGCATGCCTGAATGCTTACTGAAACCATTATCATCACAGTCTACAAAATATGTGGGTTTCAGAAGCAATCATAGTGGCTTCCTTTCTTACAGTGAGTCAAGTACTTTTCCTTACGTCTGAGCCGGTTTATTGAAAGCCGGTTTGCGAATGGCGAGACCCTGGAAGGAGTAGCGCCGTTCATATAGCTTGCTGGCATTATTGTCAATTTTTTGCTACTTCCGGACACAAACATTGGACTTGTTGGTCCATGATCGGCGTGGCCACTGGAAAGACTATAGTCAGGTTTCTGAGAACGACTACTGTTTTAGGTGACCTCCAGACATACATTGCATGTCTGCCATTAGCAGCCATCTGCTTTCCATCAACATACAAGTTCTGCACTTTTGTAAGCTCTGCGGGTCAATACTTTGCCGAATTATAGCAAGGTTATATGTTTTGTGCTCATAGGCGTTCTTTTTGGTGCTACTTGTGCCACGGAACTTGGGGTTCTTTATTCTTGTTAGGTAGAAAGGGTCTATAGGGTTTATAATGAAAGTAGAGGTGGTGCTTGGCTCCTCCTGCTTCCTGTTTCTTGCTTATGTCACAATCGAGTAAATGTTCGTATTTGGTAAACAAGCGTTACTGGTTGAACAGGAAGGAAGTGCATTGGGATCGACGGCAGCGCAGGGACTGCTCAGTTCCTTTAGCCTTAAATCGTTAGGTACAATCTCAAAGAGATGGGATATATCGAATGTTTTTGTCGTTATACATTAACTGATTGTCTGCTCAAGCACAACAGACTGCTTATGTCTTACGATGTCGAAAAAGCCACCGCATGCCTTGCCGGAGTGCAGCTTGGTGCGGGACCAGGGTACACCCTCGATGATATGATTTTATATACCACCGGTGGAACACAGGGTAATCGAAAAATTTTTTAATATACAGCATGAGGCTTTTCCTGCATTTGATGTTTTTCTAAGAAAGATAGCGATTTCTTCGATTTAGTGCAAGACTGCCGCCCGATTTGTGCTGCGCTACATGACACGACCGGCTGGCATCCACACTGCGTGGTCTGAGTCTTTAATTTTTTGTGAAGCCTGTAGAGGCCTCTATAGCCCCAAGAAATACTTGCTGAAGCTAGTCGTGGTGCCGAAGTTGCAGACCCGTGATGGCTAGCTGTGTGAGAACCTGGGCTTGTGGGCCCTGCAGCTACCTCCCATCTTCCTAGTTCACTGGGTAGACTATAGAAATATCACGATGATCCATAGTTCCACTTGAATGTCGGAGCCTAACGTGTGCCCAACAATTTGATGGACGAGCAAGCCACAGCTAGTCGTTAGAAACCTTGCATGCTACACGTGCAGGCCAGAATAACGACTGAACATAATCGGGATGATTCCCAATGGAATGATTGGCCTCTTCTCGAAGAGAGCCATACCAAAGGGCCTTGTTCTATGAGTAGACTGCTTAGGAGCACCAATGCGGAACAGCTTAAGATGATGAGGTCAGAATTTGCAAAACACGGAGGCTGCTTAGACTTGCAAGAGGTGAGTGACACTGGGCTCTCTCAAAATTAAGATATCTACCTAGAACAGCTGCTGCATCTTGTGGTCACAATAAGGCGCGGGCAGCTGATGACCTATAAGATAGCTATTGGGGAACGACCCACATTGCCCTTGTACAAAGGGTTAGTTCTCATGCACCTGATTCTACTTGGATCGGCTGTTCCAACCTTAAAGCGTGTCCTTCATCGAGTTATCAAAATGATCAGTCGCTTTGTGGCCTTTATACGGCGCTCGCTGAAAGCCGGAATGATGTGCTGTCATTAGTTCGCTGAGATGATGTTTGAGATTACCTCTTACAAACCACCGGAGAGAACAGGTCCAATGGTGAGTCGATCCAGCCATGTGCTATCTCGAAAGTAGTGCTCTGCATGTCGCTCACTGGTTTTCCTAGCTCTTGCAAAGCGGTCAAACTTTGCGATAGGTTGTCTCTTGGCTCCCGAAATCATTTCTGTGATACAGTATGACTGAGCTCATCTAGTGGGCTTTAAAATAATTCAGCCTGTTGGTAGACATGTAAGGAAACGGAAGTCCAGACTGTCTTCTCAACGAAACTGATTTCTTTTCGAAGACACCTATCCTATGTCGAACTAAAAAGGCACTACATGCAAGTGCCCGTAAGAACGTCAGCTCTGCAACAAATTATTTAGTACAAAAGTGGCTAAATATCTGCCATTTCTGAAGTCACCCACTGTATTTTTTTCAGCTGTCGCAACAGCCGTTTGAGGCCGAACCGGTTCTTGGCGAGCATGATGCAACGAGTTCTCGCAAGACATCAACTGCCCCATCTTTCGAAACCAGCGACAA